TTGTGATCAAGCCCAAAGCCATGGCAGCCCCACAGGCTGAGTCTATTGAGTCTATTCTCAGTGCTAAACTGTGTAACTTGTCTGCAATGCGGAACTTGAGCCAAAAAAACGCAGAATAGCAGATAAATCCAATCACTGATATGGCTAGGAGGGTGATGGTTTGTCTCGGCTCTAAATCACTGAGAAGGAATTGTATCGCTCGTGCGCACATCATAATCGCAGATAAGATGAAGCAGAGCGCGATAGCTAAACACGCTTTACGCTCCTTTTCAGGGCCTAACACGCCGTTGACGCCATTGTAAAAACGCCAGACTATTACTCCTGATGAAAAGACTCCAAGTAAAGCGTCAAACGCTATGGCAAATGCGGCGGAGCTCTCGGAAATCCCCGAACTTACAAACGACGCGATGGCAAGCAACAGCGTGACGTACATAGAAGCAAAGGATACCGCTAACGCCGCTCGACGCCAGCGCCGTTTCTCTTGGGCTGAAAGTTTAAAATTTCGCTTTTCACCCTCGTCGTCATAAGGCGATACGCAAGGAAAAGTTCCGAAATCTTCTTGAGGTTTCACTGACTCCACTGACATATTTAGTGTCCCTTCTTGTTCCAGAATTGGAGTTTTCGCGGATGCCTCGTATACTTGTTGAGAATCTCCCATCTTTGGGAAAAATATTACAAATTCAACCGCCTTTTCCGCTAGTAGTTTTAAGTTTTAAAATGTGAACTTTTGCCACGGTTAAGCGAGAATTTTTCAGCAAGATTTCAAGTATTCAGTTTTCACTGACCTTTTTCCCTTCTGAAATTATAAGCAAAATAATATGATTTTGTTCAAATCTTTCTTTTGTAATCAGTCTACTGGAGAGGTGTCGATAGCAGACTCCAAGTCATTTTAAGCTTCTATGGCGACCAGTTTAACAACAGAGAGAATATACATGAAAGTAGTGGCTTTCAAGTTTTTTTTCGGAAGCAGACTTTTAATCTGGCAGTTACTATGTTGAAGAGAAATCTTTCGTGGTTAAAGCGCTAATTCAGTTGAATAGATCAGAGAATACGTATTATCCATTCATAGACAGAAAAACCCAAACCTCGGCGCCACTTTAAGAAATAAGAAGCATACTGTATCTGCTGATCATGAAAGGCTCTTTCCCTTTTGAATGTGCATGATTATCTTGTGCTGATCCATCAGAGAACTTTGTACTATCAAAATGAAAAGTTAAAATCGAGAGACGGATAATATTTTTTTGCGGTAAAGAGAGGAAATTTCAGCGACAGCAGGTGTTAAAAGAGAATGCCGATTGGACGATATCAAATGCAATTACTTTCCTTGGCAAGTTTCTAACCAATCATTTGATATTTTACCGGAAACATAATCAGCGATATATTCTTCGTCTTAAGCTATTAAAGGCCGGAAAAACTTCGGCCCACTACCGGATTTACATGAAATATAATGGTCAATTTTTAACTGAGAGTTTTCAAATTGACCAATTTAAGTTACGAGAAGTAGACGTGTCTAATTCTTACTTTTCTCCGTAAAAGTTACGATATCAACAAGTTCTCCTTGAAAGCGGTCTTCTTGTTAAAAAGCTGGTTTATTTTATTAAACGAGGGGATTTGCAACTAGAGGCCACAATTTGTTCTTGTAAATCATTTCTAGGACAAGTGCCAACAGTAAAACGTCATTTGTTTGTGGAAAGTTTTTATCATTCGCTGCCGATATCACTCTCCGCGCAATATTCACTCTCGTGAATATTTGTAACTACGGCCCAACAATTCCGTCTCTGCTCGTTTGCAGTTTGGCGCTGACAGCTCACACTTTCTAACGACTGAAAGAGAATGCTAGAAACATTTCCTAAAAGAAGACCTTAAAAGAAGTAGGGTTTTCAGCCAAACCCTCCCTTCCCTTTTTTGCTCAAGTTTTTGCAAAAGGAATAACCATGGTTGCTCCTTGTTTCACTAAGAAGAAAAAGGGTTTGCAAAACGTCCACATCTGTGTGCTCACAAGACAAACAAATAAATAAACAAAAAATCAACAATAACGAGCAAACAAAAAAATTGAAAAGCTCTGTAAATCATACATGATACAAAGGCTTGAAGAACGGTCAGGTGGTTCTTGGGTAAACGATTACCAACGGCCACCTCTCTACAGCGGCCACTTTTTGTTGTCCCGGCGGACAAAAAATCCGATACATTGACTCTTGTTTAAAACTTCTCTACAACGACCACCTTTTTACAACGGCCACTTTCTTCTGTCCCCAAGGTGGCCTTTGTAGAGCGGTTCAACAGTAGAACAGTCTTTTATTTGGAATCAGGTCCTAATGTTGCGTGGTATCAAGAAAGATTGACGTGAGCACAGAATCGGTCTTGAACAGTTTTCCATTGTCTTCTCAGTCACTAGAAACCAGAAAGAGTTCTTCTACGCTTGCGATCGAGTGAGGTAAGTGATATGTAGAACAAGTCAAGTTTTAACAGGAAGGCGAAATTGTTGAATACTGTCTGAAAAGGGTTGCAAGAGAGTTCTTGTTAATAGAATAATGTAAAAAATGATCTATCCTGTTCCAATATTAAATGGAAAACCTCATTCCATCTCGTTCAATTTGTCAAGTGATGACGAATTTTTATGGCGTTGAGTTCTAAAGAAATTCATCTAAGTTTAGAAGAAGAAAATAATTATTGCCTCGCTTTCACGTGTTTCGTGAAACATATTGGGAAGTTTCAAGTCACGTGGTAAGTTGTTGTTTTGCTAATCTAAACTTATTGCTTTTTTTCATTGCGTTCTCCTGCCGTTGCCGTCGTCTTTGGAACTAACCTGCTTTTTCTTTTATTGAAAATAATACCCTTTTTAAATAATGTAAAAATTATTGTGTGCGTACACATTTTACCGCAGCGTTTTGTAGACGCCCTTCTTCACTATTATTGTATTCAAATAAACATTAATTATTTTAATAATTAGTGTTTAATAATTAATAAAATACGCAAACAAAACACAATGTAAATATGCATAAACAAGAATTATGCAGATCTCGAAGGATGTTATAACCATCCAAGCCTTTGTTTTGGCTTATTATAGCCCCCTTTATCTGCATAAATTCTTCAAATGATTGTTTTATTATTTTTAATTGACAGCCTGTGTTCGTGGTAAACAATTCTTGCAAGAACCACATGGACAAACAGCAGCGAGGGAAAGCCGGGTCTTGTCTAGATCAGGATCAGCAATATAAAATATCACTTAAAATTGACGGCAACGCTGATTGGACAACTAAGGGTTGATAATTTACAAATTTATTAGCCCAATATTTCGACTACACAAAACTAGTCTTCATCAGGGGCATCAATCACATTTTATTTTTATATTTGTTATTTTAAATGCTGTAATCGTTTATTCTATTCTCACTTAGCTTTTCTAGCCCCTGAAGAAGACAAGTTTTGTCTAGTCGAAATATCGGGCAAATAGATTTGATTCAGCCTTGCCTTTAATTTTATGTGTTCTTGGTTTTGGGACTGCGATCACTTTTATAACGGACGTATTATAAAGACTGAATCAAAAGACGGTGATAAGCCAGGAGTTAACCAACAACATATCACCTATTTTTAATTTCTTGACAGTGAAAAAATGATCGAGCTTAACTAATAATAAATTTCTTACATAAATTTTGGAATAACTGAGTGGTCCAATTATGGGCCCGAAGGGCAAAGTACCTCCTTGTTTCCAAGGTTAAATAATTTGTTAACAATAAATTGGGGCGAAAGATCTTTCTATACTGGTTCGGCTGTTTTCAAAAACTGTTAATATATTTTCGGTACAATTTCTTAGGCGACTTGATTCTCTCCAGTCAGGAATTATCAACGATATCCGCGGGGCCTTCGACAAACAATTGTTAAATACAAAATAAGTGGCTTTCAGATTGCTAATAATACCTTTCAACACAACCAATTCTTTTTTCCAAGTTCTCCTAATTTCTGAAATGATTAATTTATTTTTATATTTACTCAAGAACAATTCATTGATGTGGTTGTACAAATGTCATTTAAAAAAATTGGAGTAAAACTGGGGAAGGTAGATAAATCTGAGACCGATATCTATGGGTCTTTTATTAGACTAAAATTTTAGGAGTTTTATCGCTCAACGTTTACAAAGCGAAAAATTTAAGTGAAAAGAAACGACGAGAGTAAGGTAAAACTCTATGTTAAGTAAGATAACTTATTTATTACTACGTTTTTATATATTTATTGAGTTGTTTTTAAAATACAATAATATTATAATACAGCTGTAACTATTATAGATTTTATTTATACACCTTCCTATTTTGAACGAGTTTTTTGGCACCTCGACGTTACCTGTCAAAATATATGATTGATGATTGATAACTGATATTCGATGATTTTGTCAAGGGTGATTTTGCCGACTTTTAAAAGATCATTCTCTAAAAAAATGGGAAAAACACCGAGCTCACACATTATCCACTCGCTAGGAGGTGAATATTGTTGAATAGTCTGAGATAGCGAACCAATCAGATTGCTTAAATCACCAAGATCACTGAGTGTGTATATACTAAATCCCCTTCATTTATCCTCAGCATCTTTACCCCTCTTTAAAATATAAAAGTCGAACGCAAGATATTCCTGGAGAATATCTTAACGGAATTGCGATCGCGAAAAAATATGTATAAAAATAAAAACAAACACCGATTTTGTTTATTTAAGTGTGAGTGTGATGATTTAAGTAATGGGCCAACATACTTTCGTATATTCACTGCTTCCTTAGCAGCCAGATAACAAGAAATGAAAACCAATATAACAAACTATCAGTCAATCGTGATTTCAACTCAATTATCAATTCATGATCAAGCTTATAACACTGTTTTCAATCCATAAAATTGATACACGACGATAGTCTGCATCTTATTCTTCTCCAAAAGTAAACGAACGGTGCTGATTAGAATTCAAAGGTATGACCCTAGGATAAATAGGCAGCATACATTACGACGAGTTATTTGTTTAAAATAATACATTCAAAGGCAAATTTAGACAAAAATAAGTTATCTCCATTCATTCCTGGCACATTTTCCTCGCCTCTAAAAGAGAGGTTTGGTGTTTGCCAAGGAGATGGAATCCGAAGAAAATATTCCATCTCACGAAAAATCTTCACAGAGAGCGAGTGAGAAAGAATCACTGTTGCAAGCTACAGATGAAACACAGCTTGTTAGCGATAATCATACACAGGGAGGGTTATCCATTGAGATATTAGAGAAATGGCGTAAGGTGACAATTGTTGTTTGCCTTGCTTCTATAGTTTTCACATTGCTTCTTGGGATCAGTGCGTTAGTCGTCTCTCAGACCTCGGATAGTTCCTCTGCTTTTGCAGTGGCACTCGACGCTGTTCTGGCCATTATATCATCAGGATCTGTTATATGGAGGTTTTACTACGGGATCAATGGCAACGGGCGGACGAGGAGGGAGTGGAAAGCCTGCACCATCATTGCCAGTTGTTTTATCTTCTCAGGGGTTTTGGTGGTCGGACGAGCTGTTATCTGCATCGCGACAAACGACAGGCCACGTCATGCCCAAGATTTGCTCATCATGTCAGTAATCAGTTGCGTGGGTTATTTTCTGCTTTTTCTCGTCAAACTGTGTTTAGCAAAGAAACTTGAAAGCTCAGCTCTTGTCGCAGACTCAATAGACGCTCTTAGTGGTTCTGGAATGTCGGCCGGTGTGATTACAAGTACTTTGGTGTTAGAATACATTCGCAAAGCATGGCTTATAGATCCATGCACCGCGATTGCCATCGCTTTAGCGACAGTTATCTACGGAATTGAAATCTTGCTTCGAGTTGAACGTGAAAAGAAGCAAGTCAAAAAAGTTAGAGAAGCCGGGCAAGAGCTTCAGGAGGAACAAGATGCGGAAAGGGAGTCGGACAAAAAACGATAACTTCAGTGTACGTGTGTGACTGATTTGCTGTTTGGCTCTAACGGGCGCTTCTCCCTCAATAAAGCTGTCACTTCTTGCTATTTACTTATTCACACACTTCAACGTACACATTCTCTCCTGCTAGTCTAGTTCACAAAACAAAATTATATTAATTTTTATATATAGCCCCACGAGGAATATTTTCCCATCCCTGATGATGCCGTCAATCGCCGGCGAAAGCTTGGATTTATATTTTAACAGAAGTTTAAGGTCTCATCCGAACTTTAATACTGTTTTTTGAAAATGCTACTGAAGGACAAATGCAAAGATTATTACAATAATTTCTTACAGTGTAAGGATTAAAAGCAGTTTGTTCAAAACCGAAAAATAGCACAGGAACGTAGGAAAAATCCGGGAAAGGATATTTACCTAAATTAAATCTTTCAGACAACTACTCAGCTGGATTTGAGGCAAGTTACACAACTAAATTACATCAGGGAACTAGTTAACATTAAAAAAGATCAGTCTGTAGGTGTATTTTAATAATAATAATAAATATGTTTTTTTGGTGATATGTAGTTAGACTCTCCGGGAACATAACATTTCGATTAAGGAGCTGCTTACCACGCTTCAATCTCTTGAGGATAATAAATCACCAAGAGAATATGGCTTCACCAAAGAATTCTATGAAACTTTTAAAACAGGCAAGAGAGAAAGAAGTATTCTCTCTTGAAAAAGGTTATTTGCGAGTTTCAAAAACTCTTACTTCAATTAAAAAAACCCTTCTTATTAAATTGAGTTTTATTTACATGAGAATAAAAATGAAATCAATTTTCATATTATTGGCTTCGCACTTAGCCTCGCTGTAAATTGGCATCTTTTGAAAAAGCTATTTGCATGATAGTGTCATTTTTTTACTACTATGACCAGAATCCTTTTCGTTTTTTCTTTCATATTTAAATTCGGTAACCCCAGGGGATAGGGAATTAAAGTGTTTGGTTTTGTTTTAATGCATACATATTTGCACTGTTATTACTAGTGTATTCCCCTGACCAGGGCTATATCAGGGTTTTTGTTTACGATGTTATTGTTGTGGAATACCGAATCAAATAAGTCATAACGCATGTTCAGTTAAAGATTTTATACCTGGTTATTTTGGAAACGTGAACAGGAGGGGTAGGCAGGCCTTGAGCCCCCATGGCGAGGAAGCTTATAAAGACCTTATTTACTTGAATGACGCGTACAAGCGTGCAATAATCGATAGCCAGGGACATGAAAAAAGCTCGTGCGATGTGGAAATTTCTTTGAATTCTTTGCTGTGGAACAGACGTGGTTTGAACATTTGCTTTTCCCAAGGTGGGCAGTATGAAAAATCATATTCTAGATCTTACCTTCGATTTACGCCCGGTTATCGTTTTTTTTTTCTTTTCCCAATCTTGTCATTTTTGAAATGAGGAGCATGTTAGTGGCGAAGGGAAATGAATTTATGTAAGAGACAATGTCTTTCCTCTTACTTCAAGTATGCTTTATATAGTGATGTCGCAGAATAAAAAGGCAAAACCCTACAGGAATTCTTTTGTTGACTGCATTGTGCTGGAAATCTACGAGACGGTTTACGGACAAACTAGCCGATTCGTTGCAGCTGGATTACTAGTAACCATCTCGAAAAAACTACCTCTCTATCCTTACTCGAAAATCCAACTAAATCCAACTCGAAATCCTAACTCGAAGATCCAACTCGAAATCCTAATTCGGAAGTTAGTTTGTCTCGTTTCGTCCCGGTCTCATGTAAACGACTGCAAAAATTATAAATTCGCACCGGCCAGAGTTCGTCTCGGTCTCATGTAATTACCCCCTTTGGGCTCAATTATGGACCCAAAGGGCAAATTTCCTCCTTGTTTCCAAGGTTAAATAACATTTTAAAAATAAATTGGGACGATAGATCTTTCTATACTGGTTCGGCTGTTTTCAAAAACTGTTAATATATTTTCGGTATAATTTCTTAGGCGACTTGAACAGGGCCACCCAACGTCAATTTTCGGAAAATATCTGTTCGGAAGACGATTTGAGATCTAGAATTTTCGGAGCATTTGTTGTAAAATTTCTTGCTTGCCTGCCTCTCCTAGGATTTTCGAACATCTAAAAAATGGTATAATTGCAAATTTTTAATGGATTTTTTACCCTAAAAAGATCACCTTGAATTTTCGGGAGCCCTTTTTCTGGCTAAAATTTTCGAAAATGTAAGTTTTGATCCCTATAATTTTCGGATCATTAGACTTTCAGCTAGGAAATCCGAACAGATGAAAAATTTTTAGGGGATAAAAATATGCCTATATCTACCGTTTAAATATGTAAATACGTTTAACAATGCTATGTTTAAGTGGTTTTGAACTATACTCTCGTTGGGTGCCCCTGCTTGATTCTTTCCAGTCAGGAATTATCAACGATATAGAAAGTTTTACAACTCAATTGTAAAACGCAGTTAAAGGAGCGTGACGCCCGCAATCAACAACATGTAACGCAGTGTTATGCTATAGCTCCTATCAAATCTCGTAGAAGTTTACTCCTAGTGGGTAAAAGTACTGGGTAGTGCGTAAAATCACGGCTGTAGCTGGGAAACTACTGATACAATAGCGATCCTTGTTTTTGTTGCAGTTGGGGCCAGTTTCTAATGTATCGCTAGTTTTGTATGGCTAGTAAAAATAATGTTCCTCATGCATATCTCGTGGAGCACTTTAGGTGCACGTTCTATTCTGTAGTACAGTATTTTTCATTGGCTTAACTTGGGATAGCACTCGGACTATAAAAGGCCTAGTAAAAGTTCTGTGTTTCATTCCGAGCTGTATTGCGAAGTTGGTTACTTCAACCGTCCTAAAGTTTTGTAATTCACACCCTTCCCTCCCTTTAGAGGCTTTGTTGTTGTTCCTAATGAACACTAGACTACGAGTAGTCCCCCATTTTTCCTCAAGGATAGTAGAGGGAGCGAAACGCGAGCGCGCGTGAAAATCACCCCGCCGCGTGTCGTTTTTTCTCGCGTGGGGTGATTTTCACGCGCGCTCGCGTTTCGCTCGCCCTACTATCCTTGAGGAAAAATGGGGGACTACTCGTAGTCTAAACGAACACGGCCTCACCGCTTTCTTTCGCCTTCGGTTTAAGTCTCACGGCGACTTCCCCAAGCGTTGATTTTAACGCAAACTTTTATATTTGATTGTATTCCAGCACGTGCCGGCGGAGTCGGCTCGTAGAGCTGATAAGATAAAGTTCCTAGAACAAAATATTTGCCTGCACCGTTCTATTAAGTTGCACGATGCTGGCCGGAGGTTTCAACTCGTAGTGCCGTGTAGTGTTAGGCCGCATTAAGTTTGTTTCTTTCGGACCTACCTGAACTTGTCTGATCCGGCGCGCGTAAATTAGCGCCGGGGAGATAAGTAAGGCTTTATGGTCACGCTATGAAGTCGTCCACCACGCCGATCCACAGGGTCCAGAGGAGTTTCGTGTGAATAAATGAATTACTTACTTAAAGTCTCACCTTGAAAAATGTCTATACCTGTCGCTTAGCACGATTAATTAGCCCAATGGGATCTTTATAAATCTACTGTAAACGATTTCTTCGCTTCTTATCTGACCCAGATCGACTTTTGAAAATCAATAACCGCAAGCCATATCCTCGCTGGCGCACGGCACCTCGCCCGAAGGGTGACCGAAGTGCCGAGTAAAAGAAAGGGCACTTTCCGTATTTTACACTGTAAGCCGATCTTGCGAGCCCTCAGTCTCTTAGTTTGCGGTCTATAGAATGTGTAACGAAACTGTAAAGCGATCATAAATATCCCATTTTTTCAGAGGTTTTCGACGGGTTTTGATGTTCTAACGACAAACACATCTCTGGACCCTGTGGCCGATCGCGGAGCGGTGTTCCCCCCATTACGCCATATGTTTGTTTTCCTATTTTATTACACTTTATTGTAAAGCCTAGCTAAAGGAACTACGACATTAACACAGGGCCTTCGACAAACAATTGTTAAATACAAAATAAGTGGCTTTCAGATTGCTAATAATACCTTTCAACACAACCAATTCGTTTTTCCAAGTTGTCCTAATTTCTGAAATGATTAATTTATTTCTATATTTGTTCAAGAACAATTCATTGATGTGGTTGTACAAATGTCATCTAAAAAAATTGGAGTGAAACTGGGGAAGGTAGATAAATCTGAGACCAATATCTACAGGTCTTTTATTACACTGAAAGTTTAGGAGTTTTATTGCTCAACGTTTACAAATCGAAAAATATCAGTGAAAAGAAACGACGAGAGTAAGGTAAAACTCTATGTTAAGTAAGATAACTTATTTATTACTACGTTTTTATAAATTTATTGAGTTGTTTTTAAAATAGAATAATATTATAATACAGCTGTAACTATTATAGATTTTATTTATACACGTTCGTATTTTGAGCGAGTTTTTTGGCACCTCGACGTTACGTGGCAAAAATATATTATTGATGATTGATAACTGATATTCGATGATTTTGTCAAGGATGATTTTGCCGACTTTTAAAAGATCATTCTTTAAAAAAAAGTGGGAAAAACACCGAGCTCACACATTATCCACTCGCTAGGAGGTGAATATTGTTGAATAGTCTGAGATAGCGAACCAATCAGATTGCTTAAATCACCAAGATCACTGAGTGTGTATATACTAAATCCCCTTAATTTATCCTCAGCATCTTTACCCCTCTTTAAAATATAAAAGTCGAAACACAGGATATTTCTGAAGAATATTTTAACGGAATTGCGATCGCGAAAAAATATGTATAAAAACAAACACCTTTTACTATAGTGCTATTTTGTTTAGTTAAATGCGAGTGTGATAATTTAAGTAATGGGCCAACATACTTTCGTATATTCACTGCTTCCTTAGCAGCCAGAAAACAAGAAATGAGAACCAGTATCACAAAACATCAGGTAATTTTGATTTCAACTCAATTATCAATACATGATCAAGCTTTATGACACTGTTTTCAATCCAGACGACAGTCTGCATCTTATTCTTATTCTTCTCTAAAAGTAAACGAACGGTGCCGATTAGAATTCAAAGGTATGACCCTAGGATAAATAGGCAGCAAACATTACGACGAGTTATTTGTTTAAAATAATACACTCAAAGGCAAATTTAGACAAAAATAAGTTATCTCCATTCATTCCTGGCACATTTTCCTCGCCTCTAAAAGAAAGGTTTGGTTTTTGCCAAGGAGATGGAATCCGAAGAAAATGTTCCATCTCACGAAAGATTTTCACAGAGAGCGAGTGAGAAAGAATCACTGTTGCAAGCTACAGATGAAACACAGCTTGTCAGCGATAATCATACAAAGGGAGGATTATCCATTGAGAAATTAGAGAAATGGCGTAAGGTGACAATTGTTGTTTGCCTTGCTTCTATAGTTTTCACGTTACTTCTTGGGATCGGTGCGTTAGTCGTCTCTCAGACCTCGGATAGTTCCTCTGCTTTTGCAGTAGCACTCGACGCTGTTCTGGCCATTATATCATCAGGATCTGTTATATGGAGATTTTACCACGGGATAAATGGCAACGGGCGGACGAGGAGGGAGTGGAAAGGCTGCACCATCATTGCCAGTTGTTTTATCTTCTCAGGGGTTTTGGTGGTCGGACGAGCTGTTATCTGCATCGCGACAAATGACAGGCCACGTCATGCCCAAGATTTGCTCATCATGTCAGTAATCAGTTGCGTGGGTTATTTTCTGCTTTTTCTCGTCAAACTTTATTTAGCAAAGAAACTTGAAAGCTCAGCTCTTGTCGCAGACTCAATAGACGCTCTCAGCGGTTCTGGAATGTCGGCCGGTGTGATTACAAGTACTTTGGTGTTAGAATACATTCGCAAAGCATGGCTTACAGATCCATGCACCGCGATTGCCATCGCTTTAGCGACAGTTATCTACGGAATTGAAATCTTACTTCGAGTTGAACGAGAAAAGAAGCAAGTCAAAAAAGTTAGAGAACCCGGGCAAGAGCTTCAGGAGGAACAAGATGCGGAAAGGGAGTCGGACAAAAAACGATAACTTCAGTGTACGTGTGTGACTTATATATTTGCTGTTTGGCTCCAACGGGTGCTTCTCCCTCAAGAAAGCTGTCACTTCTTGCTATTTGCTTATTCACACACTTCAACGTACACATTCTCTCCTGCTAGTCTAACTTACAAAACAAAATTATATTAATTTTTATATATAGCCCCACGCGGAAAATGTTCCCATCCCTGATGATGCCGGCAATCCCCGGCGAAAGCTTGGATTTATATTTTAACAGAAGTTTAAGGTCTCATCCGAACTTTAATACTGTTTTTTTAAATGCTACTGAAGGACAAAATGCAAAGATTATTACAATAATTTCTTACAGTCTAAGGATTAAAAGCAGTTTGTTCAAAACTGAAAAATAGCACAGGAACGTTGGAAAAATCCGGGAAAGGATATTTATCTAAATTAAATCTTTCAGACAAGCACTCAGCTGGATTTGAGGCAAGTTACACAACTAAATTACATCAGGAAGCTAGTTAACATTAAAAAAGATCAGTCTGTAGGTGTATTTTAATAGTAATAAAAATGCTTTATTGGTGATATGTAGTTAGACTCTCCGGGAACATAACATTTCGATTAAGGAGCTGCTTACCACGCTTCAATCTCTTGAGGATAATAAATCACCAAGAGAATGTGGCTTCACCAAAGAATTCTATGAAACTTTTTAAACAGGCAAGAGAGAAAGAGGTATTCTCTCTTGAAACAGATTATTTGCGAGTTCAAAAAACTCTTACTTCAATAAAAAACCTTTCTTATCAAATGAGTTTTATTTACATGAGAATAAAAATAAAATCAATTTTCATATCATTGGCTTCGCACTTAGCCTCGCTTTAAATTGGCATTTTTTGAGAAGGCCATTTGCATGATAGTGTCATTTTTTTACTTCTATGACCACAATCCTTTTCGTTTTTCCCTTCAAATTTAAAATTTGCACAAGAAAACAAAATCCTGAAGGATTCTGGTCATCACGTCATTGTGGAAACGGCCTTTTCTTACCATTAGACATTTCGCCTTGGTCAACTATCCATTCTCAAAGAAAAGGTGTGATTACTATAATTATTGAAGACGAACCATCCCTAATATTTTTATTAATCACTCTAATTAGTTTCCCATAATCCCTCTAAGTTCATTGCCAAAACGATGGAGTCATCACTTCCCAAATTAAGGTATCACCCCACCTTCAGAATAGTCTTCGCGCGGATCGAGCTAGCGCTTCTAGCTTTAATAATAACCCTAAGAAACTGTACATTTTCTAAAAGCTTAACAGTCGTAGATTAAAAATCTAACATGCTATCTTTTTTTTGAGATAACGAGCTTTCTTCAAAAATACATGTCTCTGTAAATTCTTCGCGCGGATCGAGCTAGCGCTTCTAGCTTTAATAATAACCCTAACAAACTGTACATTTTCTAAAAGCTTAACAGTCGTAGATTAAAAATCTAACATGCTATCCTTTTTTTGAGATAACGAGCTTTCTTCAAAAATACATGTCTCTGTAAATTTAAGACCAGGCCAGTCAAATATAAAGACGCTTGCAAAGACGCTCTAAGCAGCTCGCAATAAGTGTTTTCAAATCTCTGAATAACCTATATCCTGAGGGTTTAGAGAACATGTTTAAACCAACCTCCAGGTCCTCCAGGGTTCATTCCTTCAATGTACGACGCACCTCGAACAATATTTTTTGTACCTAGGCCACGTACTGAAGCTGCTGAGCGGGCTTTTAGCTACGGGGAGCAGTCATGTGGAATGGTAGGAAAAAAACCCTTAGAATTGGACTGCCCATTGCTTGGCTTGCGTAAGAGTCAACCAGTTTTTGTGTATTTTCTAAATGTTGGTACCATTATCTACACACAGAGAAATATATAGAGGATATTACATGACCGCGTGGAGATACGAAATTTCGCTGCGCTGAGAATTTGTTATAGTTATGATTAACATTTTAATTGCACTGAGGTTTTCAATCAAAACGAGGCTCAAAGCCAAGAGACTTAGAACAAAACTGTAAAATGGCTTATTTCAGCATTCTTTTTATTATGCATCAACACGGTAGCCTTCACGCGGCAAAAATTTTCGTACAAAAATAATTATTACATTTGAAAAATAAAATTGTAGCAATTCGCATTAATTTTTTACTTTCTATTTATCTGACGCTATTTAAAGATTTCCATAGCCATCTCCCAGCCTCGTTCCCAGTGTCTGGCTCCCCAGAGACCCTGGGAACGACGTTGACCACCCTTCGCTCCCTCACAGGCTGAAGACTGACACGTCAGTTTACATATAAATAAATTTTAGAGGCTGTTTAGTATTTCTTACAGTCAGTTCATTTGTCTTTCCTTGATCGCACACGATCCTGTAAAAAAGGAAGTGACCATAATTAGAATGACAAATAACGTGTGTATAACTTGCTGTTTTGTACATTTTCGTTCTTTCACAAAGTCTGCCAGGTGAAAAAGAGAAAGCCTTTCTGGAGGGCAGTCAAAGGGGCCCTCGTGTCCGATTAGATTTACAAAAGGAATTAACAAACCTTAATTCTTAATTGATGGATGCGCACTTGTAGCGGCCATTTTAATTTTAAACATAGGGTCCTACCATCAATGGTGGGAGGAGGTCTAAAATCGTATATTTAATCAAGTCCAAAATTCCATCTCTCGTGTCGCTTGTTGGTTCCCGAGGAATTCAATTCCAGACCTCGTACCCATTGACCGCGTATTTAAAATTCAAAATGGCCACGGCAGCTATCGATTATTGGACTTTATTATTCCAATATTATGTCATTTTACCATATAAGGTCAAGAGAACAAGCAAAATACGAGGCCGTAATACACCGTCGTGTCCTGGTTTAACCGGTTTACAACAGGGTGAATACCGGCGGATGCAAAAGGAGCAACTGTGGCTGACAGAATCAGGATGTTTTGGATACTCTCATTAGAAAATAGAAGCCAAAATACCATTTTTCTTTTGCAGTAAAATAATTAACCCCTCATTCAATGGTTTGGCATATAATACGCGCGAACATTTTGCTAATTGTTAACGTCATTCTCACAGACAGAATCAGGATGTCTCTGAATACTCTTACCAAAAAATAGAAGCCAATTGCCAGATAATTTTGTTTTGCAGTGGAATAATAAACCTCTTATTCGATGGTTTAGCATATAATACGAGCGGACATTTTGCTCATTGCTCGTACGCAACTCGCAAAATATCTGCACGTATTATATGCTAAACCATCGAATAAGGTGTATGTATTTTATATCTGCAGGTCAGTTTTTAAAGCACAAAATAACCAGTTTGAGTTACATACCTTACGCACCTCTAGCTCTTTTCTGGCACCGGATAGTACTTTGTACGAGCGGGATACTGATGAGAAACAACAACAAAAAAATCGTCAACTACAGTAATTCTCTTTAATCTAGATGAAATCAGCAGGGACTAGTTCTTTCTCTTCACCCTCAGTCGAATTCCGCTTAATACGGCCACCTCGTAATTACGGACGCTTTTCTTGGACCCTGGGAATTAAGCCCTTAATTTTGTCCAAATTCAACCCGCTTAACACGGACACTCGTTAATGCGGACGTTCTATCTTGGAAGTTATCAGCGCAGTTTTTTTAAAATCAACACTTCCATTCAAAGCACCGTAAAATTCCAAAAATAAGCCCCTCTATGTATGAGCCCCCCAAACCGGTAACGGAAAAAACCCTCCGTTAAATAGCCCCTCCAAACATAAGCCCCCCGGGGGCTTGTACTCGGAAAATTGCCCTCAAATACAAGGTAAAACAAAGGAAAAACGGTAATTTTACTTCCAACAATAGGGCTAGCTCAACTGATTTTGAAACGCAAATTTCCGCCCCTAGATAAGCCCCTCCAAAAGGGCCTTTGAAAAATATAAGCCCCGGGGCTTATTTTCGGACATTTACGGCAATTCAATCTAAATTTATATTGCTTGTGACAAAATGACAATAAAAGACAAGACCACTAGCATGCAGGATTGTATGCTTCAGCTTGGATAGAGGATTTAGTCCTTGGAAGTCAAGCAGGCGTGAGAGAGAAACTCGGCTCCAGGGTAGAGACAGAACAGGACAATAAAGTAACTCATTTCAAGTTGGAACAAGCTGTATCCGAATGCCATAATATTAACATTTTTTCGCGTTAATTTACAATTGCTTAAATTGCAATTAGCACTGCGACGATCATATCTTCATTTAAATTTGTATTTCCGCAGTTCACACCATCTTCATTTCATTATCTATTTGTTTGAGAAGCTTGTAACTAGAAATGAAATTTATCATTTTTATTGCCTAATTTTTTAAAAAAGAACGTTTTTAACGAAGTTTGTTTAATTTGTTTTAGTCCAGTTTTCAGATTTATACTTGCATCATTTCTTCGCATCAAGGTTAATATTATATAGTCTTCAACCTAGAGTGAACTTACTAAACGAGTACTTTGATTAGAAATTTTACGGTCCTTTAAATCTTTTTGTAGGTTACCCAAGTTTGCTGCTTTAATTTAGGTTAGTTTAATTTATAGCGGTACAGTTTATGCATGGATAGTACAAACACGGCAACTGATATATTTTTTCTTTTGTTGCACTAATGACAAATCATCGACGCGGTTCTCACCGTTGAATACAATACTTACACTGCTCGCATATTTCCGCCCGAACGTTCTCCTTGACTTTGTTTGTCCCCTGAAGAAGGAGAAAATCCCAATTTAAGCAAAGTAGCCATGAAAGTTTCAGAAAAGTTCACAACATAGAACAAGATCAAGATCAAAGAGAGAGAAAGGGAGAAGGAGTGACCCGTTGCATTGCAAAAATGGGCTTGTTTCTCGAAAGACCCGGAAACTTTTCTGGCCCGAAGGCAAGTTTTAAAATCAAAAAATGTTAAATAGTAGCACAGTTCCTAGCTCACAAACCAGTCTATTTTGTTTCGTTAATTGATAGTTTCATTGTATTATTTTCAAAATGATTAAAACTTTGATCTTGAATGCAAACACAACAAACACAAAACAGCTTTCCGGGCCCGAAAAGTTACCGGGGATTTCGAGAAACAGGCCCCAGAACAAAAATTAAAAGAATCCCAAATTAAAAAAGGATCAATCGCGGCGATTATTCACTTCTTGATCCGCTTTGCTGACGGTCGTAGTTTGCCCAGAATAAAGAGCTCAAGATCTAGAATGTTATGTAACACTTTTCAAAGACGGAAATTGAAGGAAAGAAAAGAAAAAATTTTGAAAGACACCAAAGATGGTCCAGGCATTCAACGAGAAAGTTTTGGCAACAGTACTGACTCAGAGGTTTTGTTCGTTATTGCAAGCTCTGTAAGCTCTCTGCCCTTTAATTCCGCATAATTCCCCACCATGCAGTGTTGAGGACAAATATATTCTCAAACTTGGACTAGAAAGAACTTTCACCAAAACTGGTTTTACTGTTTCTGACAACGTTGTCTGGTTATTGGTTAAAGTTAGTCAGGTTACGACATTGAACAGTTTGTTAAAAAAGCGTTTAATTCTATGTCAATCACTAGTTACACACTGACAAGCCCATTTCAGTAGTTTAACTAGAAACTATGGTTTAAAAGTAATGTTAATCACTGAGACAGTTAAATGGGTTCAGGTGGTTAAACATGATTAATCGTGTTATTTCAATGAAGATGTTTACCGTGAACACAACCAAGGCAGCTGGGTCTTTGAGTTAGAAGGCTAGACAAAGAGAAAGAATATCAAGAAGACAGATGAAGGGTGAATAGAAAATAAGGCGAGGCAGAAGATCTTAAGAAGGAAACCAAAGTAACTACACCTATAAAGGCGCGTGATCAGATTGTCATAGCAGTCGTGGTGTCGTGTTGACACACTGGCGTATTTGCACAGAATTATTCCCTTGACAAAAGAGTTGGCTGAGCTACAATTTAGATTTTATAAGGTAACTCAAGAGACGTTTAAAAAATATTTTGTGTATAGGATTTTATCCACATGAAAAAATACCTTTCTATGATTGTCTTTCTACAATAGTCCACGTTCGATATATCAAAAATTCTAACAAGACTTAGAGGCATTGGGGTCAAAATGGCAAATTTTTCACGACTCCATTGTCTCGCAATTCCCAGAAGAGACTTGAGCACAAAGTAAACCACACCAAATATAGAAAAATGACCAGAAAGCCTCGGAGTCCTGTTAGAATTTTAATACATCGAACGAGGGCTACTGGCCTGAGAGGCTCCGAGTGTGGGCTGGGTCGGTGTAGTGTCGAATTGCACAATGGGATTGTTTCGGGATGCTATTGCTTCTTTTATTGGCTGTTAGGAGGTTGCGTAGGAAACTGGGTGGAAATTCATCCTCCAAAACAGTCCCATAATGCATTTCGACACAACACAGACCCAATCTCAACCTCAAAAACGGCCAATAGAGCGACAGACTTGGCTATAGAAAGTTTATGGTGCTTTTTAAACCAGTATATAAGGATTTTAGAGTATTCCATAGCGTTTTTAGATACAACAAAGTCACAGTGGAGAAGGAAAGAACGCAAAAGAAATAAGAAAAGGCTGGCCAACTAAAACTCAAAGGCGAGATGAAGAAAGACGAAGAGAGTGTCTTTTTTGTTATATTTTAAATTTGAACTCGATTTTCTTTGCGTAGTATGGTTAGAGATAAGTTAACAGTTAAGGTAAATACTGTTTCTTGCTGTACGATATTGCAAATTGAGACTTGAGGAAGGGCATTTTGGGAGTAATTTTGAGGAGGAGAGCTTAACAGGTATTAATTGTTAATTATAAACGCAAAGCAAAAAAGCCTCCTTTCCCATTCCCAATTTCGTGTTTTAACATTCTTTACTGCACAGAGTTGAATATGGTACTTCATAGTAGAAAGATTCACAGACAAACAACATACCTCAAGCCTTTCACAAGCTCTTTTAATTAAATCTTCTTGTATCAGAAGTCGACGTTTTAACTTTGCAATCTCAAGCTTGAGACTTTTATTCTACAGGAGAAAATAGCAAAGACGTCATGTACGTCGAGGGAAAGGTATAGTTGGGTAATAAATTTCGCGTGTTTTGATTGTCCACCATAACTCGGCCGTCTATCCTTGGCTATCCACTCTCTTGGGACGGAAGTCAAAATGGCGTCTTGTTTCGCACCAGTTTCAGAAGACGACTCGGAAATTGTAATTTTCTTGGTAACAACAGGTACCAAGAAAGCGACGCCAATTAAAACTTAAAAAGTTCTTACCAAGCGACGTCTTTCATTTACCAAAAATATACATACATCTCCAAATTTTTTATCCAAGGGCGGTACACAGAGCAAGAAATATACCGACACTTTGTGTCTCGGTAAATACCCACAATTATTCACTTTCTCTTCGGGGGATTATCGCATAATATTTTTCGTGGGCCTTCATATTATCCGGCTAAGAATAAAGCTGCGTATTATTTACCTCTCCTTCAGGTTCCCCGGATGCAGGCTTAAAAGAACTGGCTTGAAGTTCGTTCAGCAGCGTTTTACATTCCAACACAATTCTTAAAATATTTTCCACATGTGACAGGCTATTAGTCTGAACGAAAGTAAAAAATAGGACAAAGTATAGTAAATAAAAAAGCGTTCTCAAAATTCAACCAAAAACAGTAATTAAGAACACGATTGAAAATAATCCGCAAACGCAGAGAATGGATGGAATAAAAGACAGAACAACTGAAATTCCGTGGAGACTGGAATGATATGTGATGTGGCCTCGCTAAGAGAGATTCAGTAAGGCAAGGCACCCCAAACTAAATTTCAGTAATCAAAGCCCCCACCTACGGATCACAGCACATTTTCTTTCCCGCCGAACACCCTTACAGAAGCCCTGGCCCTTGTCGAAACTAGAGCTGTACACTTTGCAAGTCTACAAGTTTCGTATCGTTTTGAAAGAATAAACAAACTCTACCGCCATTACTTGCATTGGCAATTTTTTTCACTCGTTTGGCCCCTGAAATACCACGTGACCGATTTCATTTATCCCATCAATCCTAAAGCGCGCGCAAAGATGGCGGGTATAGTGAATAAGGTCATTTTTGAGGCTGCGCAAGAGACTGGGTCGGTGTTGTGTCAAATTGCACTATCGGACTGTTTCGGGGAGGCGCCATCGCTTTTTTGGTTGCCTGCACCGCAGACGGAACTAAACCCTGTTTAAGTCCGTCTGCGAAACAGCGCCGAAATCCTTTTTCTGGGCCTCGTTCTCCACCTGTGTACCAGGATTTTAGTGCGCGCCATGATTGGCCCGTTAAAAAAGCTATTAAAGATTTGCCAATCAAGATGAAAAGAAATTTGACTGCACTTCCGGTAATTCGTTGAGTCCATTGGGGGCCCAGAACAAGGATATCAGTGTTGCTTCGCAGACGTTACTAACCGAGGTTAAATTACGTCTGAGACGCAGGCTAACTGCGAGCATAGTTATTAAAATCCTTCCCCTAAACAAACCCATAGAACAACTGAACTCAACACAGCACCGACCGAGTCTCAAATGCAACCTAAACATGGCCAACACTATTTTTCACGCTTCTCTTTAATGACTGCATAGATTTATACCTAAGCAGTTTGTTAAAAGTGACACAAATCACCTGAGTATTCGACGCAATGTTGTTGTAAACATCGGTAGCGAATTTATTGATTGCGTTCAATTTCTGTAGAAGTAGATTCACGACTCCTTGATCTTCACCGGATGAACTGGCATTGTCTAATTCTGTAGAAAAGGATAACAGTTGGCAAGCTTAGTTGGTGAAAATCAAGTATAATCAAGTGTACCTGGACAGTTTACGCCACGGCGTTTAATACATGTTTCGTCGCCGTTTTTGGTACATGACATACCTGAAGCCCACAATATTTTAAGTAACAAAAAGAAAAGGGTTTCACTTCCGTTCGCAACTACGTGGTGAAAAAACTGCAAATTTGTTCCACCAAATTTGCATAAAAAAGAGTTAGGTTTTCAGGGAAGGAAACCGCTTTTGATTCATTACAAACAACAATGAAGAAGCCTTGCTCGTCCGTGCTCACCTCTAACGGAGCTTACAGATCCAGTATCGTCCCCATCCCTACCCTCTGAGAAGTTCAGTTGTCGAATAACTGTGACTTGCGATCTGCTTGGTGACTGGGACGGTGAACCAAGAGGTCGTGCAAGCTGCTCCTCGAGTTTGAGCCGCAGTGCATTGTTGGTCTGAATGCTTTTTTCAAGCTGCACTCTAAGGCTTCGGATTTCAGCTAACAGTAGCGACAAGGAGTCTTGCTGAAATTCGCTGTTAGGGCTTCGCGGTCCTTCACTACCGTAACTTTGTCCTACAAATAGGATGACAAATTTTTCACCTCCAAAGACAATTTAATACGCAGAAATGTACCGTAAATATTACAGCAACAAGGAGGCAGAGCCTGGCCATAAGCTTGTGAACGATCACAATTGAACCACCCTGATTTCACGAGTAAAGCTGTTACACTGGCATAAAAAGGGTGAATCCAAAATGTGGACCAGACTATTTTTGTAAAGGAGATTTTTTCTACATATGGGTTACATGATTACAGCCTATAAGGCATATTTGGTACGCACAGCTGAAATCTTACGACACACATACACAAAAAAGGTTGCATTTAAATTTTCATGACGTTGCATTGAACTTGGTTGATTTCCAGCGGACTCAAACTGTTGCAAACTCACAGAGTAAACTTGGAATCGTTACTTGGAATCGTAATCGTCCCCGGCAAGTCGTTTTCGGCATTGGAAAGCAAGAGGTGGATTTAAGATAGAGAAGATTAACATGGATAAGAGATGACAAACTTTCAAGTGGCAGAAACCATGAAGTGGCTCTTTTTAACACAAACAGAACAACAAAACATACCTTCTGTTTGCACTTCCCTATTCCTGCCTTGAACAGACAGTTTATAGAGCTTCTCGTAAACGTTCAGTTCCCTTCTGAGGTTTTCTGATACCTTGGTACTTTCCTCCAATTGTTGACGGAGCAAATCTATTTGTTCCTGGTCTCTGAAGAGAGGAAAAATGACAAAGGTATTAAGATCATGACGATACACCAACATAGATGCCTCAACTAGACGAAGATGTTCAGGTCCCAGGCATCAGTGGCAGTCTCTGAAAGTGAACGAGAAGGGATCTGGAGCCGAAATTCGTCCCGCAATTGTTTCTGGGATGGTTACTGGTGACGTGCCGGTCAGCTATTGGCCAATTTTTTTTCCAGTCCCTAGTAACAGTCCCAGGAGTCTTTGCGCAAAAAAGTTAACTCGGCCCAGTTTCCCTCTCGTTTCTAACGTGGCGAATTACATTTCAAGCAGTGGCCAATCAGAAACACTTAACACATCACACTACAAGTTCTCCTGCTATTCTTTTGCTCTTTTTAGCAATGGTAACACGTTCTGTCTTTGAATTCTGATTGGTCGACTGCGGATTATTCACGCTTGACGGTGATTGGCCAAATTACTTTGGTATAGTTTTTAAGACAGTGATCGACCTTTCTTGCTCACCTGGTTTTCTCTTGCTTTAATCCCTCGATGGTTCTCCGTAACTTCTCATTAACGCGATCTTTTTCCAAAATTTCAGTCCGCAGCGTGTCATTTTCCCGAATGAGAATAATCCTATCAGGGCCACTTCCAGTACCTTCCGCCTCCCCACCCCCCTCAGACAACAACCGCTTCTCCAGCTGAGCCCGCAACGCGTCATTGGTACGAATACTGTCCTCTAGACGCAGGCGCAATTCTCTCATTTCAGCCACAAATCCGGCCAACAAGTCGTCTGTTGATTGGTGACCGGTGTCTTGTGTCGACTGGTTGTGCAGTCTAGAGAACATATTGTTTTCGTTCCTTAGAGTATCGTTCAGTTTTTCTGTGTCTTTTAGTTTACTCCTCAGCAGCTGGTTCTCCCCAAGGAGCATTCTGTTCATCTGGTGAAGCTTTTCTGTCGCTTCCGGTGACGATGAAATCGAAACCTAATAAAATAAAGGGGTAACTGGAAGAGCTAACTCAAGGAGAAATTTAAATTGATTCTTTCTTTTTAACACATTGAGTATATTGTACCTTGCCTGTGTCGCAGACTTACTCTAAGCCCGACCAGTAAGGTCTGCGAAGAAGCGCCTAGATCCTTCTTCTGGGCCCCCAATGGACAATGACAACAGGCCAATTATGGCGCATACTCAAACACTGATACACAGGTGGGGGCCCAAGAACAAGGATTTCGGCGCTGGCTCGTGGACGGACTTATCTGGAGGTTTGGTGTTGTCTGTGGCGCAGGTTAATTGTATCATCTAATAGTAAAAAAAAATTCGGAAACTGAAAATTTCTTGGAGATGATGATCCGATGCTTTTATATCCGTAATTGGGGCAGTCAACCACATTCGTTCATCGTAATTGGTTCAGCCATTTAAAAGCTATCTTCCGTCTTAGAGCGACAGTTGACTGTACATTTATGTGACTGAGGAGTTTCTTGTTACAAAAAGAAGATAACAGTAGCATACCGAGCACGATGTAACCAACGTTGCTAGGTAGCGGTAAATCAAAACTAATTTTTTTCTGCCTGAAATAAACCGAGTTCTAGACTCAAACTACCAATAGTGGTTGCGAGGAAATTTTTTCACACGCAAAAATTTTCAGAAAGAATAAATTTACTACAATGGAAGCTCCCGTGAGCGGACACCCTCGGGACACCCTCGGGACGCGAAAAAAGATGTCCATAACTGGAGCTGGCCGCTTAGGGGAATGTAAAAATACAGAGTTTGCATGGGAGGTGAGTAAAACGGGGTTTTGTGAAGGCGGCTGTAAGTAGAGCTGTCCGCTTACGAGAGGGTCCGTTAGGAGAGCTTCCACGCAAGGCTGCTGCCTAACGGGCGCCCGGTCGCCAGAGGCGCCCAAGGTAAGAGCATGGGCGACCAAATTTCGGTACAAGGAGCCCGCGCGGGCGCCTGACTTAACACACGGCATTAGACTTAACCTCCTTGTACATTATATTCCTTTAGCTGGAGTAGGACTTTAAACAGTGGAACTGTTGATATGGTTAGCGATGATGCGATTAGGCAGTATAAAATTTCCACAAATAAACCGTAAATTATGTAAACCTAACGTGTTCAACTGTGAAGCTTTGTCGAAACGAACGAAGCCATCGTTTCCGAGTCCGGATGGCAGTTGAAGACTGGGTCTGAGATTTGACTTCCAAATATGGAATAGCAAAATTATGGGCTGTTTGTTGCCTATGTTGACATTCGTGCAGTTCATCGTTTGCTTGGGTTTTCGTCGATTTGATAACTTTTTTGTGGCGAGAATGGGAAGCTATCTTGCGTGCTATCGACTGGACAAACAAATATTTGCCCCTCAAATATTTTTCCGGCTCATGAATGTGTATAAGAAAGGTAAGAAGCAGTTTAATTGTTACATTTTAGAAAATTCTTTGAAGGCTCTTCTAGGTCACATTGAACACAACAGATGTGGAAGTTAATTGAATAAATTAATAAATGAAAGTAAATAATTCGGTTAATTCTTGTTTACGTGTTATTTATTAGGCCCGGCGAATTCTTATTAAAGTGTGCAAGAACCTCTATAACCTATGTAATGATCTTGGAAAAACAATACATGGATTTCAAACTGGGCTCCTAACAATGTGGCTCGGGCTCCTAACTTTAAACTTTAGGAGCCCGAAGGGCTCCCTAAAATTTTTCTTAGGCAGCAGCCTTGCCACGGGTCAATTTAGGTTGCTAGGAAACTGCCCACCTACCTCTCCCCTAAGCTAATATTAACACCTACTTCTCACTTAGGGCAAAATGATGGCTTAGGGGAGGGGTAGGTGGGTAGTTTCCCAGAAACCTAAATTGATACTCTCTTATGTTCCTTGCTGCAAGACTCGAAGAGATGAGTGTCTGGGATCGAAAGGCAGACTTACGTGTAATGGGCTCTTAGCGTGTAATCCAGGACTAGTTTGTGTTTCTACATATCGTCTGGACGCTGAGGGACTGGTGGATGACTTGAAAGAGATTGGTGACAAAGCTACTGACTGCATCTCCCCTTTGGACTGAAGTCTGAGCTCCAAAGTTTCGAGTACTTTATCCTTCTCCTCAAGTTCGTGTTGTAATCTAAATAATAAAAGCACAATTTATCACATACGCAGGGTGCAAAGAAAATTATTTTTATAGCTTGCCAATCGGGCAAGCTGAAGCTAGCATTTACTATCCCAGACGTCATTTCAACTAGCCCACAAAAGCGTTTTGACCAGCCTAGCAGAATTGATTTCACAGTTCTTCTGTTATTTGAATTCCTCAAAAAACATCACTTGCCCGTCGGAAAAGTTAAAAACAGAATTCACTAGCCCGATAGCAAAATCCACTAGCAACGGGCTATCGGACACTACTTTCCTTGCACGGAACCTAGCCTTCCATACAGATACAAAATCTGTGTGGGAGATATTACCGTCTGTGGTAGCCTGTTAACGCAAAATCGAGTGGGAACGAAAACTGTGTGTTGCTAAGGGAATGGTTTTCAATCAGTTTCGTATTTGCACAATATAAAATCAGAGAGGTTTGGTCCGGAAAACTTGGGGGGTCACTTTGACTGATTAGGGTAAACAAGGAGTATTATTGCAGTGTGAAATGGAGAACTGACACTCAAATGCATATACTAGTGGACACTGCTCTAAAACAGGTCTTTCGCTTGAAGATGGCTTTGAAGGAAATGGTTATGAGTTGACACATTTCCACCTGTTGATTACTTAAGCTAATGGCAGTATACTTGAACAATTATTTTTAATAATGACTGTGGTTTATAAGTCATATTTTCCCAAGCTCTTTTCATCAAGGGAATGCAATGACATTTTCCGCAGGACTGTGGGAGGGGGGGGTGGGGTGGTTAGACTAAAGATACTTGCTATTCAATGTTAGTACAATTTTGACCACACTACAGTCAGGCAACTGATCTTTACGACAAATTACCTCTGCCCCAGTGTCAATAACAGCAAAGCAAAAAGCAAAACGAAACAAACAATTCTTACTTTTCAATCTCGTTTTTCATCGTTGCTGAATGACTGAGAAGATCCGCCAATTGTTTTCCTAGTTGTTCATTCATCATTTTCGCCTCTCTTAGATCGCGCTGTAGTCTTGACACATCCTCCGCTGATTTTCTCGTCTCCTTTAGCTGATCTGTCAGCGTTTTATTCAAACGCCGAGCGTCTTGTAACTCTTTTTGTAACTTCATAGCCTCTGTTCTTACGCCCTTCATCTTTGAGATGGACTCGTTCATCTCTCGAATACGCGAACCCAGCGAATCATTCATTTGCGTCGCATTCAGAAGTTCGTTCCGCAGTCGGTTAACTTCGTCCTCGGATCGAGCACTTTCGTTCAACTGTCGTTGAAGTTCATCATTGCGCTGCAAAGACTCGTCGAGCTGCAGTCGTAGTTCAAACATTCCATCAGATGATCGTGACCTGTCGTGGAGTTTGTCCCGTTCGCTCTCCAAAAGTCTTTTTAATTCTTCATTTGTTTTAATTCCTAATTCATACTCCTTACGAAGTTTCTGAAGTTCTGTCATTTCGCGTGATTTTGCCTCAGGTATCTGTTTCGCCCTTGCTGCCTCCTATGAAACAAAACGGTTTAATTATCACTTAATCATATTTGATTAGTAAACCATAATATGCATTTCAAGGGCTGGCTAAGCTGACGAAAAGAAATCATGATTGGGAGCGGTTGGTCGAGAGGGTATGGTGAACTAAATCCCAGTCCTCACTCCTGAATATTTACTACTGTCTTAGTGGATTCTAGTCCTCGCTCCCGGTCATTTACTTCCGTTAATCCGAATACCTAATCACACTGTTCCAAAGTGAGGTACAGAACCTATCCGTTATGTGCGCCCCACTTTTAAGACCGGCACGGCTCGGTGCAGCGTCGCTCCGTTACAGAAATCGCGCCGAAATCACCGTTTTTATGTGTGAACAGAAAACCTAGCAATCTGGTATGGTTTTCGTGGCAGCGCAAAACCCTTCCGTTATAGTGTGAAAATACCTAAAAAACAAGCAGATAAAAACTGTCCAATATAATTCTTGTACAGTGGAACCCCGTTAATACGGTCACCAATGGACCAAAAAAATTTGGCCGTATTAACAAGGGTTTTTTTTTAAAAGAAAATGTATGGCGGTTTTTGACAGGCGGCCCCACAAAAGTGGCCGTAATAACGAGGTGACCGTATTGACTATTTTCCAATTGCCCATAATACACTCTGTTTACCCCCCAAATTTTGCATAACTTACTGTCTTAAAATGCTCTTGGGAAAATGCAATACTCCCAGGAGCATTTAAAAACAATGGTTTATGCAGAATTTGGGGGGCAAACAGAGTGTATTATGGGCAATTGGAAAATAGAGAATTACCGAGGTGGTTGTAAGGCGGGGTTTCACTGTATAGATATAACTGATGTGAAACTTCCTACTTCAGAGTAAATATGGTAAATGGTAAACGAAAACTCAAGGAAAACGTGGTACACATTGACACGGCAGTGAAAATAAGACAGTAATCAGAATACCTGCATACCGGGCGTCTATTATGTGCAATTTTCTCTAAAGACACCTGATGCGTCCTTGATTGATTTTATGTCCCACAAAATAGTTGATTTTCCGGACATATGTCCTTTGAAGAAAGAAAAATTATTTGCAGCTTTGAACGTTCGCACATACGTTTTGGTCTATACGGAAACGAGAAAAGCGATCTTGTAACCCGATAGATATCGTTCTGTTGTGAGCAGTGATAAAGCAGAAGTTTGAACCGGTTTGAAGTCTTAAACGAACTCGTGTGGACACAGCTGGCCTTACATTTTCGACTGATGTAAATAAGTCAGTTTTCAAAGACATAATGCCTAACAACGCTGAAACGGTTTTTAAAATAGAGGCAAAAAGAGAATTCCGATTTTTGTCCACACTTCCTTGTTAGCGTTCATTTGTTTTTGCATCAATAACATTCATTGCTATTTCTTCTATTTAGCATTTTTGATACGGACTGAGAAAAGAACAAAAATCATACAATTGAATCGAGACAGTCTTGTTGTCTTTGTTTTAAAACTTGTCACAAGAACAACAAGCGTGTTAATTACGTTAAAGCAATCTTAGACATACTGTGCTAAAACCAAACAAAGCAAGAACAATAATATCGAAAAATGCAAATGCGCATACAAAATTAAGGAAATCTAAATGAAACTTTGCGTTGAAAGTACGTCAAATATAAAACATCCTACACCAAACATGGATTTCGATTAAAGTTAAAACCCCGAAATTGTCATTACGACAAAAATAACTGAATTTTGATTAAATTTAGTTACGCATTTGAGAATGCAAATTAGCAAAAAAAAAAAAAAGGTTTCGATGTCGCCTTGACATCATTATCAAATGACAAAATTAAAATTCGAACTGACTTGTTATATACGGTGTGAGGTGGTGACAAAATAAAACAATCAATACGTTTAATTTCTAAACATTCAAACTGTTTTGTGCGGATGGACACTCGCTTAGTCTTCTGCTTCTTTATTAATAATATTTTATCACTTGACAATGACGAAATGGCGACATCAAGTTGTTGTTGTTGTTTTTTTCCCCACTAATTTTTATTCTCAAAAATGACGCCAAATTCCAAACAAACTCGGTAACCCGAAGCAGACCAAGTAAGTGTGATTTATGTGAATTATTTTGTAGGATCAACGAGTGACGGACTCTTGCTGCATAGCGACCAACGCGTTGAGTTTATTTACTCACAAACTGTTAACAATGACTGCTAAAAGGTAATTCTTCCAGTGGATGCAATTATACATTGCGTAAATCAGTGGCTACAGCGCAGTTGAATGAAAGTTTGTTTGGCGGGGCTGGTAGAAATATATACAAATCAGGACTTTTGGTCAAAAAATATAGCATTGTGAGTTCCTCTGGCGAAGATCCGGACAGAAATACTTGGAAATCATTTTCGTTGTGTCGTGATATCACAGTTGAATTTCACTGCAAATGCTAGTCACTGAAAGATTCACAACTCGAGAACAGGACAGACAAGCTGAGATGAAATTAGAAAAACAAAACTTGGCTCCAAAATAAACAAAAGCGACAAAGCTTTTTAAAAGAACTAAACAACATGTATAATCTTTCTACTTACCTGTTCCTTCAACTGACGAAATTCCATCTCCTTCTCAGTCAAAATATTCTTATACTGTTCATTCGTTTGACGACTCTCTTCTAATTTCTGTTCCAGTTCCCGAAGTTTTTCAATGGACGCTTGTGCCCAATCCCTAGACGGAGAAGTCTGTGCCCCCATATCTGAGGCAATACGGTTATTATTGCCTTGAAGGCGCCTTAACTCGTCCAGCTCTTGTTTCATCAGTTCCAACTCTTGTTCCCGTTCAAGAAGTGCGTCGTAGTTACTGCCGTTCAAACTCGAAGCGTAAAATTCTAATTTAGTGTTCGCGTCAGTAAGCCTTTTCTCCAGCTCGCTAAATGTTCGCGTTGTGTTTTCCAACTGTGTTTGTAGAGTGTCTACTTGTTCAGTTAATTCTCTAATTCTGTTGTCTTTATCTGTCAGTGTCTGCGTATTTAAAGCATCCATTTCATTTAGTTGATTCCTCAGCCTGATATTAAGCTGACCGCTCTGTTTGAGTTGTTCCTTTAGTTTTTCCATTTGCTAAGAAAACCAAACATAGTACGTTAGAAATAAACGAGATCAGTACAAACTAACACAGCTTCCTAAACAGCAAAAACAAAGTTCTTTTTTTATATTATTTACAAAGCAAAGACAGTCTGCGCGAGCGATAAAGAGAAGTCCAAAATGTGAAACTCGAAATTGGAGTGTTCCAATTGCGCCAGTCAAATCACCACAGGCACCTCTTGAACGGCTCCATACATTTCTTTTTTACTTGTCTTTTTATGTTTTAAAACCTATACTCACAGAGATAGACTGGATCTAACCATGTTTACGTTCAAAGATGAGGCAGGTACACAAACGCAAATGGAAAGTACATTCGTTCGGATGTTAAGTTTGAAATTTGCACTACCAAATTCAGTTTAGTAATTAGACTTTGCGTTTATTTTTTAAATTTTTTTGGCCTGGAAACCCAAAATGCTGCTGCGACCGAAATTATAAGAGTTATTGCTTGCACTACGTCAGCACATAAAAAGAGACTTAAAATAACGACGTAGGCCTTTCGAGAATTCAGAATGAAAGCAGACTCGAACTACGCACGCTTTTCTTACCTGTTCAAGTTTCTGAACATTTGACAGTGAACTCGACCTTGTGTCCAGGTTGTCTCGCCCCACGCCACTATGCCGCGATTGTAACTCGTTTAAACGAGCCTGTAATGATGCATTCCAGCGTTCACTGTCATCAAGCCTCGACTTCAGTTCTTGGATTTCCCTTTGATATGCGGCGTCATAAGGAGATGCTGCAAGTGGGCTTGCAATTTTCGCGGAAGCAAGTTTATCGTGAAGTTGAGCTCTAAGTGAGTCATTCTGGCGGATTCCTTCTTCAAACTTTGCGCGAAGAGATTTCAGTGCCTGCATTTCGTCGTTGATTTTCATGTCGTGTCTTAAAGAAAAATTACAACATTAACTCTTTAGGATGATGTAAAAGCAGTGAAAAAAAGTTAAGGTGGTATAGTTAAATGCGGCCAGTGGAGTTTCTAATTTAATGACGTCTGCCTGTACCGTTTCAAGAAGAAAGAGCCTTATTTAAGTTTGGCCGCTCAAATCTTCAGTGGTGTTTTACCTGACGACTTGTGCTGATTTGTAAATTATCGAGCTGCGCATTAAAATGAGGCATTATGAGTACACGTCACAACAGAAAATAAGATTGTAGACGATGTGTGAAAAGGAGAAAGCGGTTTTCCCGTCATCGCACTTGTCGCTAGTTTTAAAATATCATCAATGTATTTTACATCATCGTAGTGACTGCACCTGGTTTGCCCAGCATGCTGTGCGCCCTGAGCCACCTGCATCAAGCTGCTGTACAACACACGCTCATTATCCAGGATGTCGTTGAGACGTTTTGTCTCGGAGACCTGAGCTTCCAGTAACTGCTGTAGTTGAAGAACACCAGAATTCTAACAAGACACAACGGTTATAAATTAAACAATTGTGATTGGCTAAAAAATCTCACGCGACTTTCTCAACCAATCAAGATTGAAACTCAAACCAAACGTGATTTTCCCGCGCTTAGCGTCGGCTACACACACTTCCAATGAGTACTGGTTCATTGGTTCACCTGGAACTCTTGTGATTGGTTTAGGCTATTTCCAAGTTCCAAGGAACCTCACTTTCAAAATGAGGACACGTGTAAAACCTTCTGGAATAACATTTCAAAAGAAATGCTTCACATTGGTTGTTGTTTTAAAACAGAGGCTTAAGGGAAATCAGGAATATTACGAAGGTTTTGGTTTCAAAACGTTCATTTCAAACAATTAAAAGGAGAAGAAGCAACACAAATCCGCTATGGAGGCACTTTTGATGGCTACAAATAAGAGAACCTAATTAAATAAACCTTCAGTTGTAAAAGAGATGACCCCATAAAAAGAATGCCCAACCCTTTTCTCCCTTCCCTCACACTTTTTCACCTGCTTGAGAAGCAAAAAGATCCGAAGAAAACAAAGGAGTTGCAAAATAAACACATGTGTTTAATTTTGGACAAAACCTTACAAGAAGGAATTCTATGAGAAAAATACCGGCAAGGAACATTTTTATCACGCAAGCCTACCTGCTCTTCAGTCCCAACCCCCACTCCGGGACTCTCCCGGCGAGGTGACCCAGTCATCTGCAGCCTGGCTTTAAGACTGTTTACTTCCTGGCGGAGTAAGTTGACTTCCTCATCTCTGTAAGAAGCCTGGCCACAGTAAAGTAAATTTTAAAGAAAGTACGTCAATCAAACTGGATTTCTGGTAACAACATTACCGCTATTGACCTGGTGAAAGATTCAAGCCTTTCAATCCGTCTCTTTCAGTATCATATATTTCATATTTTCCATCATTTTTTGTCAATTTTTTGTGCCTGTCATTTCAACGGAAAAACTTTTTTAAAACACAATGGGTTATTAATTCCATGTAAACTAAAGGAAAATGTGACTTTTTAGCTGGTTTATAGTTAATATAGTAAATTGGGACACACTTAACATTAGAATTTAAAAGGAAATGTACCTGATTATCAAGTCTTCTCTTGTAGCTTTCCAGCTGTTGTTCTACGGAATTTTTCAGATCTTCCGTCTCCGCAAGTTGCTGTTTCAGCAAATTACATGAGGACTGTAACGATCGATTTGAAAATTAGCAAAAGTCCCAAAGAGTAATAACTCTTAAAACAACCACATATAAAACCACTAGTTACTTAACATCATTTGCGGCATCAAACGGCATTAAAGATGAGGTTGATGCCAACTCAACAGACTCCCGCAACGGTAACAAGAGGGCCATCCAATCACTTAGCTACCTACACCAATTTTTGTCTCTTTACCATCCGCAAATGTAAAACATCACAGAACAGAACCACTATTATTAAACTTCAGCTGATGGAAGTATTTTCCAACAACAATTCTTGCATGCTTTGAAAAATTCTACTCAAAATTCGCAACTGTTAAGCGCCCATGTATAATAATACTCCTGGCGACACTAACATTTAATTGTAACTGTAACAAACTAATGTAAAATAAAATAACAAGGAGGTAGAAGGCGGATACTGTTGAGACGATATTGGAGATATCGATTCGATATTGATAACATGACAGTATACATTAATACCATACAAGGTGCACATATAGGTATTATACCGTTCTTTGCATCTTACCTCAAGTTCTTGAGCTTTTTTCTGGTAATAACCAATATTTTCTTTCATGTCCTTCAGCTGCTTCTGTTGATCGTCTTGCATCTCCTGTAAAGAACAAACTAAAGTTCAGTGCTTAACATTTGAGCTTTCGTTCTTTACAAAAACGGTTACCATAGAAGAGTTGGGGCCTTCAGGGAACTTAGGATCAATTTAGGTGTCTAGGAAACTGCCCACCAACCCCTTCTCACTTAGGGCAAAATGATGGCTTAGGGGAGGGGTGGGTGGGCAATTCCCCAGGAACCTAAATTGATCTGGAACTTGTAACGTTGAGCTTACTGTGTTTAACACCCTGCCTCATTTAACAACAGTTAACTGCCTCACTGGATATTTACGTTAGGCAGTGATCAATTGCATTTTGTCTTCTCATATTATACTAGAAAAGGGGTCATATCACCTTGTCACTTACATGGAATGGGAAGAGTAAATTTACAAACGGTTTAATACATTTTCGTCTTCAGAATCCAAAGGTTTAGAGAGCCACTTGAGCCTCAACACGAGAAAACTAGACTGCGATGGGCGCCGATTTCACAAAACTAGGAAGCTAGAATGTTTAAGTACCATCGCATTACTGGGTGTAGATAAGGTACTTTTATCTCCATGGTCACCTTAATAATTTTATCCTTCATCTCAGCAGCCTCGTTCATCATTTCAATGTTGTTCAATTTAACCATCAGCTCTGATTCTAACTCCAAGTTTGATTTCTTAAGTGCAGCCTGCAAACAGATTAATTTTGATAAACCAAAAAACAAAATAGAAAATAATTACTTCCCCCCTCCCAAATCTACACACTCACATTTATCTCAACTCTCAACTCTTCAACCAAATCCACCTTCCTTTATTGTTTATTGTTTTATTATCATTTTGCCAAAAAACACAAAATATACATATTAAATTTTAAAAAAGAAGCGACTTGTGTATAGGACCACCTTTGATTATTTCTTCGCAGAAAAATAGTTTTCAGTTCCCCTTTATTGTTTATTGTAATTTTTTATCATTTTGCATAAAAAAACACAAAATATACATATTTCACGAAATTTTAAAAAAGAATTTTGAAATATCACGAGTGGTATTTATGCCAAAGGACCACCACATCATGCTATTATTTGATTATTTCTTTGGATTTTCAAAAACAGGTTTTCAGTTACCCTGCGCTAAGCCAATCAAATTGCAGAAATTCCTCATGTAGTAGTATAAGCACGACAACTAAGAAATATAAAGGGTGGTATTCCCTACGAAGGATAGCCCTTTCAAAGGTAGACGTACGAGTTCTTGGTCTGAGGTAATATTCTCCGGCTACAAAGATACAAAGAGAGAAAGAAAGAGAGAGGAGGAGGCCACTGGCGAGAGTAACCCACGCTGGCTTGTCAAATGTGTTTTTGCGCGCTGGGCGCCAGCTATACATATCCCTTCGTTCTGATTGGTTCATTGGTCTGTCTAAGACTGTTGTGATTGGTCAACGTGATAAAATTGGTTTACAGAACGTAAATGTAATTATTTAACTCACCGATTCTACAAGCGCTTGTTCTTTACTTTTTTGTGCTTCCGCCAAAGCCTGATGCCAGAAGGAAAGTAAAACACTCTTGAGAACTAGTTCAAAAAAACATGAAAGTAATGGAAGACGTTTATTTACCTGCGTTTGTTCAGCAAACTTCTGTTTAAGCTCCTGAAAAAAAGGAGGAGAAAAAGAAACGCATAGTTATACTTACACCAGAGTACAAAGCTATGCCAAGCCAAATTAATCCTTACTTTTTGATGAATTGTCGATTAAAAAAAATCATTACAACGTAGTTCTTAGGAACACGTATGAACAAGAGACTAATTAAATACAAGGACAATGGATACCTCTAAGTTGGGCAGATTCTGTAATCTTGAACGAAGATTTTCATTAGCGGCCCTGAAACGAAATATGACGGGTGCCATTATAACATTAAACAAATTCTTGGGTCGAAAGCCTTTTCCCAAGATAGGTATACAGTATATACGTATATTCAACTTGAAATGGGAAATTAATCATTTCGTAAATTGAATGGAGTTGATTCACGCTACCAACTGCCTTCCTCCTCGAGAAAAAATTGGAATTAACGGAGGCTGAGAGCGGCTGTTATTTTCCCCCAATCCTCCGTATCTGCAACTCCCAGTTTTGAGGGGAGAGGAGTTAGGAGAGAAAGGCCTTTAGAATGAACAGATTAAGCAACTTAGTTACGCTGGATAACAAATTTATACGCACTGAGCTTGTTTCATAAGTGCATCTCTTGTTTGTATTTCCTGCTGGAGATTCTCGAATTTCATCTTCTTCTGAAAAAGAAACAAACGACTTCATTAAAAGACCTTAACGAAACCTAAAAATTTAAAACAAAATTACAGTTAATGAAACATAAACGAACCAAATCAGTTCCAGCAATCTGAAAAAGTAAAATGCCACGACATTCTTTAACGTGCAGGCTAGTTCAGGCTACTCCACCTTTTTATCGATTACATAACATTTGAAACTATAGCAATAATCACCGACCAAACCAATTATGACAGACACTCACAGAGGACTCAAGCTACCGTTTTGCGCTAAACACTGACATCTCTCCCTGTACCTTGACTGTTTTCATTTATTCCCACGCTTGCCATGAATTTCGTGATTTCTTTATGCAAAGTTCTGGAAGCTTGGCGAAACACGTTGCGTAAACAGCGAACGTAACGTAACGTAAACGCCCACGTTACTGGCCATTTTCTAATCTCTCTTATCATTTTAGTCAGGCGTTCATCAAATAATAAAATGTATGGGAAATTTAAGATTAACCTGCTCATCTTCGCCCTGTAGTTTCCTCAAGTTGTTTCTGTAGTCTGATTCCAGCTTCTTTAAGGACTCTGAGAAAATTACAGCATATTATACCAACCATTATTAGTGGTGAAATAAACTTGAGAATTCTAAGGGAGTTGGACAAAAATAAAAAAAGAGTGTGCCATGCTGTATCAGTACATTAGGGAAACATTGTAGTCTGTTTGTTTAACGCACCATGTCTCTATAATCTGTTGTTTAGCTGTTTTCCTTGTGAACAACAACAACAAGGTTTATTTGTAATGTAAATTACAAATAACGTGTCATAAAAAATATATATAGTAGTTTGTCAACCAAAATAACAAGAAAGCAAGACTAGTAGGGTGACCATCATCTGCCATCTGCGTTGATCGCTGTCCAAAACTCAAAGCGGTTAATAAACTCTCACCAGCACACAAGTACAGAACCAAAACAAAAGAGTGCGGTGTGCAAAGAAGCCTTCCGGCTACAACACGCGAGTTTCACTGTTAGCCGATCGTTTCCCTCACCATTTGTCACATCACATTACAAAATGTAAGCTAAGTGTAATTCTCGGTGAACAGCTAACATACCGTCTTTCTTTTGTAGTTCAGCTTGCAGTAAACCGATGTTTCTTCTGAGTTCCGCCTGAAAGATAAACATATGTAGTACGACTTTCTTTTCAAGGAAAGATGCAGCAGAGCCAAAAAATTCGTTACAGACCAACATCACTACGCGACCACCTCCCAAAACCGACCACCCACCCAAAAGAAAGATTTTTCCAGTTAAAGTCAAGTGCTGTAAACGAACATCTCTAATAAGTGACTCCGGTGACCACTTCTTGGATGGCGGTTTTATAATTTGCTTTTTTTTAACCTCTGGTAAGCGACCACTTGACGCATGATCAGTATACAAACAACTTTTGGTCACAACCCATGGCACTACTCCGCGTATTGTACTCGTAAATTAGACTATGTATGCAAGGCATTCTCTTCGCGTCAACCAGACTTGTTTCCGAAAGAAAATATCCTACAGTTTGACCTTCATAACAGACCACTGGAAGTTCGTTTACTTGATTTCACTAAAAAACACTTTATGCACGTCATAATTTCAATTCTATCCTTGGTTTAAATTTTGTGTGCTGTTGTTCGTAAATATGGTGATATATAAGAAAAAGATTCGAACAAAAGAAAAGAAACTATGAATCCACGATAACATGGTATTGCTCCCTTTCAAAGCCTGGCACGCAGACTATTCATTATCACGAAGAACTGAGGATTTCGGAAGCCGAGAGGGAAACCACTGTTAAAAATTGTACGCTCCCTAAAAAAACATTAGTCCAGACGATCCATTTTTAACTCAAGTTCATCATGAAGTTAAAAGTATTTTTTACCACTTCAGCGGGGCTTGGAAATTTGGACGGACTTTTCACAGAATCCTAAAAAAGAGACAAATAAACGTTTTAAAGTAAATTGAGTGGCAAAAGGATTGCAACAGAATTGCAACCGTGACAACGACAACAACAACAACAAAAATCAAGGTAGTTACTCGACTGGACACTGGTGTTATCAGACTAGCTAGCAAGACTTGCTTGTCAGGCCCCAGCTTTTCAAAAAGGTGGATAATGCTATCCACTGAATAAATCACTATCCAGATGATAGCGCACTTGCTTTCCCTAATTATTATCCAGTGGAGAGTGATTTATCCGGGGGATAGCGCTGTCCAACGTTTGAAAAATCGACGCCTGATCTTTCGGAAGTACCAAACGTAAATGCTGCCGACTTCATTGTTTGTACTCCTCAATTGTGACCATTAAGAAGAAAGTTGTTTACTTTAAGAACACTTTCCCGTGGAGCTCTTCACAAAGTTCATGGTACACACTGTTTCAGCTTTTGGTTAAGTGATTCCAGTGCAGCCAACTTTCTAGAGGCTACTCGGCCAACCCGAAAGGTCACGAGTCGGGAATAGTTCTTAAGATGCATCTCAGAGTGTCGGTAGCCCCGGACGAGTTCCTTGCACTCTGTCGAGATATGCTTTTCAGTGACGTTGTTCATTACGCGGCTCAGGTTGGTTTCAACTCTAAAACATTGTTTTGAAATTATATTTTTTGACATTCACTGGAAAAAAAAGACTCAAACTAACCTGCAGTGCTTTCAGCATTTTATCTTTCTGTTTTCCGCTGTCCACTAAGCCCTTAGAAACAAAACGAAAAATGAGGTACTCTTGTGATATCAGTTCGTCCTTTACCAGGCACATTTGAAGAAACCAGAGAGTGTTTGTTCTCCTTTAAATTTCTTCATTTTACGTTAAAAGTATAGATACATCATAGCCGTGCATGAACGTTTAGATAACAACTTCTGAAAATAAGAAAAGCGTGTTTTACTGGCCCTACTTGACCAATCTGGGCTCTTTCTCTTCTAATTCTGGGCTTTTCAAAGCAAGCCACATTCAGTTTGGCAGCTTTTGTGATTACAAGTTATTCATGATGTTCAGGCATTCTGCGCGATGTTAACATTTTTAAAGAATTTCTCACTTAACATTACCTTACAAGATAGTATTATCAGTACATCGTTAATAAAGCTATCCGAGGTCAGTACTAGTTGTCATTAGTACACTTAGTAACTCACCTCAATGGTTTTATCCTTGTCGCGTACAGCCACCTTCAGCTTATTAACGAGCTTGTCATGTTCTTGGGAGGCCCAAGCCTTACTGTTTTCAAGAGCCTAAACAAAAACAAAAAAAATACACATCACCTGACTGACTGTTGAAAGATTAAGATCCTATGTAAGTATTTGCGAAAAAGAGGAAAGTTATTCACTGTAGCCAAACTTGCAACGTAGGAATGGTCCTTGCGCACGATTACGCCAGACTAGCAAGCCTCATTTGTAAACAAAACTTTTTGCATGTGCACTCTTTGTGCGGGGGTATTCTTTTCAACTCTACCGCCTTGAGAATTCGTTTACGCAAAACGTTACAACATTACAATTTCAAAACGAGACTTGATGGTGAAATGTGCTCGTCTGACGTAAACGTGCATAAGGACTATTTCCAAAGGCAAACGTCTTAAGCTCCGCCCACACATATCAGGATATTTTTGAAAACGGGGAGTTTATCTTGTCTGGGATGTCATCATCGAACACATGCGACTTTTCTCTTCATTCCCATAGTACATCTAACTGTAAGTGTTCGTCATCTTCACCATACTACTCGCACTTAACACAAACTCGACCTATTATAAGCTTTTATTTTTCAAAAACTGTACCCGTGCTTCAATTCCTTATCTTTGCGACAGTTCTAACAGATTTTGCAAAACGTTTATTTTATAGTAACTCTACCTGTACTTCGTGTTCTTTGCTGCTCAAGAGTTGCTGTAGTTTCTGGATGGTTGCGTTCTTCTCTGTTTGAGCACGTGTTAAGTCATTGGAAGCTTCCTGTAGGTACAGTATACAACAAAAATGTTAAAATGATCGTCACAATCCTCCAGGATCTCTCTCGGTCAATTTGAACAACAAAGATCTGCGTCTCTGCAGACGAAATTAAGTTCATCTTTGACCTGTGTGTGTGATTCTGACTCATAACGACGTAATGGAACTCCTTAACGGTGATCATTCAAAGAATATTTGACAGATCTAGGATAGGTATTTTTGTGAGCTGGAAAATACTACAAAGCTAAAAAATCACTGCTTCCAACATTCTGCAAGGTGTGTGGCACATATGACAGTATAAATAGCAGTCTAGCTATAACAGCTAATCATGGAGAGTCATTATTTGACTCAGTGCACTGAATATTCAGTTCCTTGTTTGCAAATGTGATGGGTTTAAGTCGGACTCTGTATGAATCAATCTGTTCCATCAGAAACAGCAATACCGCGTCGGTCAGGGGGGACATAAATTTGGTTTGATCAACTGAGTTGATGAGGTGAATTTAATGGCCTCTGTGAGGGGAACCAGTAGTTATCGTATGGAAGACGTACAAAACTGAAGCCGCTGCAAAAAAAAGTAGAAAATCCGCCCAGTGTTACTACTATTCTGACCTTCAAAGCAGTCTCCTTATCTCTTAGCGCTGACATCAGTCTCTGCGTGTTAGCTTCATGAGCAGATGACATTCGAGAACGTTCTTGAAACATATCCTGAAAACAAACCAGAGAAGTCGTTGAAAACATGACCATATCCTCTCTGAGAAACATAAAGTAAAGACATGAATGCGTGGGAAGGAACTGAAGTAAATAGCAAGGAGAAACTAAAAGTATCGCCCCTCCTCCGGGACGCTTTGCTATTACCCTACTGCATGGTAGCTTTTTTCAAGACTGTTTGCAGTCCACCTTTTCTCTATCCCTCGAGTTATCCCAGCGAATCCTGGCGAGCACGCTCCAACGCAAGGCGTTCGCGTTGCCGTCCCCGCCGCCGTTCCCACCGGTGTATGTTAATTGGGAGTTTTAGCATCGATGACGGCGACGGCAGAGAAAACGTCACTTTGAAAAGAATGCATTCTCGTTTTTTGAAACATTGTCGCGCTTAATCCATTTGATTTTCGCTGAAAACATTGATCAAATGTAGGCGAATTTTCCTGGAGTTGATTTCTTGGGAACCGCACTCAAGTTTAGAAAAAAAAAAAAATTCGTCGTCGCTTGTTTATGTCCTCCATATAAAAGCGTGAAATCAGGTATTTTCGCGTCGTAGTCCTGCGGTGACGGCAAAGAAAAGTATAAAAAAGCGTTATGCACATGCAAAGTTGTTATTTTTCCTAACAAACCTATTGCTTTTTGGCGTTCTCCTTGCCGTCACCGTCGTCGTTGCTAAATCCCCCTACTACGCGCGCTGTTTTTTACTCCAGTAACTTGGAGAGGAAAAATAAGAGATAACTGGCAATCTAGCATTTGCCGATATAACCTTCCTTGGTGGTGCAAAGTTTGTAAGGAAACAGGATACGACGACAGAGGAAAAGCTTTGAATGACTCAACGCACCAGCCACTCAGTACTTCATTGAGCGTTCACAACCAGCCGAACCAGGAAAAAAGCCAGTGGGCTCGCTTTAGGCTTTACGAAATTACTTAATAGGTGTCGCTTGTTCAGGACAAAAACACTTTACCTCTAAAAGTTTTTCCTTTTCTTTAAGCAAGTCAGAGATTTCCTGAGCTTTGTGCGCTTCATCAGATAACCCCTCGTCCTTAACAAAAGTCAAAGAATAAACGGTCAGCACAGTAGAAATACAACAAGAATGTAGAAACGAAAAACATTTTGCGATAAACTACCGGTACCTCTTGCGGGCTGCTTAGAGCATTCTTCACAAAGTCTTTTAATTCCTACCGTGGAAAACAACAGCACCAAAAAGTAGTTTTAAGGTTAATTCCAAATAACGGGTTATCATATTTTTAGGAAAAGTTATACAAAAGAAAATCCTTAGCATTTGAAGCTTCTCTAACCTTTAATTCTCCTTCCCTGTTGCTCAAATTGTTTTTAAGTTTCTGAATCACTACTTCCTTCTCCTGTAAACTTGCTTCTTTTGTCTTAAAATCTTCCTGAAATAAAAACAGAAAGAGTCGCTATGACTAAACAGTCCCTGATAAGAATGATTTTTCACGCACGGATTTTCACTTTCTTTTATCACAACTCGACAAGAACTCCTAAAAAAACACTTCAAAAAAAAAAATCTCCCCAAAAAACACTTCAAAACGAAACTCCAGTCTTTCCTTGTTGATACATAAAAGAAACATGATGACTACATTGATATTTCCCAAATTACCTCTGCTCTAAAAACGTACAAATAGAACTTAAGTTGCTTCATTCAAACTTACTTAATGAAACTAAACTTGTAATGGTATCTTAAGTTATGTAAACAGAGGTTTATATGCTTCTGATGTAAACTACCAAAATTTGTGCCAGTAATTAAGTCTCCTTTTGTAAATTTAGTAAATATTAATCAATCATTGTCACTGTAATGTTTTAGTGTGACTGTTCCGCCCAGATTAACAAATCACTGCTTGCAGACCAGTCTCTTTGTGTTGTGTATTTACAAATATTTACTCAAATAAAGTTGAATTTGACCTTGAAGTTGAACTTTCGCTTGAGCACGAACTTAAACGTGATAGGGACCGCGAGGAACATGCTACAACCAGCTGCACAAAGAAATCGCTCTGTTAAGTAAGACTTTAATCAGACAACCAGTTTCAAAAACGCTTGAGAATTAAAAGAAGGATCTACTTGATTCTTTTACCATTTGTCCTTTTAGCTGATCCTCTAATGAGGCTGCTCTTCTCTGTAGTGCTCCATTCTTTTCGTTGTTTGTGCTCTCCAAAAGCTGCAAAAAGAAAAGGGAACTTAACCCTCTAAGCCCCAATATCCAAATACAAATTCTCCAAACTGATCTCCATACATTTCCTTAAAGAATAAGTTGAGAGAATTTGTTTGTAGATTAAAGCTTTTCCCATCAGGTGATCATTTTATTAATTTTCACAACATTTTCCCTTGATTATATATTGACATTGTTTGGGGAAAATTGACTTTGATCACCCTTGGGTCCTAAAGGGTTAAAGACTTTTGAGCGATGCACGTCAACCGGAAGTGAGGCCTTTTTTCTTTTCATATCAGAGTCCTTGTACCCTGGGTGTCAGAGACTTTTCTAGCGCGGTTTCCGGTTTCAGTCAGGCTTTGCCGCTCGTGGATTCGGCCTACGGCCGAAGATGTGTCACACCGAAAATTCCCGCCGCACGCGAGAAAAACTTCTGGTACCCAGGGTAGAGTTCTTGACGCTACCAAATGTGTATTGCTTTGACTGATCCTAAGCTAAAGTGTTGGAGTGATGAATCCTTTAACATTTTTTACACCAAGGAATACATTGTTTTCAGTACATGAAATCAATAAAAAACAGCCTCATACTTACTTTATTGTTTTCTTCAGATTCGAGGACTGCAGAGTTAATTTTTTCAATCAGCCTATCGCGTTCCCTCAAGGATTGTCTTAGCTGTTGAAGTTCAGCTTCTTTGCCTTGAAGCGCACGCTGCTTTTCTTCAGCTGCAACCTGTGGATATCAGTTACGTTAGACTAGCATAAGAGTCCTTTAAAATGTTAAAACACGTTTCCTGCAGTGCTAAACGTGCACTGGAAGTTTTTTGGGGGTGGTGGGAGGGGGCGAATAATTTTTTCAATGACATAAGGCAAGGTGCGAAACACGAAAAAAACAAGTGTGAATAAGTCATGACTGGTAATGGCTCTAGTTCCCAAGGTCGAAAAAATAGCGCGAAATTTCCGCCAATTACAAAGAGTAGCTTTAGGGACCATTCTAGAGAGGAATCTGGTCATATTGAATCACACTCACCTGCAGTGCACGATCCTTTTCTTGCATGTACTTCGTTAGTTTCTTCACGAGATTTTCCTCATTATCAGATGGGCTCTAGAAAATAAGCAGCACCCGGTGAGCAAAACACACAAGATAAGTTGAACTAAAACGTTAACCAAACGGTAAACTCTACCTTTACGCCTGAGTCGTCACCAGACTCCCTCAAAGCCTGCAGGAAGTCCTAAAGGACAAGAACCAGTGAATGTTATTGAAAGTATTTGGAACAACTGTAATGATACACAATTTAAGTACACTTGTTTCCAGGATCCAAGCAGAGGAAAACAATGTTCATCAAATGGAATTTTGGATTGTGTTAAAATACCATTTGCCCTTCAACATCGCCAAGATACCGAAGCAGAAATAAAACGTTTTAGTAACCTTATTGTTACAACACAATTATATAGCCCTCCCCAAAAATGACCAATATCAATTTTTTCCAAACAATATCCATTTACAAACAGGTGAAGGGGTTAACAGAATTCATAAAATGGTCAGTAAAGCGGAAATGGTCTGATTTTGCTTCCTCTTCCACACTGCATGAGTATAAAATAAGAGCATGTCAGGAAATAACCGAAGTTGTATAACTGTTTACCGCAAGTAAGTTGTCCTTCTCTTTATTGTTCGCTGCCAACTTCTGAATGATTCTGTCTTTTGCCTCAAGTTGTTCTTGTGCCTCTACAGATACTCGCTACATTATCAGAAAAATGCATCAGCACGTAGTTTGGGATCTATAAACACGTTTCACTTTATTCTCCATATCTTCATTTCCACTTTTATAAAATACCTGATAAGCTTCTTCTAAGGCATCCATCTTGGAATAGTGCTCTTGCGATAGAGCTTTATGCTTTTCCAATAATTCCTGTTTAGAACAAAACAGGAAGGAGAACAAGGTTATGTTTACACTAGTTGAGATTTTTCCGGATTCAGCAATGTATTTAGACTTATTACGTTTAGGGATATTCGGATTGGCAGACGCTTACATTCATTACGATACATAGTAATCACTTAAGCTTCCGGATTCAAAATCCACGGACATGCAACGAAACCGGGGCGATTTTAAATCGGATTCACGCATCTGCATGTACAGTCAACCCTTGCCTTACTGGCACCTGGCTATAACGGACGGTGGCTAAATACCGGAAAAAACTAAATTACAGAAGTTTGACTGAAATAAACTCCCGCTATTACGGACTCTCGCTAATGAGGACACTAGAGCGATTTTCGTATGACCTTCACAAATGGTTTCGGTAAGTGCTAGTTATTTGTTTTATCAGCCAATGGATGAAAAGATCAAAACATGTACTCTTCGTTTTCCGGCTCAACAGAAAACCCTAATATGGAGAAGGCATTGATCGATTGGTCAATCGTGTCGCAGTATGACGTCAAAGCGAAGTATCGATTGATTTCTAGGACGTTCTCGGGCATGAAGTTTTTTCATCCGAGCGTTGGCTTAACCAACCAAAAGCCACGCGCGTTTGTATCCGTTCGATAAACCAATCAAATCGCTCTATTTTCGTTCGTTTGTTGTTTCTGTCTTATTCGCGCGTTTTCATTTCAAGGTCATACGAAAATCGCTCTAACTAGAGGTCCCTACAGTGTCCGCTATAATGAGAGTTGACTGTAAACTCTCACCCTTTTCCCTCCCCCTGCTCGCAATTTTTTCACCCTTTCCCCAAACAGAGAGCCTGTTCACAGGCTAACGGCAAAACGAATCCGATACCGCCAAAATGATCTGGGAAAACTCTCCGCCATTAAAAATCAGGCTACATTGGGATTCGAACGATGACATTTACAACGTCTGGACTTTGCTAATCAAGACCAACTGTGAAGAGCTGGGCAATCGTGAGCTCGTATTATCCCCGATAAAGCTCTTCGATAGCGCCCAACATACGTAGGACGAACAGAATTACTTCGCTGATAGGGAAAAAAGTAACTTCTACACATAATTTCCATTAATAGTTTATGAGTATCTTAATCATTAAAGAAATGAAAATTTTTCTTGGAGCAAAGATACATCTCGACTACTAAGGACATTTTCACTGTGGACTTACAGCTTGTTCCCGCTCTTTTTGTTTCATCAGTTCATCCAGTCGTTTCTCCAGCAGAGATTTTCCATTGTTTAACCTCTGAAGCTCGATTTCCTTGGCGGACATCGACTGTATTAGTTTCTGAAACGCAACAAAAAACACTACTTTGATACTTTAGTCCTAGTACAGTGGGCTAAATGAAAATTGGAGAAAATTTCTAAGTTTGTACCATGCGGTAAGCTGACAACTACTATTGAGCGGACGACCAGTTCAGTAAGCCCGATTTTTTTCTTCCCTTACTACTTGCGAAACAAACCTGGGCCCAGTTGTTCGAAGGCCGATTAGTGCTTAACCCGGGGTTAAATTTAACCCGTGTTCGTTTTTCTTATGTTCAAAAGCATTTTCTCGGATAATTTTCTCTGCTATTTTTAGAGCTTCCAATCATCACCTTGTAGACAAAAAGAATTAAAACTGAAATGCTTTTTAAGCTTTCAAATCTGAATTCAAATCTCGCACTAACCCTGGGTTATCTTAACTCAGCTTTGAACAACTCGGCCCTGTACACGTATTACCCTGGGTACCAGAGGTTTTTCGTTCTCTCACTCGGCGAGATGTTTCGGGGTCGGCTGCTGATCGATATATCTTCGGCCAAAGGCCGAGGACACGAGCAGCGAAGCCACGAAATAAATGGTCGCCGAAAAGCGCGCATGAAGGGTCTCTGGTATCCAGCGTAAACCTGTGTGAAACAGACACTTCTATTAAACGGTCACTAGCGAGGTTCCCGCAGAAGTGTTGTTAGTAAAGGCATCCCTGTATTAACATGTGAAACAACATCACTTACCAATTATATGGGAAAACGGAAATTCCGGTTAAAAAATCCGAGATGGTTTCCACAGTTCCGTTTGGGAAGTTTAAGAAAATGTGGGCTGTCGTTTGAAGCGATCAATTTCTCTATTTGCGTTTAGTTTCTCCAGCTGTTTTGATCACAATTTGTACTAAGTCCTTCTCCAGCGAGGTTATTATTAATCGTTAAATGTTTATGCAGGGGATTTCTAACCAGATAGTTCGTGTAAATGGGAAGCACCCAAGAAAGTCAAAGCTTTACTGCATCCCTCATACACTAACAAAGCGGTTGATACTGCGACTGAATTAGGATTAGAGGAAGAATTAATATCAGCACATGTGGTCTACGACAACAGCAGATTAGTAAATTACCTCTAATTCCATGTCCTTAGCGCTCAAAGAGCTTTGTAGAGCAGCTATCATGGCATCTCTTGCTTTCAAAACTTCAGCGTGTTCCTCGAAAGCCTGAAGTATTTCAAATACACATATGTTCAAGAGCAACACTTCACTGGGTTTAAACTATGTTTTAGCCACTTGAAATTGATGTTGGTAAGACAAAAGTGCACAGAATTTAATTGTTATATTTTTCCACGACAAATTAACCGCTAACAACTACTCCTAAAAGGTGAAGTCGGCCTCCTTTATCTGTCTGCAAAGTGTACCGTCTATGGAAAAGCGCGGGAAAACAAGCATAAGCAAGTGATATTATTTGTTAAAAAGCGAACCAAAGAGTTCACTAAATTACTTTCGAAAATCAATTGAGAACTATTTTTCAAGTTATTTGTTTGCTTGTTTGTTTTTTTCTTTTTGTTTTCTTTACGTTTTTGCTCTGTGAAAGTCATGGTAAAATACAACCATAAAAAGAAGTGTTGGGACAATATTATTGTATGTTTTCCTCAAACTTGTAAGGGTTGAAAAAAGGGGTCAACCTTCCCATCCATATCTCTTTGAGCTGATAGCTTGCCCACAGGTTACATACCTGGTACCACTTCCTTTTAGCAGTATGAGCAGCTTCTCTTGTTGCTGTCAAACTTTGATTCAAATCCTGAACTTTGGTGTACAGCTTTTGTAACTAGGAGTTAATTCACAATAAAACATCGATTGACTGCTGCTAAACAAAACTATTTTCCATGTTAACAATAACTTTATCTGCATTCTCATCCACTGCACATTGCTAAGAAATTCGAGGTACCAAAAAAACATCAATAATTCCATCTCACTTTTAGCTAACAATACCAATATGAACCTCAATGACGAGTTAATTACAGTTGAATCTTTGCTTATTTTACAACGGCCACTTCTTATTCGTCCAGACAAACAATTTCGTTGTACTTCGTGACAATAAACAATATCAAAAATTAGTTTTATTTAAGTTTAAATCTATCTACAGGTCTCATTTTAAATTGTTGGGACACTCGGACACTTTTAATACTGAATTCCTGCCCTCCTAAAGTTGCAGTAAATGATTTGCTGTATCAACTGCGATAAACAACATTGGGAGATAGAGGAGACGGGCGACAAGGGAAAAACAGCGTTCATTGGAAGTGTCCCAACTATTTTTGTCGAAGAATGTAGGGCTGACGATGCATTACATACCTCACTATCTCTTGAACTGGAACCATCCCTGTGACTCTGTGCAAGTAAAAACAAGCGATGAGTGACACAGTACATTGAACATACTCGAGCTCCATCAAGCACACAATACGCGTCTTAACGAAAACCGTGCATGGTATGTGCGCGATTGGAGGGCAGACTTTGGGTCTTAACAAGCCCAGATGGTTATGTTTCGTGCTGCTACTCCCATTTACTAACGTGTACGGTAATTCCAGAAAAAATATCCATATTGGAAATTCTAGTGGGGGAGGAAGGGTCTTAAAGAAATGTAAAGCAATGTATGAGGCTAATTTGGGACTTCCACACGGGAGGGGGGTTATAAAACAAATCCCTTCCATAGTGGGGGTGAATATTTCTGGAACTAAGCATTACAGGAGTTGATCTTTTTTGGCAATTCACACCTGTGACAAAGAACTATCCATTGAACTTCTGGAATGAAGCTGTTCCCTTTCCTTTTCATGGAGCTGATTTCTTAGGTCCTGAAACAAACAGAAAGGACAATATCATACAAAAACATTGAAACAAAACAACGTTAACATACGAAGCTGGTAAAGGGACTTTTGATGCACGTAGTAAAAGACAACAACAGGACCATGTCTTACCCTGTTTGTTCTATCCAGTTTTTTAGTTTTCTCCTTTAATTCCTTGAAGAACCAAATCAGATCAATAATATTACGCTAACAAGAACTATTCAAATAACCATGACTGTATATGCAAGAAGTGTATACATCACAATGTAGATAGTTTATGCGGCCTATATTGAAATAAAATTGCACCTACAAAGGATGCATTTGAATTTAGAGTTAAGTTTTGTGATCGGATCTGAATTTATGCTTCTGGGAAACTGCCCACCTACCCCTCCCCTAAGCTAACATTAACACTTACCTCTCACTTAGGGCAAAATGATGGCTTAGGGGAGGGGTAGGTGGGCAGTTTCCCAGCAAACCTAAATTGATCCGTGTAATGAACATTGAAAGTCAATGACAGCCCCTGTTATGTACAAGGAAATAAATAAACCTCTTAAGCTCGTCAGGTGCAAAACAAAGTCCCATTCAGTTGCCGTGGCCAGTGTTAACGTCTCATGTACCTTTGTCCAATAAGCAGGCGCCCCGGAAAGTCCTCTTCAAACCAAATTATTAACTTACACAAGGGTGTTCTTAACCCTTTCACCGCCAAATTTAGCCAAAAGCAAATTTCGACCAAATTTCCAAATTTTATTTTGTGAAATTTTGAAAAACAAATAGCACCATGTGTAAGTACAGGCAGAGAGCTTTCATTTGAATGGTCACATTGTAGGATTTCGTCCACAGACTCAAAAGTTAGAACTACATACTAAACAAATAGCACCAAGTGTAAGTACAGGCACAGAGCTTTGATTTGAATGGTCACATCATGGAATTTGGTCCACAGACTCAAAAGTTAGAGTCACCTTACAACTGCATCAAGCAATCTGGCCGTGAAAGGGTTAAAGGAATTTCCTCTTTGTTTGTCTTTTTGTAAGTTATGCAAGTAAGGGTGAAATTACATAACCTGCATAGAAAACCAAACTTTTAACAAAAGGATTCTATTCCAGCCGTATATTACAACACCATTCAATTTTTCATAGAATTAATATTTTATTCACTGAGCCTCACCTCTACTTTTTGCTTTCTTGTTTCAAGTTCATCAGTAAGTTGTTTGATCCTCTTTTCACATTCTTGGATCTTTTTTGCATTGATTTCCAGAGGTGCATTCTGAATTGAAATAGAAAACAATAATTACAAAAACAGACGAACAAATTAAACAAACAGACAGTGAAGTGCTCAAGTCTTTCACAATGATAACGGAAACAATAGGCAATTGTACCTGCGGAATTTCATGTTCTTGACTTTCCAACATTTCCTTAAGCTTTTCAAGATTATCTTTTAAATCCTGTGTAAGGATATGCAATTATGGTAAAAATTGCAGCGTTTAAGTTTGCAGTTATTAACCATCAAATTACAGTCATCATTTCAAACCTTAACCGCCATTATCAAAGCTATAAACATAATCAGCATCATTACTGCAAATACCAACATAAAACCATTAACATTCCTTTATTAACACCATTAGTACCATCACCATCTACATCATTAAAAGCATTGATTTTATAGCCAAAAAGGTTTTTCACAAGAATGAAAAAGTCTCCATTACAGGGCTGTCAACTCCCCACATCATCAACTATTGAGAATTGATAGGGAAGTAGTGGTTGATGACATCATATCGCACAACAAATGACATCATTTGTGCCAAAAATGCTCGTTGATTCCGATTGATGTATATAGTACATATATAAACAGTTCATATTTAGCCACATTATTGCTATAGTGGCATACCAAAATTTATGAGGAAACGTTCCCCGTTAACAGTAGCTCAAACAAAGCAAAATATTTGAAATTTTATGGTTGGAAAGTCGAGTCTACAAGAAGTAGCAACTTCGGCGATTATCCGGGAGATATCAGACTCTAATCTGGAGACCGGGAGACATGGTCCAAAATGTGGAGTCTCATGGATTATCTGGGAGAGTTGACAGCACTGTCATTAACATTAAGAGGCTGCCAATAGAGTGATTTTCAATGGATTTCACTTAATACACACCTTGTTTTCTGCCTTGGTAGAGGTAAGAGATCCCCTCAAGTCATCTATCATCCTGAAACAAATCAAATCAAATCACTGAATGAGGAGGTTTAAGAGGTACATGTATACCGTATAACCACTGCATGTTGGCTCACATAAAAATGAACTAGCAATGTGGATTTGAAAGCAAGTTTGGAATTAATGCAAACACAATAGGCCTTGGATGGAAACATTTGTAACAACTTTTAAAAGAGACAGTATATTAATGAGGAAAAGAGAACAATAATGGAGGATAATTGTGTGAATGAATGAAGAAAAAAAGAATCAAGACTTAAGAGGATTTGAATGAATTACCTGTCCTTTTCATCTAAAGTGGCTTTTAAAGCAACCTAAAAAATCAAAATATTTTTGTTATTCATGATTCATTAAGTGCTATTTTAATTAAAGCAACATTGAAAAAAAAAAGGATTGCTGCGTAGTCTCAGCCTAGGTCTTGCTGTGTCACAGCAATGCAGTAGCCATACTTCTGGGACTTGGCCTCTCTGGCTATATATGCCAACACCAATAACACTTTAATAAAAATTAATGTTACCCTGCAAGTAGAGGTTTCTCTCTTGCATGGCTATTGGCATTTACGAAGTCGTTCACTTCGCTTGTCAGTCACGTAGTTGGTTTGCTTTATACACCCTGGGGTGTATAAAACAACCAATTACCACGCAACTAACAATTAGCAACACCATGCAAGCAGGGTATAAAATGTCCAATTTGATTCAAAAACAGAACCAAGAGCTACTATATTCATACTTTGAATGGTATTGTCATCAACTGTTTTTAATTTTTGTATCTGTTTCACCTGTAATTGTTGTTGATCTTCATGGAAGCCGTCTGTGCTTTCTAAAAGCTTTTCATTTAACTGATGATTGAGATTAGCTGTTTCTGCCTGTATGATGAGAATAGCAAACTACACGTATTAAAAAAGGAAACATGCCGTGCAACATTCAGTCCAGTAGAGAAGAAGGATGCTACAAAACTGCAAACTTTAATCACTGGTCAAGGTACAGAATAGATTATCATGTCATTCATTCTGAATGACATCTCTAACTTAAGCATCAATTAAACACAGAAGCAAATTAATGCTACCACTTAAAAGGTAAAGAACCTTTAGAATAATGTTATTATCACTTACAAGTTTTTCAGTCATGTCCTCCAGTTCATGTCTTGCAGCAGTCAAGTCCTAGAATCAGCAGCAACACATCAATAACTTTTTTAAATACGACAACTACAGCACTGTACAAATCAAATGAAACTATTCTAGCGAAACAGAGAAGACAATAGATAAACGTACTCAGGTCACAATTTTTCGGCAAAGTAGAAGATTACGGATTTTAAACTAGAACATACATTTGTATGTGTCAAACCTTTTCCATTTCTTTGATCTTGATCTCATACCCCTCTCGAATTTCTCTCAACTCCTCATTGTGTTCCTCCGTGAGCTACAAAAAAATTTTATTTTAAGAAAGGAAGGTTTGCTAACAGGTAATTTATTTTCATAATTACACCCATGTACATTACATACATGTAGGTGTTTTATAACATAAATTAAACTTAAATGTCAAAAGAAGGAAAGGCAATAAAATGCTCTATGTTTGTTGATTAAACTTCACTCCTGACCTCCTCACCATATGTCCAGTAATTTCTGTTTGATTTCCCTTGAAAATCGCCAGTTAAACAAGCGGTTCATCGTTTCAAAACAATACATGCAATGTAACTTGTGAACTCTTAATCAATTAATCAAGCAGTTCTTACTATAAGTGCTGAGAATAGTGTCTCTTTTATCCAAACCTTTTTCAGAGTCAGCACAGTTAGGCTCCCCCAAAAAGGTTATTTTCCCAGATTTTCCATTTACAAGCCAGCCTTTAATTTATTTCCCACCTGTTTGATCTCACTGTCACTGTGCTGGGCTACAGCTTCAACAGCATTCCTGCAAGTGAACAGAGAGAGATTTTAGATTATTTTTTATCATTTTTTTAATGTCACCAGGCAATGGATGATTTTAATATTTATGTTGTAGATGTAATATGTAAATAGGGTATATTTGTTTATTATAATATAGTGTCTTCAATTAGTGTGTTAATGCTAGAATGACTAACACTTTAATGACTACTTGCGTATTGACTATAAGATTTTACTTTTGACTTTCAAATGTATTTATGGCCCAGAGCCAACTTATCTTAGAGATCTTATTAGTATAAAATCGAATTCATTATATAATCTTAGGTCTACTGGTAAGCTCTTATTGGACCATCCCAAGGGAAAGATGCTTACAACATTGGGAGCAAGATCATTCTCAGCAGCAGCTCCGAAACTCTGGAATGAGCTACCTGTGGAGCTTCGTCAAGCAACATCGCTTAACAGGTTTAAATCTCGGCTTAAAACCTATCTTTTTAAGAAGTATTTTTATAGTTTGTAACTTAGTTTATTTTATTCTCACAGTAATGTATTTTCGTTTTCTTTTAAACAATTATGATTGTAAAGCCCTATTGATCAGCACATGTAAATACGCGCTATATAAATTGGTAAATTATTAAATTATTATTATTACTGCTACTACTACTACCACTACTGACCACTACCACTAACACTACCACTACCGACCACCACCACTACCACAACCACAGTGACTACTTCTACTACTACAGCTTCATGTGACTGATGATCAAGTAGCAGGATTTGTTGCTGCATTAATTTGTCATTTTGAGGTTGCATTCGAGTCTGGGTTGGGGTTGTGTTGCATTATGGGTCTGTTATGAGAGATCTATTCCTTCTATTATATGCCATTGCAAGATTGCACTGGAAAATAGGTCCAAATTTGTCCCACAAAACAGTGCCATAGTGTACATTGTAATTTGTCCCAAAACTGACCCAGTCTCAAATGCATCCTTGAAATAACCTGCCTGCAAAGTTGTAGGTGATAATCATACTCCAGCATGTCACCCATCTGGTCTAGTGAACACATGCATAGCTGCTGCATACCAACCATCTCTCATCTCTCACAGATTAAGGTAATGTTACACAGGACGATTTGCAACAAGGATTTTTAGTACAACACAGGGTTCAAATGTTGCAGCCATTCGAAGCAATGTAACGACAATGTTGTAACGCTGTGTTGCGCTAAAAATTGTCATTGCGAGTTGTCTCATGTACCATCACCTTTAGGCATGCCTCTCATGTTTGCACATCAGAAACTTCGATCTCATCCATGCCCACTCAAAGCTATGGACCAATATTTCTCATGTATGGAGGAACATTTTGAGCTGTTACAGTCTTAACTGATGCATCTTAAAGAGATAATTTCTCTAAATTCAAAATGCCCTGTACAGACTTCCAAAAGTGGATATTAGTTCTATTTTTTACTTAGTTCATTAATAATTTAGTTCTATTTTTTTATAAATCATTAAACTAAGTAAAAAAATAAAACTAATATCCACTTTTGGAAGTCTGTACAGGGCATTATGAATTTCTTGAGAAGTTCAGAACTCCTCAAAATGAGTTCAGAAATTGTTTGGAAAAGTCTTCAGATATAATTGGGTTCTTTATGAAACAAAAGCTGGCAGCAGCTGAAAATTGCAAGGGGGAGTGGGACAGTATATAAGCCAAACTGGAAATTCCTGGGGTTGGACTCTTCCAAGCAAAGGAATCATTCACTAATAGGCGATTTGCAATAGTTGGTCATGTGATCAACCTTCTGTAAACATGAAAATAGTTATAATGCTTCTGGAAAATTTTCTAGCAGGAACTGAAAGAGCAAGTTAATATTAAGTGAACTGTGAATTTTCAGCCTTATATCTCAAAAGGAGCAACTACAATGGCCGCCCAAAAACAGGAGGATTTGTTTGAGAAAAACAACTCTTGCCACCCAGTCACGCTTGAATGATTTTCCATACAAATCCTTGTAAAATCTTGACATTTTTGAACTGCCGTTAAGTCTTTCCCTTATGCATTTAAGTACTCAAATTGCCTGTTATGAATAAAAATGAGATTTGAGCCCCATAATGCTTTAGGAAGTATTTTATAACAGTTTGAAAATTTCCAAATTTACAAGGGTTTGTATGGAAAACTACTCAAACATGACTGGGTGGCAAGAATTGTCTTTCCCATGCAAATCCCTCAAATTTTCAACCGCCATTGCGTTCGCTACTTTTAAAATATACGGCTGAAAATTTACAGGTTATCTTATTTTAGTATGCTCTTTCAGTTTCTGTTGACAAGATTTTTCAAAAGCAAACTGTTTTCATGTTTTCAAAAAGTTGATCACCTGATCGACTAATGCAAAAGGCCTATTGAGAAAGAATGGTCATTTTTCAAACACAGTTTCACAGACCTCTTCACAGTTCTGGTACCACATTGTTTAAGCAAAATACAAATGTGCGAGATTTTTATTACTTTTGAGACTCTCTCATTCAGTTTGAATGTGCCAGAGTTTAATTTCAAAGTTACTTCTAATGTAGCATATATTTTAAAACTTGGGAAAAAACTCAGCTACTTACCGGGCCTTGACAAGCAATTCCTGTCTTTCAACAAGCTCCTTCTTTAATTTTTCCACTGTTACCTTGAGTTCTATGTTCTTTAACAACATCATTTAAAAAAATTAACAACTTTACATGTATGTTAAAAAAACAATGTATATAATAATACTTGCTATTATTTATACTGACCTTTAACAGTAAAAGTGATTGCTCGCATTACATGATGCATCATGATGATCTATCTTTCATTGATTGAAATGTTTCAATTCACTTATTCATTTTTTCCACGCTAAATAACAGTCAAAAATCTTGGACACCAGTAAGGTTCACAAGTTAACAATCCATTTAGGGGGATCTTTAACAGTAGGTTTGTACATTAATATACATTTTTGGTAGTTAATCTAATTATATTTAAGTATATTTTTGACTTTACTGTTGTGGCTACTTCTAAGACCTGCTCTAGGCTTTAAAGTTGGTGGATTAATTAGGAAACATAAAATGAAATGCACATAATATTAATTTTGTCAAAGAAATGGACTTGAAAATTTGGCCTTTTTAAATTCAATAACTCCACTTTTGCAGTTTGAGTGTAAAAGACATCTCTATTGTTAAATATTTACAAAAAGTATATACTTACAGCTTTGAAAATATCCTGTGGAATATCACTGTTATTCTGTTGTTCTTCAAGGAAATAAATCCTCAGCTTCAGCCCAAAATTCTCCTTTTTCAGTTCTGAAATTTGCTGTTGGAATTTAAAAATACCAAAGAGTGAGAAGACAAATTTTAATTGGCCAGAAATACTTACAATTCAATGATCCTCAAAATTAAAACACTTAAAAACAAAAACTCTACGTTAATATTAAAATTTCCTGCTGTTACATCACTAAAGTAAAGGTTGCAGAAATGAAATGAAGTTTATACCTCATTTTGCTGCTTTGCCATTGTTTGGAATTAAAAACACTGGCCTTGTCTTTGAATACTCAATCCACATGGATTTTGACATGCTTAAAATTACAATGAAATATGTACTCCAATCTTGAACTTTGGGAGCAAAAATAGTACATATAGTGTATATGTTCTAGTGTTCAATATTTTCTACTTTCTTTTTGCAAATTGGAGAACGTATTAACAAAACAATGATAAGTGAAAGAGGTCTTTATAAGAACCTGGCTGAGAGGGAAAAAATGGCCAAGTCATGAGTATATGCGCATATCAAGATGGATTCACACACAGGAAAGCTGAAACATGAGACATCTGCCTTAGCAAGACAGCAAACACACAAACTTGATACACTTCCTTTTAAAAGCAGACAGGTGAGTAATAGAGACAAAATTTGTCTATATTCACCAGCATTGAAAACAACCTTGAGCTATAATATGACAATGTTCTGTAAAGTTCTAAATTTATGAGAGGATGAAATTCTTGCATATGGCTATTAATACCTGGCACCTTCATGGCAACATTATTTTTCCTTTCACTTTTTCTATTTTAATTTACATTTTCTTTCTCTTTTTTTCTACATGGAAATGAACACTAGCCACTAAATTATAATATTCTCAACAGCATTTCCTCCAAGTAATGATTGACTTTTGCAAGAAGTTTTATGAATCATTGTTGACGTCCATTCTATTGACGCTTGCATTATTAAAAAAAAAAAACAAATAAATAATAATAATTTATTATTATAAAAAAATATTTTTAGCATAATTATTACTGTTTTGATTATTATTACAAATTATTATCATGATCATTATTCAAGGCCTGGGCTGTGCTCAAAGAAAAAATTGAAGGAAGCCCGGTGCTCTGAACCTGTAAAATCCAGGCTATCTGGCATATGATTTTTATGGGCAAAAGTTACATTTCCTGGTCAGCCAAGACCAAAAGTAAGGTGCCAGAGAAAACTGGGATCTACTAAAAAAACACCTCTTGATTGACCTAACAAAAAAAAATAATAATGTAGAATTTTGGGGCAGGTAGAATGAAAGTGTGAACCACATCACTTTTGAAGAGTTTTACGTTTAAGTGTAAAATGGACAGAGTCAACTACTTATTATTATTATTATTTCTTTATTAGTAACTGGTGAAAAACAAACAATATTCTGGGTACTTACATATTCGTAATCCTTCATTGTCTTTGTTTGTGGTGAGCCTGTAGTGTCCTGAGAAGCTGTTCCTGACAAACCAGATAATTCCATAGGATTTGAAAAAAAAATCATGAAATAAATTAAGTTTCTGCATTAATACCCTTAATTGGTGTTGAAAGCATTAAGGTTGGTAAGGGGAGGTCAGAGAAATAATATAATAACACATAAATGAGGGGTGCATAAAATAAGGCCATAAGTAATTCATGATCATAATAGCAAATTCTCCCTTCGATTCAAAATTGGATGCAAAGCAGATTGGAAGAAGAATCTGGATAGCATTATTAATCAGAAGTTAGTTTGGGTTTTGTTCCTGGTACCTCACCATTGTGCACGGCCAAAAATACCAACTAGCAGAAGGACTAGCACTGTAGGCAATTACCAAGCGTGGTCAAGGCACTGAGCTTAGGATAACCATGAAACAACTCCGACCAAATATCCAAATGAAAACACACAGATACATTTTTTCTGAACAATAATAATTTAAACAACTTGTCTTTTTGTCTTTTTCCACAATGTACAAAATTTTCCTTCTCCCATTCCTTGAGTGGGGTAAAGGTGGGTAGAGGGAGCTCATTTTTCAAGTGCTCCCCAAAATGCAACACAGGGTGTCCCAACAATTTCATTGATTGAAGGGATCAGTTAACAATAATGTATGCATTTGAATTGTCACACACATCATTTTGCCCAGCTGAAAAGAGGAACCTGGGAAGAAAGTTGATTTTCAATGAACCCAAGGGTTTCAATAAGCACTGACGGCCGACGAAACATGTCGGCTACTTTGCTCATAGAAGTAGGCTACTTTTTGCCGCAAAAAAGAAGCAACTAGTTTGAGTAACGTTATTAATCAAAAATATATCATTAAATCTGAATAAAAACCTTCATTATGATGTGCTTTCATGACGGTTCACTGGTTTAGCGTTATATTTTAGTCATGAGAACGCTATATTTCAGTCAATTTTTCACACTTTTACGCAGAATTTCTGTACGAGCAAAAGTACGTAATTTAGTTTTCGTAATTTGGTCACTGCTTGTAGGAATTTATTGTGTAACTAGTAAATCGAAAGTTGAATGAAAGCTACATTTTCTTGAATAAAAAACAAACTCTTTTTTCCTCAAGTTAGTCCCCAGAACTCTGAAATTCGCATTTTAGGACTTTGAAATTTCAAAATTTTCTGGGGAAGCATGCCCCCAGATCCCCTCCCCCCTAGAAAAAGGGGACTAACAGCCCCTTGTTGATACAGTCGGGTACTCTATTCAAACCTGCTGGCTACTTCAATTGCCATTAAAACCCCTATGAACCCATTGTTTGAGCTGCATTATTTAAGGCTGTTCAGTCTCCATACATCGTAATATTTCTCATCACATAAAGAAATGATTGGTAATGGCTTTTTCAGCTGTCTGACAGCCAAATAGTATGGTTTTGGAATGATAAAATTAGCAACGATCAGCACGCCACCAATATACAGTAATGTATAACAAATTCAGGCACTATATTTTTTATTTTATCCCTTCAAACAGGGGTAGCTTTCGTGTAAAACTGATTAATTTCAAATTTATTTGAAAGCTGTTATTTAGAAATTTTACATGATATGTCTAAGAGAAGAAGAGAAAAACGAGCTTATTTATCAATTAAAGTTTCTCTCATAAGTCCCCCGCAGCTCGGAGATAAGAGTACCTGGAGTAGTAACCAGAATATCATAGGTTCACCAGAGCCTGTTAGGTAGCCTGCGAGCACCCCAGAGAGTTTGCTTGCAGGCTACCTGCTGGGAGACTTGTATTTTCTTTTTCCAAGTCCTCCTGCCCTTTTCACTGACATAATAAATATAATCCTCAAGCTTATTAATTGTCGAGAAACACAAGATGCATGTGGAATAACTTTGTCTTACACATCAAAAGACCCACTAACTATTTGGCATGTTAGACACTTCAAAATATGAAGCTCCGGGTGTTGCACCTGTTGCTTGTAACTAATAACAGCTGCTTTTAAGGCTACGTGAGTAAATAAATGTTCCTATAGAAGCACTATGCCGTTCTACACTTTCTAAGCTTTCACATGATCATTATAATACCCATTAAAACTATCGAATCTGTATTTAAACGCAAACATGCAGGTTGGCCTTGTCATCCAATCTTTGCATTACTTCCTTCCTGTGTATTTAAAAGCCTATCACTATTCACATGCATAAGTGCGTGATCAGTGAATTGTGATGACCGATACAGTCGTCAAAGCCAAGCCAAACTAAAGAATACTTTACCATATCAAACAACATACAGTAACAAACAAAACAAAACACTAAGTACGTTCACATTTTTAAAAGAAAAGGGGTAAGTATTATAAGTGATCCTAACCCGTCGTTGCTGGTCTTGAAGATAATCCTTCGGAGAATTCAGCAGAGGATTCTAGCATGTCTCCTCCGATACCAGCCACCACAGCTGCCTTGAACTTGGCAAGATTCGTGCTGAAAAAATAATAACTCTAGAATCAAAATAATATTCATGGAGACCGCAAATGAGGATCATAAAACAGTAGCAATATAAATAATAGATCAATTTAGAGTTTTGATAGCCCAATGCGAGACCACACGGTGGTCAACTGACGAAAAACAAGTTTTCAAACGAAGCGAAAGACAATGTAAGCTTATTGGAAAACTACCTCCTATCAAAATCCAGCGGGAGGGTGATATCGTCCTCTGCAACGGAATCCATGGCTTTTCTGGCGTATAATGATCAAAACAATAAAACGTGAAACAATGCTCAACTGAATTTACAAATCATTCCGCCATTTTCTGTGCTGATGAGATGCTGAGCCAGCAAGCTTGTCCGCTGACAAGACTATGACAGCCAGGGCCGATATTGGCATCTAATCCACGATATTGGGTTAGTATAATTTTCCAGTATAAGCAAACTGTTTGTTTACTAGTTGAGTCGAAAGTTTCATAATCTCAGAAAACGAAAAATTTTCCAACACTTCCGGATAAAGAAAGATCTGAAAGAGGAATGTATAATTCATACTCCGTTTTTGTTATTTGCCATTTTACATGATCAGCCAATCCTGATTGCATACATCATAACAGGAAGACCACACATTGATCTGTACCCACATGGGGTGGGCCAACAAAATGAACCACCAACGAAATCAATTTTACAATTTTGCGTTATTTCCGGTCACGAAAGAAAGATTCCTTTGTACGCGGATTTGCATGAACTCAGAAACACGCTGGCGATCAAAAACACACGAAAATTTTAGCGAGAAAAGTCACGATTTCTCTTGTTGCGGGGAAGAAAGACTGAAAATATTCTAATCAGGAAAGGAGTTAGAGTCGCACAGCCCTTATTTTTGTTTGTTTATCACGGATCAAGGATTCTTCAAATTGAACTTACTGAACTTAGCGTCAGACTTCAGTGGATTTGAAATTACAGCAATATCAATCAGTCAAAACTTTTTTCACTTATCTACTTTCACGAACAATGTTTTTGAGAAGCGAGAGATGGCGGGTAAGTGACATTTACTGTAACATACATTTCTCACTGAAATCGCAATTTAATGTTAATAAGATGAGAAACATCGGTGTTGTAGTTTAAATTCTGCGGCAACAGAGGCAAACGCGACCATTGTTAGTTACAATTACTTACATAAAGTAATTAAACTATCCAATAATTCCAAAGTTTTAGTTACAAAGAAATTTCGTTTATGGTATATGACACACTGCAACTGACTAAAAAATTTTTGTTTTCTTGAATTATATTCTATGGCACGCTCGCGTCATGTGCTGTTACAATTTTTTAAGGGGTAGTTGAGTCCCAAACAATTCCATAAAGAAATCATTGTCATTCACAACTGGAACACTCCACAGTAAACCCGTAGTTGAGATCTAATTGAACCTTCCTTTGAATTTGTTGATTTGAGAGTCGAACTTGATGGCTGCTGATTACCGAAAACAGATCATAACGAAAGTAATATTTCGTGTATCGGTTACAATATAAACGAAATCAATTGAATTTTTGTTTGTTGTGAGGACCGGAAAAGCGCATCCAACATGAAAATTGGAAAAAAGTGATGCGGCATATCATATGGCATGATTGACTTATTAATTTAAACGACTGAATAAAGTTACATATCTGCTGTTAAGAGCAAGACAATCTGCAAATTATAATTCTTTTTCCGAGAAGCTATCACTCGATCTCATCGTCATAGCTCCTTAGGCCTGTTCTTTTATCGGCTTTTATCAAAGTAGTTTATCAGACAGAAAAGCTTTGGAACTTGAGGTTCTGGTTATCTTTCAAATAGCCGGCTGTTCCAGGCGTTCAGATCGTGGGAACGGTGCAAACAGTGTGTAAAGAGATGTGAGAAGAAAAAAACAAGGGGGCCTGGAACAGGCTTTCTTTCAAAGAACTTCCTTCTTATCCTGATCGAATAGCCGAATATAGCAGGTCCGATAGCTGGTCAAAATACCTTTGGAGCCTTATTAAAGGAATTGTAATTTTCAGCTTCAGTGTCAGACACTATTTTCCGGCTGTCGTTACAGTAACTTTTCAAAAGCGAAAAGACCGTAAAAGAAGAAAAAAACAGAAAAGTAATTTTAATCAAACATAACAGATTTATTTCAGAGAACAGCGAAATTTTCCACAAATTTTGGAGGTCTTTCACGATCGATACCTGAAACGGGATTTAACTGAAAGTGAACTAAGTTACATGAGAATTTCCTCTTTGCAAGCTTACGTAAAATACCTTTTTTAGGCTAGACAGTATTTAATTACAGAAACGATAGAAAAAACAGGAAGAATTTTAATCAAACATAGGTGTTTTCAAGACACCGACTCTCGAACGCAACTGACAAAGAAAGTTTCCTAAAACTGTGACTTTTTTGTAAACTTGACCGAAAGGAAACTGAATATTCGTTTTTTAGCCAACGTCGATCCCTTCCGATTTACTTTAAAATGCTAAGACTATTAGATATAGAAAACGCAAAAGCAATATCCAGAATTCAATTAAATCGTTTTGTTGAATATTCATCAGAAATCTCGTCGCATGATACCAAACGTAAGCTGTTTCGTGCAGAGCGTATTCAGCCTGATGACGTCATCACCATTTGAAGTTGTCCAGTGTGAAGCAGCGGCGTTGTTGGTTGAACTGACATCACATCCGCAAGTGTTAGAGGTAACAATAGACTATCAGTATATCTTATGTTTTCGTCTTTTAGAGATAGTTTTATCTTCTTTCCCACTCCGGCGGCTGCGGTCTTTCGAAATGGCTAGAAAAGGTAAACACTGCTGCCCCTTTAAAAAAGTTAAGATCCGTGGAAGTCAGTTTCTTTTTGTCCCGCGATTCGAGGGCTGATATCTTATAACCCTTTACACGGCCCCGGGCAGATTTTTGAAGGGAGCCGTGCAAATTCTTTCACAGCGTACGGTACTGTTTGCTGTTCAAAAACTTGCACGGTTCTGCGGGTGCCATGTAAAATGAAAGACGGATCCGTACGTGATCCGTGCAAGTTTTTGTTCGTTCAAAAATTCATCCGGACCCGTGTTAAGGGGGTCTTATAGAGATCTGACGTAAAAAAAATTAAAGGGTGTTCCAATGCCATAGTGGAAAAGTGTTACAACCGTAAAAAATAAGCCGAAATGGCTTTATGTTTCATGAGGGAAAATCTGGTTTGGAATAAACAGTGTATCAAAGTGTACCAACTTTTCAGTTACTTGGGCTCAGGGGCTTTTACTTCCGCTACAAACGAAAAACCGTAATTTCTCCGTCTATATTCACTCTTTTCCATTTTTTCTTCTTTCTCATGAAGATTACACTAAAACCTTTACTATGAGCCATAAATTAAAACTTTAACAAAATTTTTTATCTGAAGGTATGAAAGGCTTTCAACATTCGTTCAACTTTTTCTTTAATTTGTGCAACATGTCCACGAATTTTAGCAAGCTTTACATACGTTAAACAATTTTCAAACGGGTCTAAGACTTTGGTACAATGAATGTTTAACCCGGAGGACGGCTCAGGTCAGATTCGTTCTCTATGGAACAGTGCATATTTTCCTTCTTTGACCGATCTAGCTTTCAGTTAAAGCTATTACGTGGTTAAGCAGCAACTTCAGCAAAGATACATCTTTCCATCGATACCTCATTTTGGAAATTCTGACCAATCCTGACAGAGTTACACACAAAAAAAACAAGTAACATTTTGGGGAAAAAATCCACGCCAGTTTTGACATTTTCTTATTACTCTTTGTAGATTAAATTTGTCCCTTTCCTAAAAAGTTAGCCTGCCATTATTCCATGAAAAAGAAAGACGATTTTAAAAGCTGGCAACAAAACTGAATGAAAGGCAAAGGGAGAAAAGACAGCGAGAAAGAAAAATCGAAATAGATTCGCGTGAGCGAAAAACTAAAACGTTGCTTAATTCCATCCGATTAGTCGGAAAATATGCCCTTATTGTAGAGTTTTGTCAATCCCATGTTAGTTACCCGAAAACCAGTCCAAGAAAGAGGAATTGGTGAAAAATGGTTTTTTCTTCTTCTCGCTGGCCCCCTTTAAAGGGTTAAATCCATTTATTTCTTATATATTTTTATTTTATATTTCTCGTTTCAGGAAGTTGAAAAGTGTTACACCAGGATAATATCCCAAAAGAGCGTTGATGAAACATTGAAGACAACTATTCTTGAAAGACTAAAAAACGTGCGAGAGAAAAGAAAGTCACTTCCATTGAAGAAATCGTCAAAAGTAAATAAAAAATTGCAACTATAAAAGTATCCTTCCGAGAAGGAACACATAAAAAGCCACGTCTTGCTGGTGGCCTTTCCCTCTCTAAAGATCGAATGCTTTCATGAGATGTCATTTAAAGTTTTCACGGAAGAGATAAAGCTGTACGCGTGTAACCGGACTGACATGAAAGCTGCAGAAGAGTTTATCAGTCCGACTAAAAACGGTCGAGGGCTGGATAAATTAGAAAAAAAATGTTGCCAAAACATTGATTGATACTGGACTGAATGTAGACCATATGTACGAGATAGAAATTTGGATGAATTTTCGACTTGATCAAAAGCCTGGATAAAAAATGTATTACGAGGAAGGATGAAAAACGGGTAAATAGGAAAAAGCGAGAAGCTAGCAAGTCTTCCCCATGTCCCCTTTGACACAGTTTTTTTTTTGTACCCACTAAGTAGACTACTTAATTAAATATCTCTTTTGCGTTCCGCAGGAGGCAAAATTGGCGTTGAAAAAATGTGTTTTTCATATGATTAATGCCAAACAGTGATTTGAATCCCCCATAATGTCTCCTATGGACTACCCATGCCCCTGCAAATTCCACCAATCAGTGGACCACACCTCCCGTGTTTGTGACATTTTATATCGATTTCCTTTTGAAAAAAAAAAACGTATTTCTCTCGGTCATATGGGACCTGGTTTATGTACATAGGCTAGGTGGATGGCGTTATCCAGCTCTTGAAAAACTGGGGCCAGTACTCTAGATTTAATTTGAGCCAACTCTTGCATATCTGGAAGGAATATTTACCATCTTGTACTATTAATGAATCATCATAATGGCTTTCAGTCTGCATTCAAACATTTTTAAGGCACTAGTATATAGTGGAACCTTGATATAATGATCAGGGCCAAGCAACTGGCAAAACATCAGTCACCGCTACAACAAGTATGGAAGTTCTTTTCCATGTAGAACTCTATTTTACTATCATCTGAAGTAATATACATTGTTTGTTATTCTGAAGTCATCATTATATATATGAAGGTTCCGTTGTAGTACTTTTACAGGAGAAATTATGTTTAATTAGTTTTTTGTGAAATTTAAGGTGTTTATGACTTTCACCCTCACCCTTTTTTGTTAGAAATTTAAACAAATAAAGCAAATTATCAGCATTTCCTGCAAGGTAGAAAAAACTAATATATTCATTATTTTCAATGTTTTCAATGCGTTTACAATGAGGTTTTACAGCCAAGTGTGTGATTGGTGTTGTGTGGGGACGTGGTGGAAGTATGCGAATGCAGACGTGTTTCGGGTCAATGCTTTGTTCCACCTGAAAGGTTACTTTTTGGACTACAATCCTCATCACATTAGTTGGGACAGTTGGGATGTTTTCTGTCCTCCCAATGTTGGTTTGTTCGAGTTGGTATCACAGAAGCAAAAAATTCAACACTGGGAGGGAAAGAGCACAACGTTTTGTCGCTATATGGTTTTTGCACCTGTTTTCCCAACGTAATGTTGTGAGGATTGTAGGCTAGGACAAACGGTCGATCTTCACATGCGACAAACTAAACTAATAAATAAAAATCTTGGATGATAATTTAGCCTCATTCGGGAGAAAATTTATCACGGATCTGATTCAGTTGAGTGGTTCGACGCATCCTAAGTTTGACGTCTGACACAACAGATGATGTTAACTTGATTAATTAAAAGTAGACCCAAAATAGAGTCTGGTGCGTCTCATGAAAAGTTCGACGTTTGGCCTAGGCCCACCTTAGCTGTCATTCTACAAAAAGGGGAGACGTAACATCACAAATAAGCTCTGGCCTAATCGGCCACTTGACCTGTATGCAGACTTTATTATTAATTGATGATTAGATATTAATATTAGTTCCACCAGAAGCTGACTGAGAAACTCAGAGAAAGTGACCTAACATAATGCCAATGATAAGGTGGAATGTACAACATCTGTCCTTCCTTCAGGATACACTCCTGATAAACAGCAGATGAAAATTCAGGAAATGCAATCAAGTCTGGATTCTCAACATCCACCTGAAAAAAAAGGAAAAAAAAACTAAAAATAGGAAAGTTGTCACGCCAACTGGGGAACTGAGAATTGAACAACATATCGTGTATCGGATTAATTAACAAAGAACACATTTTGAAGTGCACATAGTTTTTTTTGTTTCATCAATGCATGAAAAAAAAATGTTTGTGCATGTTTCAGAGCTCAAGAATGAAGCACGGTTTTAGGCAGGTGGGTGTTGGGATGTCCTGTGGACACCTAGGTGGATCTTTTTTTTTCCATGTTGGTTTCAGTACTGCCAGGTTGAGGAGGGGGACATTAGAGTTTACAGTATTGCCATGTTTTAATTTTACTGTGTGGTCTTGCAGTATCATTGAGCCCCACGGTATGTGGTTTTTCATTCTTATGGCTGACGGTATTTTGTAAAAGAAGATCCTTCACGGTATTTTGGTACTGTCCATCTGCCCTTTTCTGTCTAATACAAGTCAATACAATATGTAGCACAAGAACACAGTAAGATTTTAGACATAATGGCAAATGATTACGGAATTTCTGAAATTTAATCTTGGAATTGTTGTTTCATCCAATGACCAGGCTTTTTGATCATTGTACTAATTAATTCTAAAAGGTCTTTCCAGGTTTTCTTGCAATGGCCGAGGTTGATTTCTGGTGCATACTTGCCTCAGATAAACAAACACCCAAGATGGATACAACTTTAAGTACGACTGATCATAAATGTGGCATCAGTATTTTTTAGATTTTTACATGGTATTTCAGTATTTTCCAGTTTTTCTTACAGTATTGAGGTATAAGGTACCCCCCAATGTCCCCCTCATTGAGAGTTGAGGTGGATGCCTAGTTTATTTACTTAGGTTCAGAATTCTTGGCTGTGTCACTGCAACAGCGCTTGACACTAATTACTGTGGTCCCTTAACAGACCCTTCCTCAATGCAGGGTTTTCAATACGAGCCGGTGGCCAGCGAAATTCGCTGGCTATTTCTTGTGATCTCCCCACCCACTTTTCTTTGAAAATTACCCCAGTTTAAATAGAGCATTCATGTGCTGTCACTGACTAAGAAAGCCAAAATTTAATGATGTCTGTGTTCTGTTCAAACACTCCAATTTTTGCTCTAGAATGCTGGAAATGCATTCTAAGAGGCCCAAATTTGAAAATTTTTTCAGAAACTTGCACTCACAAGTTGCACATTTGCCACAAGCTTTTTCCTTCTCCATCTACTCAAAATCTTATCAAAGACCCTGCCAATGAGAGATAGACCACCACATTGTGGACTACCTCCCCTACCGTTTATGAACAGTGTGTGGCTATTTCAACATCCCAAAAAATTCATTTGTGCAAGGGTTGTGAAACAGGGCCTACAGTTTATCATTCTTCTCCGAGAAGAAGTGTAGCTGTTGGCAGATGTCTTTACAAAGGCAGCACTTTCTTCTCAGTTGCTTTAAGACCCTGAGTGTCGGTCTGGCTGGGGTTTGAACCAGCAGCATCCTGCTTGGTAGACAGGTACTTATCCAATGAGCTAACAGGGCAATAGTCATATCCTACAATTGGCGACAAAACTAGTTAAGACACTTTGCCATCCTTAAACCCCTCCATGCAATGTTGTGCCACCGTTTGAGCTACCAGTATGGACAAAATGAACCATCTACAGAAAGCAGTGTGCTGGAATGGAGGGGAAAGGGGAAGGGTGTGGATTTTTTTGTTCTCCAAAGTTACCCCATTTAAGGACAATGTCTCAACAATTTTGTCACTGATTTTTGTCACTCTGAACTGAATGGGTAGTGCACATATTTCCACCTGTTCCTACACTAATGGTGGTCACTACTGATAGCTGATGATACCTGTAACAAGGAGTCATTTAATACCTGGCTTGTGTTATTCAGTAGTGTAGACTTGTGAGGATACAACTTTTCTGATTCAGTCTTAGAATACAAGCGTAAATACTTATCGCCAACAACTTGTGCCAACAGGTTGTGATACGGGTCATGATGCATTGGAGAAATGGTGCCTCTTGGTCCAAACCAAGCATTAATTATGACATCATTATCACTGTCACCAAGGCAACAGTAATCAGGTGTGATAATATCACGTCTTAATTCTGGTATCTGATCAAATAACTGATGCTGAGCTAGATAAGCAATTTTTGAGTCCTGACCACTCTCAACTGGATTAACATAATTATCGATAAAATCTGCAACTGTCATTAATTTTTGTGTCCAGGTGTCATCTGTGTATCGAGAACCCAGCTCAACAGGCACGGTGCGACAACCAGCAATGCTCTTAAGATATTTTATGCTCCAATGATGAGTTGTTCTGGCAGGCCAATGATCCATTACTCCTTCAAGAATAACTGGTTTGTCTTTCTGCATGTAGTCTATTAAAAATGCTTCTAAGGATGGGCAATGGACATGATCAATTTTAAACTTCTTATCAATCCCTGGTATTTCAAAGCTTTTTCTTTTCTTTACAGAACTGCTTTCTGTGAATGCTTCATTTTGTTTATTGACATCATCAGTTATTTTCCTTTTCCCACAAGTATCTTCAGTATGAGCAACTCTGAAATCTTGTTTTTCGCAAAGATTTTGCTGTCCTTCTGCTTTGTGATCAACAGACTCATCATCATTCACCCTTTCGCTGTATGGATGAACAATCTTTTGAAACTCAGTTGCCATCCTTGTTAAAATGTTGTCCAATATGGGTGCACCTAAGAGAAGTCCCATGTCGCAAGCTTTCATGGCCTCTGTCTTCCTCTCCATACTGTGAAGACAGAGAGCCTTGAAAACACTTGCATAAGAATATGTTTCCCTCCATATGACATTAACATCCCGCCAATGACCTGTGTTGCACTTTTCCCAACAGATGTCAATCACAGTTTGACAGTTGGAAAGGCAACTGCTCAAGCTGTTTGAAAAGAACTCATTTACTCCTGCATTTAGCAGAAAAAGCACTGGATCGCCACCTAAGTGCAGCAGTTGTGAAAGATTCTGTTCCAGATTCAAGTCTTTCGCCTTTTTCACCGAAGGAAGAAGCGTTTGGAGAATTAAAAGACCATTATTTTCATTGATTGACATTTCCACGCGTTTGATAAGGAAAGGCTCAGGAAACGGAGAATTTAATCAGCGGTTTTATTTCAAGACCAAAAGTAGGCCATGTATGAGACATACGGTGTCTAACAGTCCCAGTCCTTTCAGCAGACGGTCAACATGGCGTCCCGCTTCATCCTCTTTTTCCGCCGTTAATTTTTCAATATTTAAGCTTAGTAACTAAAGTCTTATGGCGCCAAAAAAACGACGAAAGTACCCTAAGCACAATGTGCAAAACTCAGAGGTTTTTCAACAACAAATCGAGGCCCTGTTCAACAAAAAATTCGTTTTAAAATCAAGCGAGGATTCATGGGCTCATCTTCCAGAGGCAAGCCGTATGTTCACAGAACCTCCTTTCGTTCTAGAAGACTTGATCTCCATGAAGGACGATCTTAATCGAAATAAGAGCTTACTTAACAACATGGATATTGATGAGTGGCATTTACACACCCGCAGAGCTCATAAAGCGGGACTTGTTGTGAAGCACCTCAGGGATAATCTACGTGTTGAAATGTGTACTCAAGCTTGGGCTAAATTCCACGAGATTCTTCACACTTTTGATCTCGTCCCTGAGGATGCTCAGCACACGGGCAAGTTCCGCTCCGTCCATCTGTGTGAAGCACCAGGAGCTTTTGTGGCCTGTTTAAATCACCTTCTGAAAAGCTCTTATCATGGTTTACAGTGGGAATGGCTGGCTAATACTTTGAACCCTTACTATGAAGGACACGATTTAAAAGCCATGCTGGATGACGACCGGTTCATATTTGAGACGTTCCCACATTGGCATTTTGGTGCAGATGGAACTGGAGACTTGATGAACTTGGTGAACTTAGAAGCTCTTCAGCAAGACGTGGATCAAGTTCATTTAGTAAGGGCTGGTATTGACCCCGGGGGGGGTACTCGCAGAAAAATTGGGTAGGGGTGTGCGGCCCGCTTCCCAAAACCCGTACCCTATTTATGACCAAAATCTGCGATTTTCCCTACCCTATTTATGACCTAACCAAAAATTTGATACCCTATTTATGACCTGACCCTTAAATCAATACCCTGTTTCAGACCTGCCTTATAATTATTTCCCTAGTTCAGACCAATGTTAAAGGCAATGTTTATCTGCTTTTACTAGGTTAGGGGGACATGATAAGGAAATAGCTTCTTCTAAAAAAGTGCATTCAAGACTACAGTGCAAAAATCGTTTCCCTATTTATGACCAAAATGGCGACAAAATAGCCAAAATCGATACCCAATTTATGACCAAAACGGCTGGAAAACCCTACCCTTTGGGGCCGCACATACCTATATAGCCCATATTAGGAGTACCCGGGGGGTATTGATCTATTAAATCACCAGAAAGTCATCTCACTCACAGTTATGTCACCTTAACCCAAGAGTTGTGACAACACTTGGACAATGTGGTTATAATTAGCTTTAATGCTCTTGAAAACCATGTATATGTTGCAGTTAATTTTTTATGTTAGTTAATTTTTGTTTTTCCTTTGTTTGAAATTCATCAGCATACATTACCATACCCCAAAACAATAGAAAAATAAAAATTAACTGAGATAAAAAATTAACTACAACATATATCTGTTATGTTTGCTAACGGAACAACTCATTTGCATTGGCATGTTTTAATTATGAGTTGTCTAGTCTCATACAATGGTATTAATACATTTTAGTAAAAGGGAGTGTTAACCCTCTATGCCTCAATATCAACATGCATGTTCTCCACACTGTTCATCACACATTCCTTATGGTACTGCTTGAAAGAATTTGTTCTAACATCACAACATTTCACCTTTGGTGATCATTTTATTCATTCTCATGACCTGTATGTTTGATCAGGCAGTCTGATTGTTGGGAGAAATTGGATGTGAGTTGGGGCTTAAAGAGTTAAGGTTGTAAACTAGATTTGTTTTCACCAAAGAAAGGTTGTTGTGCTCTTGGAATTAAAACGAAAATTATTATTTTCAGTTTCCAAAAACTTAGGTTGGTCAATCTTTGTAAAATGGAAAACTTCAGGGAAATGGCTTTATTATCTCTTTCCAGGACAATGATTTTATTCTTATAATCTGTTTGTAGGTCACAGCTGATGGTAGTATCAATTGTGCCAATCAACCAGATGAGCAAGAAAGTGTTGTGGCTCAGCTTTGTTTCTGTGAAGCAGTAACAGCCATTAATCTGCTTTCTCAAGGAGGAAACTTTGTGTTTAAGATGTTCACTGCATTTGAGCACCAGATGATAAGCCTGCTTTATCTTTTCACCTGTTTGTTTCAAGAAGTTCATGTCATTAAACCAGGTAAACACTGAAAGTACAGATACAGTACAAAGAAAATACTGTGAGGTTTTGTTTTCTGGGCAAGTTTCTGTTCTTACTGCCAATCGCTATTTCGTATAAGTAGCAAGCATGGCAGGTGTCAAGAAGGGAGGGGAGGAGGCTTTTCCTCTCCCACCTCAAGTACCCTTTCTGTGCTTGCCATGTAGGCCATTATATAAGTTGCAGTTCATACTGTTGTTCTACTATGTCTTACAATAAATGATTCAGTTTGTTTTGTTTCAAATTTTCATACTAGCAAACTATTAAAAAGTGTACTTGTTAAATTCATGACCATAATTTTAATTTAAAATGCTATGGTAAAATACTGGTAGGTAAAAAGTAAAGTAAAAACTCTCACACTTCATTTGCAATAATACTGTAAAATAAATAGTACTGACAATGCAAAATTGTTGCTGGAGGGTTTTTATTTGAGTGGTCATACTACAAAATTTTTTTCCACACGCTCAAAAGATAGAACTGTATTATATTTATCTATATTTAAGTTGATGAAGTGAAAGCCCAGGCTTACATTAATATGTTTCATACTTACTACTTATTCAAAGACAAATATTGTAATTTACATAAATTAAATGTTTGGTTTAATTTTTTTTTAGTTTTTTTTAGTCTGTTTGTTATTGTAGAAGGACAGTTCCTTGCAAGGAAATATAATTATTTTGTATTAATATTTATGTTGCTACAATAGGTACCAGCAAGTCAGGTAATTCAGAGGTGTATATTGTATGCCTGCACTTTATTGGAAGGGAAGAAATTCCTGCTGACATCATGCAAAAACTAAGAGAAGGATTTGGGGCATGTTCACCACAAATGAGCCTCTTTCCTCTTACATCAATTCCAAGTTTCTTTCTGGAGAGATTGAAAGTTTGTGAAAAGTACTTTACAGGTCTTCAAATGGAAGCCATTGATCAGAATATTAAACAGTTCCATCACATGAGTGCTAGAGAAAGAAAATCTCACACTAAACTTCGCCATCTTGTAGTGGAGGCTTTTGTGGAAAGATTCTTCTTACAGCCAATCAATAGAGAGGATCGGATAGTGCCTGGTGTCAACTTAGATGGTACACAACTGAGCTTCACAAGAGGGCCTTCAAATGATGTTCCTTTTAATGAGATTTTTAATGGTCGACATCAGATTGGAAGCTATAATCAGAGGCAAAGAACCCTGGACCAAGACTGGTTTGAAAACATTCAAAGTGATGAATTGGTTAAATTACATCCCTCTCAATATCAAAGCCTGGAAGGTAATGTTAACACTTCATGTTGAGCAACAAAGCCTGAGATATGATACAGTACCTTCCTGTTGTATTGTTTGCTATAGTACTGTTAATAGTCGTGATAATGATAAACTTACAGTAACTTCTAGACTGCCAGAACTGGCAAGTCCTCATTGCTCCATATTTCAAGGTTGTCATACAAAGTCCTCCACATGTTCAAATAATAAACCCATTTAAAAGTATTCTTCACACCCTACAGTAAAACTAATGAAAGAACAAGATCCAGAGATAGCAAATACGATTTCCTCACCCCTGCAGAATTCAGTTTTCTGAATAATAATAACTGATACATACCAGTGTGAGAGTAAAGTTGTGCACGCCTTTACCAGGAGTGCATTCTGAAAAAGACTGAAAAATTCAAAAGGCCTTTTGAGAAACACATGCTAGCACATATTTGGTGGGAAGTCTGAAATATTATCTTAACTCTGTTTTTGTTTTTCCAGGTCTATCACAAACTTCCAATGGTGTCACACTCATTCCACTCTACCCTGACCAAGTTGTGTGGCTTCCTAAAGCACTGTATACCACACCTAAAGACGTAACAGAAACCTGGAAAACTCAGGCTGCAGCTTGCCTAGGTGTTGTGTTGAATTCCCGATTCTGCACACCCCTATACATCAGCAAGTTGCGAGAGGCAAGGCAGCGAGCAACAATCCTAAAAAAAGAAAACCTTGAGAACCTTGAGAGAATTTTAAACAGAGGAGATCCTTCACATGTTGTCAGCATGTCGACAGGTGGTGAAGCAGAAGTGAAAAATCTTGATAACATCATTTCCTTCACAGAAATGTCTAAGAATGAGAACTGTGGAATTTTGTTAAATGTTGGCTGTAGTCTTGATTACGTGAAACATCATCTGGAAGAGAGAAATGCAAATTTCAGTTCCATTCACATACATATTTCAACAGAAAGTGGAAGAGTATCACTTAATCAGGAAACCGGTTGCCAAATTGAAGAAATCTCTCAGAATGTGAAAAGGATTTTGCAAATAGACAATAGCCAAAACATCAATCTAGTTTTTGCGGATGTAGACAATAGTGATGAACTTAGCTCAAGAAGAAACTTTTTATGTCTTTGTATTACTGCTTTGAAGCTGTTGAAATCTGGAGGGATGTTTGTTTGCCGTTTATGCGAGACAATGACAAGATTCACTGTGGGTATTTTGTACATTCTACATCAGTTGTTTGACAAATTAGCTTTTGTCAAACCAGTTCTATCACCACTGTCTTCACCACAACGATATTTGGTGTGTAAGGGGTATAACAGTGCCGACGTCCATTTTCCAGCATATCTTGTAGAAGTTCTTAATCAAATCGTGAAACTAGACCATGAACAGTTAGCCTTAGATGTTGTTGAGGTTGTACCTGTGGGTCTTCTTTACAGTGAGCCATTTTATTCCTTTGTGAAAAAGACAAATGAACAGTTAGCTCATTTGGAGCTTCAGAACATTGTTCATCTTGAGAGCATCTATTTGTGTCCTGACAAAGGGCCGTCCAGTGAAGAGATTTCTAAACTCAGAGAAGAAATTATGGAGTACTTGGAAAGATGACTTCCATACACTGACTGTCAAACTACAAAAGCCAGGAATGTCTGAAATGTTTTGATTGCCATGACCCATCGCAGATTACGACATTCAAATTACAAAATAATATTTCAACTGCTTGTCGTTTAGGAATCTAATTTCTTATTGTGACAAATTGATTTCTGATTGTTACAAGTTGTTAAGTTTTTATATAAAATATTCAAACTCTAAATTAGCTTAAAATATCAGTTTAAGGTGTTATATTCCAGACCCCGCTGTTTGGAAATAGGATTTCTAAAAAGGAATAAATAATGTTTTATTAACAATTTCTCGTCTGCTCAACTCTCGCTGAAACAAGGATGATTATGTAACAATAGTAATTCATTCCTGGTACAGTAGTAAATTGATATTGGATAAAATGTTAATATTCTTCGTCAAGATCAAGTAGCCTGTGGGGCCCTCTGCCTGGTTGTTGGATTTTCTACTGTCTGTTACACAAAACCCTGAGTCATGACATAAAAATGGTGTGATATGTGTTAACTTAAAACCAACTTTTGTTGGACAGAAGTCAACAAAAGACTTGACTTCCTAAAAAATATTGACAATAAACAGTAAACTGGTTTTCTCTTTCTCTGAAATGACAGGTCTTTAAATGAAAGCTAGGGCCCAGTTGTTTGAAAGGTGGATAACGCTATAAATCCACTGGATAAATCTCTATCCAGTGGAGAGTGCAATTGGTCTGACTAATACTTATCCGCTGGATAGTGATTTATCCGGTGGATAGCACTATTCAATGTTTGAAAAACCGCGGCCTGGTCTAAAAAGGAGATTTTTGAACAAGACCCACAAACATTTGAAAGCAGTACGCTATAAATACAATACAAATGTAAGCTTTAGGTTTATGGTCAGAATAAAATCTCTGCCAAGTTGGAATAGTGGTCCTGAATAAAGTAACTGGGTACATCAGGTCAACTTTAAAATAAATGCTGAGTTATTTGGTTAGAAAATGACTTAACATTTGGATTTTATGGTGAGTGCTTCGTTCTCTATACAACCAATAACTTTTTATGGGTTAAGTCCATAACACCCGGGGGGGATGGGGTGGGGGGCACTCCCTTACTTATTGGATAGGGTAGGGAGGTGCCACGCAGCGGCATAAATGCTGAGCTTATTTAAGGATGAGGCAGACAAAAGTTAATACCCTATTTTAAGGCCCAAATCTGAAAAATGACACCCTTTTCAAGGGAAAAAACCTAATAATTTAATGGCAAAACATTAACTTTCATTCAGTTGCTGAGGGGGGTTCAGTTTTAACAGATGATTTTTTTTTGTGTGGTTTAAGCACTTGAATTTTAGCTGATACAATAAATTGAGGTACCCTATCTATAGTCTCCCTTGCAGCCTTTTCTGTCTCATCACGCAACACTCCTCTCAAAAAACAGCTGCGATGGAGGCTACCCAATCTAAGGATCACACCACAAACACAAAGCCAGCAAGGGTGAAAATGATACCCTATATAAGAGTGGCACATCTACCTATCTAGCCCATATATGGGAGTCTCCCCCGCTGGGCTATATCCTGCCATGTATTATGTGACCATTGAAATATCACAAGACTACTGAGGGAAACTCTCTCTTGGCTGTTATGTTCTGTGGCATACAAAGTGGGTGAGGCATGGTGTAACCTATTGAGAATTTTAAAGGAAAATGGAAAGCATTTTCCTTCAGTTGAAACTAGCAGCTGAAAATGAGCCCATATAAAAAAAAACAATTTGCTATTTTCTTTATTTATAGGGATTTATACTGAAATTAATGTTATTCTTTATTTACAGTGGTTACACTTTTATTACACTAGTAAATTTATTAAAAAGGCTTTATAGGGAAGATTAACCCAAAATATGCATTTCCCTTACACAAGCAATAAGTTGAAACATTGATTTATACTACATGCACAAAAATACAGCCTGACTGTTCCAAGTTCCGAGAGAGTGGGAAAGGCAGCAGGTAGAGTTTTAGATCCGAGTTTACCGCGAACCTCTAACTGCTGGAGGTCACATGACAAGTCTTTCGCGTCACATTTGAGGTTTACGACATGCATTTTCAACGTGGGGAGGTAGGTTTTCGCGTATGTCATTTACCTGAAAGCTTTTAGCGTATAATTCTTGTTTCATCCCACCTAATGACACAAAAATCTTGTGGAGCAAGTCTTTATCCATTAACAGAGGCACAAATTTGGGCGAAATGCTAAATTTTATAAATCCTATTGGATCTTGAAAACAAATGCCATTCATGACTCCTGATTCAAAATAGCAGCCATAATTTAATCCACCACTAATCGAAATTGAATTATGTTTGAACATCGAACCGCAAATGGGTAACCGCAAACCGCGGTTAGAAGTTGGCAGTAAACTCGGATCTAAAACTCTCTAATATTATAACCTGCGAAAACAGCCGTCTCTCCTCACTCGTCATTGCTAGGAACATTTTTCCAGGAGGGACGTCTGCGCCTCAGACACAGAAATTCTATACTGATGACTGAAAATCTGTCTGGAATCTGGTCAAGAGCTCTGATTGGTTGACATAGTAGTTACATTAACAACAGACAAAAGACAAAAGAAAAAATGTCACGAGAGTCAAGTGTGAACACAATGAATCTCCTACAATACAGTCCATTTTTGTGTAATATATTTTCTTTAGCAGAAGCACTTGAGTTTTGCTGGAGCTCGTTTGCCAAAGAAAACAAAACTAATGCCATAATTGACCAGGAGAAACATAAAATTGAACAAATTTACATTTGGAGCACCATGAATACTGGATATATTATGTAAACATTGATTTATGTCATCATTATGGAATTTCTGTCACAGACGTCCCTCCTGGTGAAATGTCCCTAATGGCAAGGGGCAAGTAGGGAAAGCTAATTTCAGAGGCTAGAAAAAATAAACAGTCACGCATGCCTTTGTTTCATCGAACAGGATAGTGCAAGTACAGCAGTTGCAAACCATTTTGGAGGTGGGGGGGCTTTTTTCGCTCTGTATATCATTTGTAACACTAACTCAATATCTGTCTACAGTAGCTTCATTTTCCAAAATTTCTTCTAAACATTTTCTTGCAAAATCACATGAGTACCCAGTGTAAACGTTAAATTTCCTCTTTTTACTTTTCTTCTGCTGCTCATCAACAGCATCAATATTTATTTTATTGTGTTCACTGAGTTGTTTCAGTTCTCTGTGAGTGTCAGTGTTATCTTCTTCAACACAGGAAACTACATGAAATTTCAATTTCTCTTTAGCATCTTGGTCTGTGTCAAAATTGTTGTCTTTACTGACATTTTCCACCTCTATTTTTGATACTGTATCACTTTCTAGTCTGCTGGAGTCCTCTTTAGTATCTTGGTCTGTCTCAAAATCATTGTTTTCAAAGACACTTTCCACCTCTGATTTTTTTACTGAATCACTTTCTAGTCTGGTAGAGTCCTCTGTAGCATCTTGGTCTGGTTCAAAATCGTTGTTTTCAATGCCATTTTCCACCTCCGCTTTCAATACTGATTCAATTTCTTGTCTCCTAGAAGCAGGCACAGCTATGTTTCTTTCAACACCACTGATTTTCCTTGCCATGTCACAAGCATCATCTAAACCAATCCTTGATTTTCCTTCAGAAATATCTCCAGCCAAACAGTTTTTCCCTGCATTGTCACTCATCTCAAGACTGGGTGGAAAGACAACTCCACACGGCTCTTTGTACTTAGGAACTTTTCGCAAGGGAGCTTTCTTCATAATTCTTGCCCTTCTCTTACGGCCAGTTTCTTGTGCGACTCCTACAGTCATGTAACGTTCAACAGAGTGGGGAACCTCATATTGCTCTGATGGTGAAGAATCCATCAGTTGATGAAAAATGTTCATGTTCACTCGATTGTTGATAGTGTCACCTGGTGACAACCTGTGTTTATGGACTATTGGAATTATTTTCTTTGGTTTGATGCTCTCAACAAACCTTCTCAACTCTTCAAAGGAACAATGATCTGAGTATGGAACGACAAAAACATTTGGTACATTTTCATACGGGTTTTGTCCCCCAACATAAAGACAAGTTGGTAATATTGCAATAGTTGGCTCCACAGAGTTCCACATTTGAATGTTCCTTTTAGTAATTTCCCGGGTCTTCACAACCTGAATTTTAGTTCTATCCACATCACAAGTAAACACATCTGGCATTTGAAGAAGTTTCAGTGTTTCCATTCTGGCTGCGTCCACTCCAATCCACATCTTACAAGTTACAGCAATAGCACGAAGTAAGGCTTCTTTTCCAAGAGAGTGAAGTCCAATAATAACTTTGTGTTGTGGATGATTTCGAATTATTTCCATAACGGTCATAGTTACAGATGAACGCGAGGGGAATGCGCATTTAGGATCGCAGTAAGTGTTATCCAAGTAAAGTATGTCAAATCTTTTCCCCTTAGTGGCAGAATGTGTCAGGAAACGCTCGCAAAAACGGAAGTCACCAGTGTACAGAATTCTCCCAAAGTAGCCTTCGAAAACGAACATAACAGATCCAGGACAATGATTTGCATCTATCAATGTTACCGTCATCATCTCTTGGCCGACTTCATCTAAATTTATAGTCACGGGTTCGTCAAGGGGAAGTCCTACAACAAGTTCACTCCTCAGACCTAGTTTAGCTATTGCCAGTTCCCTGGTCACGTCTGAGCAGTAAATTCTATAGGTGTTCCAAGAAGACGTAAGACCAGCCGTGTGATCTGTGTGCATATGCGATAGAAAGAAAACCCTCGACTGAGGACAACGCCTTATACTCCAAAAATCAACGGCTACTGGAGTATTAGGTATCACTGCTCCGTTCATCCTAGATTGGTAGACTGCTAGGCCTCAGTTTAGAAGCGCCGATATAATGCACTTATCAATTGAAACCCCGACCCCCCCCACCCCGGGCCAAGGTGGGGATTTGACTTGACATCATTACAAATCTTAGCAAACTCCCACCCTACTGGGGCATATTGACTGGTAAAACCCCCACCCAGGTGGGGAAACCTTTTTAATTCCCTGACTGACTTTATTAATATTTCGTTCGAATTTTCAACTTCTTAATATTGACAAATTTACTAAAGCAAAAAGGCAAATATGATAACAGACCAAGATATAAATACAACAAATATTTGACAATAAGTAAACATAATGACCCCTACCCACTTATAAAAAAAGTCAGGGTACAAAATGGATGATGGAGTAGCACATTGCTATAAAGTTATATTAAAAGGAAATCCGTACCATCTCCATTGAAAGTAATATCTGCAATGATAAGTTTAATTGAAAATAGCAGCCAACATACCTTAACCTTCACAAGCTGATGCTATAAATAGACTGCATAAAATAGTTCCTAGGAGCTATATTTTATATTTTGGCTTAAAGAATGAGGAAATATAGAACTTCAGAAACCACATGGGTTTAACACTAGACGTTAAACGAGCTGTGTCATGAAATTTACCAAAATGTAGGCTGTGGGAACTGCCACCAAATTGAGTGAAACATAAAAATAACCGCTTAAGACATTAAAAGATGGTATAAATGACTCAGCAAATACAAAAGAAGGTACAGATGGGAAAACATGAAGAAGATTAAAACGGATTGAAATTTTGGTTTTTGAAAACTTGTTAACCTAACAGTTTTTCAAAGTTCATTGTTTTCGTCCGTAACGCTTGAAATGCTTGGGAGAAACATCTGTTTAAAACGAAGCTTTGATTTCTTCATTTCTTTGGCAACGTAACGCTCAAAAGCGAATAGGGACCACGTAACTGGCAATATTAACAAAATGAACCAGATAGCCGTGACACAGCACCTTTTATAATAAGTAGAGGAGTTTGTATCTGCATTGTTTGAGACGTTTTGAATAACAATAACAATTTTCAGTCAACGAACCATGAAAGCTCAAGGCAAAATCGCAAAGGATTAGTCTCAGTGAAGAAATGAAAGGAAAAACAATTAGGAAACGTACGGCCGAGCAATACATCAAAATACCAGTGATCACGTGAAGAAATTACCGTGAGGAAACTAGGCACGAGTCAAATCCCCACCTCGCTCCCCGACTTCCATGGACTTCCATGAATATGCTAAGCAAATCCTGAGAAATCCCCCACCCCCACGGGCTAACCATCCCTTCAAATACCATAAAAATCCCCCACATTGCCCCACATAGGCCCGGGGTGGGGGGGGTCGGGGTTTCAATTGATAAGTGCATAAACTAACTGAACCGAAGGAACTACAAACGTCCACCATCTTTGAATGTTTGACCAGAAACCCTTGCGCTGCACGGCGCTATTTTTGGCGGTTTTTGGCGGCAAATTGTCAAATTCGGTCCCAGACCTCCTGGAGGAAGAACATCCAAAGTTTAATTTGAGAAGCTTTTTTAGCCGTTTAATTTTAACACTTTGTTTTAATGCTTGGTACTAACTGACGAACCCATACACAAACTTCTCCTGTAGAGTTATAAGGAAAATATCAAAAAAATTTCACCAGGGAGCACTAACCATAATAATTTTTTTGATGATGATATTTTTCAGGCATATCATAAAACTTGTCAACTTGGAAAGGTTAGCCCAACTCTGACAACTCTTTTAAGTTTCAATCCATGCATGTCTATCCTTGCCATCCATTGCAGCAGACGACAGGAAGCAGTTTCGATGTCTAAATGTAGTCTCAAATAACAAAAGGGATCATTGTTTTTGGAATTCAAATGATTCGAAGACAAGTTTTAACTTGTTACTGGAAGATAGAAAAATGGGTGACCTAGCCCCTGGCCATCACACCCAGAAAGTTTCCAAAAGTTTTTCAGGTTAGCTTAAATTTTGTTTAAGTTGCTACTGTTTGTTTTTCCAACTCTTTTACTGAGGTCATGGGACGCTATTTCCCATAAATCCTTGATTTTGCATGACAAGTGTCCTTGTTAACTCATTTACATGGACGAATTTCATCCTTGATATTAAGTTTTCTTTTCAAGTCAGTTTTGAACAAGAAGACTTTCCAAGGAATGCTTGCCAAGTTTTCCAGTTTAATCAAGACGATGACAAAATTCTCTAAATAAATATGATTGCCTAATTTCAGTATTATCTTAGGACAGCGCCATTAGTTGGGCGAGCTGTAATAAGTTTCACTTGATAGGGTTTAATAGTTTTATGCTTCAAGTTCCTGACTGTCTTGTAACGAGAGGACTGAAGGCCTTCCGTGAGTTACATGACCCGTGACATAAATAACACTTTCGTGACAAATCACCCAGATTAAAGGAAAACCCTCCTTTGCTGGTAGCTGGAGAAATAAAACATTGATCAGTCACATTTAGCATAAAACCATTTATTTAGAAATAAATCTCGTTTTTCACGTCTAGTTAAAACTCGCGATAAATCATGTGTTTTCATATTAAAAACAAAAACTGAATCTGTCACAAGTTTTTACCTCTAATTTGTTTCCGTCCCCAATTAGTAAACAGGGACTAGATACTCTTAAAACGTAAGTAAAGGCTTTTATTTTATTTTACGATGAATTTCATGGCAACGGAACTTCGTATCTTCTAGTTCGTTCTTTAATCACACCGTGATAAACACTTTAACCACATTTGACTCCGACGTGATTTTGCATTGTTTAATCACTCGTTGGATTACAAACTGAACTAGACTCCACTCAGTCTTATTACCATCATTTATACGAGCAAGCTCCTCTCAGAAAGAAAGCTCACTCGTATAAATGGGTCATATAGAGTACTTAAGTGATGACGTCATAAAAATGAAATTTCTGAAATTATGGGATTTGTCAGGATATTCTGAAAGAACAATATCCAAGAGGCCTACTTACCAAAAATGAGCATTTCGGGGCAAATTATCTCTGAGAAGTTAGCCGGTTATACTCAGAAAACTCCATACAAACCCTTCTAATTTTTTTTGGGTCGACCCAAAGTCCCGCCTCTTCCTAAGCAACCTCACAGCATAAGAGTACCTTAGTTTGACGTCACGATTATCCTTTCCACTTGGTAGCTGAGGGGAAGCAGACTTAGACCAACGTTGAGGGGATCCGCTACTCGGAAGACTTGACCTCCTCGCCACTGACAAACCTGTGTTACTGCGCTTTTCATAAACACGCGAATTCTGAAGTTCAACAGCCAGCTGACGTTTGCGTTTTTCGGTGCGGTCAATCATCTTAGCGGACCTCTTAGGAAACAGAAGTTTACTTCAACGAATTCGAAATAAAGGTCATGGTTTGTGATTGGTAATTGGTGGATTTTGATCCGTTTTGTGTGTTTCTGCGTTTCAAGGTTCGTTGCTTTTGATCGTAATTATGATTGACGGCAGCGAAAAACGTAATTGTGAAGGGGGCTTTTGAACTTCAGAGTTCGCGTGTTTTTGAAAAGCGCAGTAACCAATAAATGGAAAATGTCTCGTATGTACTTCTAAGTATCCTTCTTACGTATTGAAGTGAAAGACAAAAAAACTTAACAGTCATTTTCAATTTTGGATAGGTAGGTGTAACGGCCAGGGGCGTAAACCCTGAGTCTATTTAAGGATGAGGCAGACAAAAGTTAATACCCTCGTTTGAGGCCCAAACCTGAAAAATGACACCCTTTTCAAGGGGAAACAAAGACCTAATAATTTAATGGCAAAACATTAACTTTCATTCAATTGCTTTCCTAATATGCTGAGGTAGGGTTCAGTTTTAACAGATGATTTGTTTTTGTGTGATTTAAGCACTTGAATTTTAGCTGATACAATTTAGGTACCCTATCTATAGTCTCCCTCACAGCCTTTTTTGTCTTGTCACGCAACACTTCTCTCAAAAAACAGCTGAGATGGAGGCTATCCTATCTGAGGATCACACCGGTAACAAAAAGCCAACAAGCGTGAAAATGATGACCTATTTATGGATGGAGACCCTCAAAAACTATACCCTATTGTATGTCGGGTGGCACATACCTATCTAGCCCATATAACGGGACACCCTCCCCTGAGCCATAACATGCTATGTGTTATGTAACCATTCAAATATTGCAAGACAACTGAGCAGAACTTTGTCTTTGCTGTTATGTTCTTTGTCATACAAAGTAGCCTGCGAGCAAGCTCTCTGGGGTGCTCTGGCGGCGGAGCGGGAAAAGGACAACTTGCAACTACGTCTCTGGAATTTAAACATCTGCATTGAAAAAGTCGATGCGAAGTGCTGATTGGCGGAAATGACTTTAGTAATGAAGTCATTACCCTTGGCACGTGTTTTTCAAGGTTTGCTTACATTCGCTCTCTGGTTTTCGCTTCGCGCTGATTGGCAGAAATATGACAGCTCAGTTGACGGGGATCCACAGGGAAATTAGAGGTGGAATTCAAATTCCAGAGACGTGGTCGCAAGCTCTCCTTCCTTTTCCCGCCCCGCTTCCAGAGCACCACAGAGAGCTTGCTCCCAGTACACATACAAAGTGGGTGGTGGATGGTGTAACCTAGAGGAAAATGGAAAGTATTATGCTTCAGTTCAAACTAGCAGTTGAAAATGAGCCTACGAAAAAAAGAAAAGAAAAGAAAAGAAAAACAATTTCTTATTTTTTTCATTTAAAAGGATTTATTAATGAAAGTAATTTTATTCTTTATTTACAGTGGTTATAATATTATTACACTAGTAAATTTATTAAGGAAGGCTTTATAAGAAAGATTAACCCAAAATATGTATTTTCCCTACACAAGCAACAAGTTGGAACATTGATTTATACTACATGCACAAAAATATAGACTGTTCCAAGTTCCCAGAGAGTGGGAAAAGCAGGAGGCAGAATAATAATAAGCTGTGAAAACAGCCGTCTCTCCTCTCTCCTCACTGCTAGGAACATTTGAATAATAATAATAATAATAATAATAATAATAATAATAATAATAATAATAATAATAATAATAATTTACGACCAGGAGGCGGCGAAGATCAGAAAACAACTGTCAATCGCAAAAGCGGAAATCGAAAGGTTGAAAGAAAATAGAAAGATCACGAAAAAAGGAAGGAAAAATAGGTCTCACCTCCAAAAAGAATGCAAAACCATCTCTGTTGCAGGTTTGATTAGCTACATGGAGAAAAAAAAGTCGGAGCTCCGAAAGTTAAAACGTGGGTTTGACAGGAAAAAGAAACAAGAGGTCTCGCGTGTGGTTAACCAACAGTTTAACACGGTCCCTGGAAGAGTGTTTGCGAATTTGAGTGAGATGTTGAAGAAGGACCCAGAGAATGAGCGGCCAAGATATAAAGATCCTGGAAAACGTGCTCGAGATGATTCGCGAATGTTTGAAAACATTGAAGAGGCGAGCGAGTTTTGGAGAAAGCTGTGGGAAGAGAGGGGGACTGGGAATAAGAACGCGGCCTGGTTGCAGGAAGTAAAGCTCGCGATCCACGAGCAAGTACCACCACCGACAGGCGACGAATGGGCTCTCGAAGTAGCGGAAGCGGTCAAAGTCCTGTCCAAGAAGCGCAACTGGAGTGCGCCAGGGCCTGATAAAATCACTAACTTTTGGTGGAAACGTGCTAGCACCCTGCACGAGGGTGTGGTTGAGAGCTTCAAAGAAGTTTCTAAGAGCGACGAAGATTACCCCGAGTGGTTTTCTGAAGGGAAAACCTCCCTCATTCCGAAAGAAGGCGAGTTCCTCAGTGAAAATCAAAGACCTATTACTTGTCTGAATAACATGTATAAGTGGTTTACATCTTGCCTTCTGGCACCCATGGACCAACATCTTGAACATTATGGCCTGATGGAAGGCCAGCAAAGAGGAGCGAAATCAGGGTGTTTCGGTACGATGGATAATTTGCTAATCGATAGAGCAGTAATGCTGGATTGTCACAGAGGCAAACGGAATTTAAGTATGGCATGGATTGACGTGCGCAAAGCCTACGACTCCGTCGATCATGATTGGTTATGCGCAATGACTGACGTACACAGGCTTCCCGTCTGGCTGGGTGAGGTTATACGCAAGTTGTGTGCGAGCTGGAATACTAAAGTTGTAGCTGCAACAAGGCAAGGGCGAGAGACTTCTAGAAAAATAAGGTTCATGAAGGGTCTACCCCAGGGGGACGCTTTGTGTCCTAGACTGTTTACACTGTGCCTGAACCCTGTAGCTTGGCGCCTGCGGGCAACAGAGGGATACCGGTTATCCAAGCCTATAGGAGTCAAAGTCACCGATCTCCTGTATATCGACGACCTCAAGGTTTTTGCTGCCTCCGAGAGCAAGCTGAATCGAGTGCTGAAAGAGACTAGAGGAGCGATGCAGGACATCGGCCTCCACTGGAATCAGAAAAAGTGCTCAGTGGTACGTGAAGAGGGGAGCCCAAGTGCTAGACGAGTCTGGTATGAGGATGGACGAGACAACTACCATCACGGCTCTTGGGGAAGGAAAACACTACAAATTCCTGGGGGTGCTAGAGAACGTTCGACAGGATGAACGGCTGGCCCTAGCCTGCGCGGCTAAAGAGTATCTACGCAGGATATCTATTATATGGTCCAGCCCCCTGTCTGATTGTAACCGTGTGCAGGCATCTAATCAGTATGCACTCCCGGTCCTGCGGTACCTAATGTGGACACAGCATTGGCCTCTATCAGAGTTAAGAGATGTGGACAGAGCAGCGCGGAAGATCATAGTTGAGAACGGTGGCAAGCACCCAGCTAGCCTGACTTCTTTGTTATATCTACCGAGGGAGAAAGGGGGTAGAGGCCTGCGATCAGTCGAACACGAGTACAAGATCACTAAAATCAAATCGCTACTGAAACTGTATCAGAACCCGGACCCGACTGTGGAAGCAGTTAGAGAATTTGAAGAACACGCCATGGCATCAGGCCACCAGTCGCTCGTAAAGGAAGCAACTAAGTACGCTGAAGAACTCAACATCACCCTTCAGCTTGATACCCCTAAATCCCGTGTGTGTTACAACAGATGGAAAGGTGGTAACTGCAGCAAGAGCTGGGAATCTGTTGAAGCAATCTCAAGAGAAGCAGTTCTTGGAGAGCGCTAAAGACAAAAAGTGGCAAGGAAAGTTATTCCGTATCAGATGGGAAGATGAGAGCCTAAGCACAGCCAGCTGCTTTGCATGGTTAAAGGTTGGGCTACATGCCCTACACATACCATCGCGGGCATGTATGAACTGTATGAGCAGTTGTTACCTACGAAGCTCTACACAAAGGAGAAGACGCAAACCTCCACCGACGGCGAAGTTCTGTGCAGGTTATGTGGGAAGGTAGCTGAGAGCGTTGCACATGTACTGGCTGGATGTTCCTCCCTGGCACAAACCAAGTACCTATACAGGCATAATGCAGCTTTGAAGATTCTGTTTTTGAGCTCCTGCGAGAGCATGGGTTAATGGAAGAGGTTCCACCGTGGTACTCACCGGTGATGCCAAAACCAGCCTACCAGAACACCACGAGTGAGGCGTTTTGGGATATTCCCATCTATGCAGAGCACAACGAAGTTAGAGCAAATCGGATCGACGCGCGACTTGTCAACCACGAGAGGAAAGAAGTCTGCACAATTGAAATGAGCTGCCCATGGATTGAGAGTAGAGCTAAGAAAGATGAGGAAAAGACACTCAAGTATGGGCCCATGATGTGGGAGCTGAAGCAGAGATACAATGGTTACAGGGTTGAACAGTTCAACGTAATAATTGACGTACTGGGGGGTTACTCTAAACACCTAGAGAAGTCGGTGAGGAAGCTACTTGGAGCGAGAGCACGGAGCGTACTTGAGCGAATGCAGAAGTCGGTCATCTCAAACACTTTAAACATTGCCAGAGCATTTAAGATAAATACTTAGTTAGGGCGCTATGGACTTCAGTTTTTAGGTTTTTGTTTTTTCTCTAGAAATCTAGAAACACAAGCTTGCTGACGTTTTTATTTAGATTTTTTAGAACATTAGAGTGTGATATTATTATAAATATGTTTTTAGTAGAGATAGCGAAGGTTTTACAGAGTATCAGAATTTAATAATATTCTAAATTGGCTTTTTAAGTAGAGAGATTTATATCACTATGTATAAGCTTTTAGTAGAGATAGCGAAGGTTTTACAGAGTATCAGAATTTAATAATATTCTAAATTAGCTTTTTCAGTAGAGAGATTCATATCACTATGTATTTTAGGATTGTATTAGGTTTCGTATCGACCTTTTTTTACTTCTAAGTATAGCTTCTCAAGTGGTGTAGGTTACGCTATGCGCCCTATACTACTCATAATGTGGACAGCATTCCAAAGTTTCATACTGCGACATAATAATAATAATAACAATAATAATAATAATAATTTAAGAATTTATATTACGCACTTTTCATGACGAGATGATCAACTGCGCATTACAACGATACAAAGAATAAAAATAAATAAGACATGTGTTGTGTAAAATATTAAAAAGCCTAGCTAAGAATAAAAAGCCTTACTAAAAGGTACGTCTTTAAGAGTCTTGCTAAAAGTAAATACAAATTACATAGTCGTGTAAGTGAACCTAACTAAGAATGAAAAGCCTTACTAAAAAGATGCGTCTTTAAAAATGTTTTAAAAGTGTCAACAGATTTGGCCATTCTAATTTCCAGAGGTAAATCGTTCCAGAGTTTAGGCGCCAAAGCAAAGAAAGCACGGTCACCCAGGGTTGTTAAAGTTTTAAAATTCGGATGAGACAGCAGTATTCCGTCGTTAGATCGCACTCTATATCTTGAGTTTAAAGGCTTCATTTTGACAAGATCATTGATATACGACAGTGCTAATTCATGAATGGCTTTTAAAGTTATACGTAAAATCTTAAAGTTAATACGAAATGAGACAGGAAGCCAATGCAGCTGATGGAGCACTGCGGTCAGGGCAAAATTTGCCCTGTATAACGACAAGTATGGCGGCTGAATTTTGAACTCTCTGCAACTTGTCAATATGGCACTTAGGCACACTATATAATAGACTATTACAGTAGTCTATTTGGCTACTAACAAAAGAGCGGATAAGAGTCGCAGCTGCACCATTGAAAGGTATTTCCTTATGCGTCTAATGTTGTGCAAGAGATAGAAAGCAGCACTGCATATTTTGGTTATGTGTACGGCCATAGTACGTTGATCATCGAACCACGCACACAAATTCCGCACTACAGACACTTTGCTTACATCGCAATCCCCGACCCTGATAGTGTTAACCGCAGCCTTTTTTAATAGATGTCGTGATGCTATTACAATGAATTCGGTTTTGTCGTCATTAAGCATAAGTTTGTCCAAGGTCATCCACTGCTTAACGTCCCAGATACAGGTTTCCATTGATCTAATTGCCTCATCTTGACTAAAAGCACAGCTTGGGTTGAACGATAAGTAAAGCTGGGAGTCATCTGCATAACAATGAACTTTTGGAAGGTGATGACCGACAATGTCAAAGAGTTTGCTTGAATATATGTTAAACAAAAGGGGGCCTAGGCATGATCCCTGGAGAACGCCATAACGAAGATGAAATACATTTGAAAGCGCTCCCTGAACAGATATTCGTTGTGTTCTTCCAGATAGATAAGAGCAGAACCACAAAGGAGCAGTTCCATTCAGAGCCAGCTTTGATCTTAAACGTGTTAACAAAATACTAGGGTCCGCAGTATCGAAGGCAGCGCTCAAGTCTAACAGAACAAGGAGAGTCACATGCTGCTTGTTCAGTGTTTGTCAGAATGCCATTGTGTACTTTCACCAAAGCAGTTTCCGTAGTATGAAATTTCCTGTATGAAGACTGGAACACGGGATACAGATTGTTCTTAGCTAAGTGCGACTGAATCTGATCCGCAACAGCGCTCTCTGTGAGTTTGGAAATATAGGATAGATTACTAACAGAACGTAGATTCTTAAAATTGGACGAGTCAGATCCACACTTCTTCAATAAAGGTGTTACTATTGCCTTTTTCCATACTTCAGGGAAATGACCAGACTGCAAGGATGAATTAATAATTAACGTAATTACAGGCAAAAGTTCATCCATACACTCCACTACTAATGGCGTGTGTACAGGATCTACTGAACATGACCTTTTTTAAAGATCGCATAATAATAAGCCGTATATCATCCATTAATTGACAGAGATTTACAGCTGGTAAATGAATTATAAACAAGATTGTTCTCCATGTCTTGTGTTGAAACATTAGAATTCACAGCATTTCCTAGTTTAGAGTGAATCTCTGAAACACTTTCTTGCATAATCACACAAGCACCCAGAGTAAACATTAAATTTCCTCTTTTTACTTGTCTCCTGCTGCTCATCAACAGCATCAATATCTATTTTATTGTGTTCACTGAGTTGTTTCAGTTCTCTTTGAGTGTCAGTGTTAAATCTTCTTTAACACAGGAAACTACATGAAATTTCAATTTCCCTTTAGCATCTTGGTCTGTCAAAATTGTTGTCTTTACAGACATTTTCCACCTCTATTTTTGATACAGTATCACTTTCTAGTCTGCTGGAGTCCCCTTTAGTATCTTGGTCTGGTTCAAAATCGTTGTTTTCAATGCCATTTTCCACCTCTGCTCTCAATACTGAATCACTTTCTTGTCTCCTAGAAGCAGGCACAGCTATGTTTCTTTCAACACCGCTGTTCTTCTTTTCCATGTCACAAGCATCATCTAAACCAATCCTTGATTTTCCTTCAGAAATATTTCCAGCCAAACAGTTTTGCATTGCATAATTGTCACTCATCTCAGGACTGGGTGGAAAGACAACTCCACACGGCTCTTTGTACTTAGGAACTTTTCGCAAGGGAGCTTTCTTCTTAATTTTTGCCCTTCTCTTACGGCCAGTTTCTTGTGCGACTCCTTCAGTCATGTAACGTTCAACAGAATGGGGAACCTCATATTGCACTGATGGTGAAGAATCCATCAGTTGATGAAAAATGTTCATGTTCACTCGATTGTTGATAGTGTCACCTGGTGACAACCTGTGTTTGTGGACTATTGGAATTATTTTCTTTGGTTTGATGCTCTCGACAAACCTTCTCAACTCTTCAAAGGAACAATGATCTGAGTATGGAACGACAAAAACATTTGGTACATTTTCATACGGGTTTTGTCCCCCAACATAAAGACAAGTTGGTAATATTGCAATAGTTGGCTCCACAGAGTTCCACATTTGAATGTTCCTTTTAGTAATTTCCCGCGTCTTCACAACCTGAATTTTAGTTCTATCCACATCACAAGTAAACACATCTGGCATTTGAAGTAGTTTCAGTGTTTCCATTCTGGTTGCGTCCACTCCAATCCACATCTTACAAGTTACTGCAATAGCACGAAGTAGGACTTCTTTTCCAAGAGAGTAAAGTCCAATAATAACTTTGTGCTGTGGATGATTTCGAATTATTTCCATAATAGTCATAGTTGCAGATGAACGCGAGGGGAATGCGCATTTAGGATCGCAGTAAGTGTTATCCAAGTAAAGTATGTCAAATTTTTTCCCCTTAGTGGCAGAATGTGTCAGGAAACGCTCGCAAAAACGGAAGTCACCAGTGTACAGAATTCTCCCAAAGTAGCCTTCGAAAACGAACATAACAGATCCAGGACAATGATTTGCATCTATCAATGTTACCGTCATCATCTCTTGGCCGACTTCATCTAATTTTATTGTCACGGGTTCATCAAGAGGCAGTCCTACAACAAGTTCACTCCTCAGACCCAGTTTTGCTATTGCCAGTTCCCTGGTCACGTCTGAGCAGTAAATTCTATAGGTGTTCCAAGAAGACGTAAGACCCGCCGTGTGATCTGTGTGCATATGTGATAAAAAGAAAACCCTCGAATGAGGACAATGCCTCATAAGCCAAAAATCAACGGCTACTGGAGTATTAGGTATCACTGCTCCGTTCATCCTAGACTAGTAGTCTACTTTGCCTCAGTTTACAAGCGTCGAAATAACCTAAATGAACCCAAGGAACTACAGAAGCGGCCACCGTCTTTGAATGTTTGATTAGAAATCCTTGCACTTCCGCCTCTATTTTTGGCTTGTTGACTCATTTACATGGGAAAATTTCATCCTTGATATTAACTTTCCTTTTTAAGTCAGTATTGAACAAGAAGGCTTTCCAAGGAATGCTTTTCAGGTTTTCCAGTTTAATCAAAACGATGACAAAATTCTCTAAATAAATATGATTGCCTAATTTCAGTATTATCTTAAGACAGCGCCATTGGGCGAGTGACATGAATAACACTTTCGTGACAAAACCCTCCTTTGCCGGTAGCTGGAGAAGTACAACATTGATTAGTCACATTTAACATAAAAGCATTTGAAATAAATCTCATTTTTCATGTCTAGTTAAAACTCGCGATAAATCATGTGTTTTCATAAAACAAAAACTGAATCTGTCACAAATTTTTACCCGTGATTTTTTTCCGTCCCCAATTAGTTTACAAGGACTAGATACTCTTAAAACCTAACCTTTCTCCATTCTACGATGAATTTTATGGCAACAGAACTTCGTATCTTTTAGTTCGCTCTTTAATCATACCGTGATAAACACTTTAACCACTTTTGACTCCGACGTGATTTTGTATTGTTTAATCACTGGTTGGATTACAAACAACTAGACTCCACTCAGTCTTATTACCATCATTTATACGAGCAAGCTCCTCTCAGAAAGAAAGCTCGCTCGTATAAATTGGTCTTATTTCGAGCTTGTCTTTAACAACTTTTAAAGCTTCTTCGAATGTATTACGACACGCATCAACTCTCCTTCCACATGATTCGTTTATTATAGTACACTCGCGTTAATTCGGTTAACCGATGAAAATAAATCTTTTAAGTAAAAATCACTCGATTTCTTTACAATATTTTTTTATAATCCCATCACTATAAAATACTACAATCATTCAGCAAAATTTAGTAATCTCTCAATAACGTTGTACAAAACTAAAAACTCTCAAATTTTATCTCATAAAACTGTCAAATCTCTCTATACAGTCTAATGCATTAGATGGTCAAATTGCATTTGATATTTGATAATATAAATACATGAAAAGCTGATAAATTCTTATTTACCTTAAATACAGACCATAAGTCTTAGATCTGGCAGAAAGCACTTGAAAAAAAAATTTACCCATAAATAACTGATACCATCAAATCGCAGAAACTTTACAAAAAAGTTCTGATTATTTATGCCAAGTTTCCAATTCACAATCCACCCACCCCACCCTAAAGACAAATTATCCCCGCTCTGTTCCCTATTATCCTGTGCTAAGTCTAACTTCAGCTAAGTTATGGCTAAGTTCTGTATCCCCTCCCATCGCGGGCTGCCTGTGCTGTAGCAGATTTTTCCTTTTTAGAGATGGTTTCCCTGTGCATCTGCTTCAATTCATCAAATGAAGCAGCAAACTGTGTTTTCTTTGGTGGCTTCGGTGGTTTTCTAACAAAAACAGATATTTCATGTCAGCTACCGTGGCAAAATGCTACCCCTAACAGGCTGACACTTATTGCAGATTTTGGTATCTAAGTAGCAAAAGGAGACCGTTTTGGCTGCATAAGATCTAAGCTCAAATTTGATCTTTAGTGGAACCAAGTTCAACCTTGGTACTCTTGGGGGGAAGGGTTGGGGTCATGTGAAAAGGATGGGTTGGTTCGTCGGAAAATTGGATTCAAGCCCCTATAGGAACCTAATCTGGGCATGACTCAAGTTTTGTTTGACCACCAAAATAAACCATTCTAAACAGACAATCAGACATTAGCTACAATGATTTAGACTGCAACAGACAATGGCATCTACATTCAGATTAAAACTCTTTTTTATAAGTCTTCATGTTGTATTTCCTTATGCAAAGCCTGATTGGGGGACGTATTAACGGACGGTCCTACGCGTTACCTGTATCACTACAATATGTTGAGTAAACTGCAGATACACTTACTCATCGTGTCCATGAGTAACTTGAAGTGAAGAAGCCCCATTGGTCACTCTAGTAAGTTTCTGGCTTGACGAAAATCCACTAATAAACGAAAACAAAAACAGAAGGCAAGAGCAATTAAAACTATTCAAAGTGGATCCTGAGGGGAACTCTTGGCGCTTTTTCTACTGTAACGCACAAATTAAATACTATTTCTCGACGTTCTTACACTTACCTTCCTCTCCCTACTGCTCTCTTCTACTCCCCTCCCTCAGTGCTACCATTTTCCGTGCTTTCCCTGTTTCAGTTTATTGAAAGCCCTCTAATCCTTGTTCCGTGACCCCTTCCCCAAGGAACCACCTTTACTCAGTGTTACCACGCCCCTTCCTCCCCTCCCTGGCCTCTCAACACTTCACATCGGTCGCAAGTCCCGCCTCTTCTTAAGCAACCACGCAACATAAGAGTACCTTCGTTTGACGTCACGATTATCCTTTCCACTTGATAGCTGAGAGGAAGCAGACTTAGAGGAACGTTGAGGGACTCCGCTACTCGGAAGACTTGACCTCCTCGCCACTGATAAACCTATGTTAACAAATTAATGGCAAATGTCTCCAATGTACTTCTAAACATACTTCTTACGTATTGAAGTGAAAGACAAAAAAACTTAACAGTCACTTTCATATGGGAATCTTGGAGTATGGAGTAAGCGGCGGGACTGAAAGCCGATAACCTTACAAATCGCAAGAAGAAACTTTGTTACCTGTGCCGGCGCCTAACGAGGACTTGAACTGTTGCGCTTTGAAGTACTATAGAGCGATAATATTCAGCTTTAAAACCCCGCTGAAACTGAGAAGGAGTGAACGACAGGTATCAATGATATGTAAAAACCAGAACCGGAAGGAGGCAACCGGTTGGCTATCTATATCCAAGGCCAAGGAGCTGAACTTGGGATTACTGACAATCAAATCCAGTAAGGTGGGAGGCTCAAGCTGAACCACTGGAGGATTACCGATCCGGCGCAATGATTACTCTGCTATCGTAGCGGCAAGTCTAAAATTTTATAAGCGCAGCGGCGCTCTTTCTAGCAAATAAGATGTATGCCTGGAGACTGGTGATTTTACAGTATCACTCACTTTTTCGAGACTTGTCCTTAGCTGGTGAAGATGCGCTACTAGTTGATTGAGAGTTGTATTTGGTGAGTTTTCTACTGACGTCCAAGTGTACACTATCACTAACAGCTCGTCTCTCCTTTACTTCACAGTCAACTGATGAAAATGAACTGGACTCACTTAAGCCAACGCGTTCCTGAATAAAAAAAGCTTAGTATAACTAAACAGTTTAAACATTTTTTTAAAGCACATTCTAATGGCAATACTATTAGACTTTTCAATGCAACCACAAAATAGTCAGTAGTGGATTTTGTATACACCACCAAAAGCTTAAAACACGTTGCAAAAATACTTGACACACTGTACCTTATTTGGTCTTATATGACCTGTCCATGATCTTGTGCTTGTGATCCCACCTTCCGATCCCCTCCCCCCCTCCCCCTCAAAATACAGTGCGCCTGCTCACTTACCTTGGAATCATCATTTTCTTTTTCCAGAGACTCTAGCGACCGCGACACACTGGGAACCTGGGATTTTGATTTTCGCCCTATAAAGACCAAGCATAACATCATTGTGTGAAATAAATGTTTCCGCGGAGCCCTCAAAACTAGCTTTCGCTTGAGTGCCGAATAAATGCTTAGAGCCTGGCAAAAAGCTCTCACTTTCAACCAATCAGAACTGATTTGTTGGCAAGCAGATTCCAGCGCTTGCCATGTTTTCTAGAAGATTCATGCATTGCATTGTTTTTGTATCTGTTTTTGTTGAATGGAAGTAAAAAGTCACCAAGCATAGATCACTAGGACTTAAGGTTATGTTATGGTGAGTTCTACATTTTTTTTGTCAAAGCTGAACCAAGATTTCACCCAAGCAGAGCTCGAAAAAAACTGAAATTCCAGCATGTCCTTTGGGCAAGCAGCTCTCACATTTTGCCAGCCCAGGACCACTTCTTGCTCGTCTTAGTTTATGATCTTGTTAGAAGGTACCTTACTTAGACCCTTGCCCATTGAGCAAGTGAATTTAAAAATTTACCTGCCCAGCAACAAAATCTACTTGTCCCAGACGACCGAACGGGACTTTCCGAGCCCTGCTAAGTATTCTCATTGACTTTTTTTTTGTCATACTTGGAACTGTACAAGAAAAATATCAAATGATTATATCAAGAGGAAAACAAAGTATGATCAGTTTTTGGTCATTTTTAACAACTCAGGAGTTTACGTTGTAAAAGCTGGCACAATTTTCTTAAGTTGCAATCCGTTTCCCTTCTGGCCATCAACAGCCACTTGCAATCCGTTTCCCTTCTGGCCATCAACAGCCAAAGCAAAAACTTCCAGTTGAGAAAGAGAAGAGAGTAATTTAAAATAAGACTTAACCATCATTTCATTTCTTGTTCGTCTTATTCCAATAAGTGTGTTTTTCGGTTTCTAAAGTTCCCTGCTAGCAGAGGTCTCTCACGACGAGGCAAAAATGAGAGAAAGGAGAGAGACCTCTGCCGGCTTCCGACGCGTTTCCTATCACGCATGCGCTGGCGTTTCCTTAACAACCAGTGACGTTTTACTCACGTGCGACACAACCCACAGAACCGGTTTGCGCGCGAAACTTCAGCTGAAGGCGCGGGTATGTTGTGGAGAATTCTTCGCGGTGTGAAACGATGCCGAGAACTCCACAATTTCGCAAATTTTGCCTCGTCGTGAGAGACCTCTGCTAGCAGGGAATTTCTAAAGTAATACCAAAAGATAATGACACAGCTCCTTAAACGTCAACTGTTACAGGTCATACATTTAGATCCCATGTAATATTGGCCTGCGTGCAGACATCTCTCATTTCGCTTGTCGCATGCTTGCAACAAAAGAAGTAGATTTCTGCATGCAAGCTATATAGTATAATTGATAAAAGAACATTTTACCTGCAGATTTCTTGTCAGACTGCGGGGATCCATTCACTAACCCCTCCCTTGAACTGCCAAACGTGGTGAAGGGACGGCTGTTGTTGTCTGGTGTTACCTGTAACAAATTCAGCAAAATTCGACATCTGATTGCTGTTTTCATGAATGGAACACGTTTATTAATGGGATTTTCTGTAACTATGAACCTCATTGAGAATCCACTGTCTGACGAGAAGCCATCACTGAAATGGGATGCAACAGTTTTCTTGAAAACAAGAAAAACAAACATTCTCAAGCATCGGAGATAAATAGCTCAATACCATGGTAAAGTAAGTTTAAAAATGCTGTCTGAATGAAACATACTGGTTTTAACAAATGCTTACAATGAACTGATTGATTTACAGACGAAAAAACCAAAGGGAAGGTAACAACAACATTTACCGTGGAAACTGATTTAAAAAATACAAAGAACAGCAAAACCGAAGAGATAATCACCCCATTTCTTTTGCCCTTGATCCCTCTTTCCTGCTGTGAGCTATCTCTTGATGGGACTCTCAAAACATCAGCAGTCTTAGCTCTTCTTAGAACTAAAAACCAGAAAGTAAGAATATTTGCCTGGTATAAAATAGTTTGCGCACAGTGTATTCAACTTACACTCCTTACAAAAAATGTTCACGTATTCATATTGGACTTGCTTAGCTTATCTAGGTGCATAAGGGTTCCATGCAATATGATCGTTCAAAAGTTTACACATCTATTTAAGTTATGATTTCTGGTATCACTAATAGAGTACTAAAGTGATGACGTCATAAAAATTAAGTTTCCGAAATTATGGGATTTGTCAGGATATTCTGAAAGAACAATGTCCAAGAGGCCTACTTGCCAAAAATGAGCATTTCGGGGCAAATTGTCTCTGAGATGTTAGCCGGTTAACAGAAAACAATACAAACGCTTCTAATTTTTTGGGGGGGGTCAACCCAAAAAAATTTAGAAGGGTTTGTATGGAATTTTCTAAGCATAACTGGGCTACGATCTCAGAGAAAATTGGCCCCGAAATGCCCCTTTTTGGCAAGTAGGCGTCTTGGACATTGTTCTTTCAGAATATCCTGGCAAATCCCATGATTTCAGAAATTTCATTTTTATGTCGTCACACTTAAGTTCTCTATAGCTCAATGCCACAGTGGCGCAGTCCTCAGATTAACCGCCTCCCAGTGGTATAGTAGGGTCATTATTCAGTTCAGTGTTTTTGTGTGGCTAGATTCTATCAACATTTGGCTTTATCAAGGCCCATTGTTCTTCCTACTTATCTAGGAAGATCGAAGGGCCTCTGCTGAAAGGACTTCAATAATTGAACTTGTTATACAACTTGAACTTATTATACAACTTTCACACTTGTTATAACATTCTCAATGATTTGTTAGTCTTACCTTTTTCTTGTTTATTAACAGGTAGGGTTTTCGTTTCATATGGATATAATGGCTTTCTGGTGGGAGCTACAAGGAAACAAAATCATCCAATAAATAGAGCAAATACCATGGTCTGTTGACCCAGAAGGAGTTACTATCCCATTACTTTTAAAAGCTCATTTCTTGAGAAAAGTTCTAGACTAGTATTTCTATCCAAGTCCAAGTATGAAAAAAAAAGAAGGAATGATAAAAAGGAATAAATGAAGACAACCTAATTCGAGGATAAGATGAAAAAAGGCTTAACCCTTTTTCGAATAAATAAAACAGATCAGGATCTACAAATTCAACCTAGAAATACTAATTGCTTTTAATTTATTTGCTTTAAATCTTATTGCTTAATTGTCACAAAAATATCTCTTTAGTTTAAAGACTCTTACTGGCATAGTATATGATACTCAGTGGTAAGTGTTTAGGCAAAGCCAGACATAAGATATAAGTTTGCCATACAGAATGTTTTAAATAACTCCTTAATTGCAAGTTATTTTATCTGACGTCTTGTTTACGGTGCTGTTGGACTTTACTTTTACTTTACTTTACACATTTGTTTTTACATTTGATTTACTATTTGGCAAGCTAAATAAACAGCACCTTTAGCTTTCGATTTACTGGTATTCTTAGAAGAAACAGCAGTAGAAGAAGAAGCTGAAGCAGATGTCTTTGTAGTTGCGGAAGAACGTGCATTTCTCTGCCGTGCTGAGCTCTTAGATGCAGTGCATAATGGGTCTGTTAAAATAGGTGCAGGTGTAACAGTGTTAAGCTACCTCATATTCTTAACCCTTTAATCCCTACTGAAGAGTGATCAACAACAAATTTCTCTTAACAAGATTAATAGACAATCAAAATGAAAGGTTATGAGAATTAGTGAAATGATCACCAAAGAGAAAATGCTTTGATTTTTTATCAAATGTTCTTAACCGTTTAAGCCCCAAGATCCACATACAAATTCTCCAGACTGATCTCCATGCATTTCTTTTAAGAATAGTTGAGATGACCTTTTGCTTTGGATGTGCCATTCTTCCTTTGGTAATCAATTGACTAATTGAAAATAAGAGACTTTGCAGCAGACAGGTCTGATGTTGTTAGGAGAAAAATGATGTTGGACACTCTTGGGACCAGGTAAAGGGTTAACTACAGTAATTTGAGAAAACAATAGCCAAACTTTTTCAAGTTTCAATCCATGTCCAATCCATCTTTGACACGACAGGACACAGTTTCAATGTCTCAGTATAGTCTTACAAACCATATCTGAACCAATATCAACTTTTGGAATTCACTTGACGTGACGACAAGCTTCAACTTTTTAAAATGGTAGCAAAAATAACATGACAAGCCCCACCATCAACCCTTCTCCACACTATTCTTATTTCTTATGAGAATTTGTTCTAAAACAACATTTGTCTTTGCTGATCATTTCTTTCATTCTCATTTGTCTGTTTCATCAGGCAATATTTTTTGGATGTCGTCACTATTTTTAAAAAACTGGACAAAAATATTTAATGTTCATGCCAATATTTTTTGAATGATTTTTCAAAAAACCAGATGGTGTTTACAATGTTCCCACATGGGATCATTTCACGAGTTGGCTTTAAGGGCCCTTTGACTGGCACAAAGGTTTGTACCCAAGGCAACTAACATACTGAGTTTTACTTTGCATTCTCAGTTTATCAACTGTAAGCAGTAAGGAAAATTTACTTGTCTTTGAGCAAAAGAAGTTATCTGTCAATCAATCATTAGTGGGTGTGACTTTTCATTTCAGTTGTCTGTTTCACAATGAGCAACAAAATTTATGGAAGGAAGTTGAACATTGCTGAGTTCATGTTGTCGTGCAGGAGATAAAGACATAAAACAGCTGAAGATTATGGATACGAGAAATACAGGGTTATTAGAGAATCACTCAGTTAATCATTCATTCATATCCATAAAGAGAGAAAACCATTCACAAATGAGGCAGTGCATTTACTACAATTGAGACAAGGCAAGCACCTGTTCAACACACACACACAAATATGATCTTCATATATATGTTGCAGAAGTTATTTGTACATTACCAAGAAAAATGTTGACTAAGCTATATTAAAACAAAAGATATATGGTTAAATGTCTATACAATAGACAAAAGTAAATCAGTTGACTTGGTAAGCCTTAAGTATAACTACGGAAATCAATATTTTTATAAGTCAGATTAAAATTATATTAATTGATTACTTAATACCTGTCATTTCTATTCCATCAACTGATTATGCACACATTTGCAAGCTCCTTTAATGTTAGAAAATTAATTGATATTGTTACACCAGCAATCAGCCTATCAATCAATCAATAAACAATGTGAAAAAGCAAACATGAGTTGACATATTATATATGTTATTGAGTTATTTAGCTTATTTCACAACAGTTGTTATAGGGTACAAAATCCATATTCTTTGCATGTGACGGTCATTATACAATACAGGCACAGTTAACATAGGAATTCACTCCTTTTCTTTAATAAATTAAGAGAACCCCTTATATACTCCTCTAGCAGCACAGAAGCAAAAGTAAGAGTAAGAGGTCATAGCCTAACCACGAAATAGATGGCTTTCAACCCTACTATTGAGGTTCCATCGTACAAAGTCACAGTTTTTGCAAGAAACATCAACCCTCCAAGTTGCGACCCTTTTAGTTGCCATGGCGCCTACAATTTTGAAGCTGGCGACTTGATTTGTAAAAAAGTCTCCCTAAACCTAAAGAGTTGGTCACCAAATGGCGACCAAGCAAAAACTTTCACTTGGAGGGATGAACATTAATGCTGACGATTTCTTAAGACAAATTCTTCTCATTACAAAAATATCGAGTATAGAGACGTGAATATGCATATCAATATACTAGAGAGGCAACAGTTAAGGAGAGATGGCCTCTCTACATTTCATATTCACAATACAGTACAGCCAATATTCCATTAAAAAGCATTTTCTAATACGGCCATCTCAGTCCAAACTTTTTCTCACGTTAGGGTTAGAGAGTTTAGTCGTATTCATGGCAAACAGCAAAAAGCAAAATGGCCTGGCATGGAGATAGGCACATTTGAGAATGTATCCAAATTCGTTCTTAGTTGTACAAAGAAGCATTATAAAGAAGTGTATTAGTTGGTGAAGTGTTTGTGAGCTGCACTAAATGATTGTGGTGTGAGTGTATGACAAAAATAATGTTTACCTATTTTAATTATAAGAACATTTTGCATAATAGTAGCAACTAAAATTCAGCACCAAGAGACTGTGCTCTATTTCAAACAAACACAGCGATCTCTTACTGTATACTTCTCTGGCTGTTCTCTTCTTGGCTGGGACACTTTCACATCGCCCTTCACTACACCATGCACTGACCTACAATGTATAACAAGAAGACATCTCAGCTTGACCTTACATAATGAGTTATTCAGTTTTGGTGTTAATGAAGGGCAAAATCCAACAACCCAGAGGCTGGGAGAAAAGAAAAATTAAATTGTCTCAAACCTGCAGCTAAAGATTAAGCTTATGAATGACAATGGCAAGTTTAAGTTGAAGCAGTGTCATGTGTAGTATAATCTGATTGGTCATCATAATCCCCCTTCCACATAAATATCACAAGGAACTCATGATAAAGGGACTGATAGCGGCTGCTAGTGGCGCCCTTTGATGCTGACATCCGAGCTTACTGTTAACATATCAATATATAGTCAACTCTTGCGTTGCAGACGACCTGTTATTACAGACACCCTGATAATACAGACAGCAGCCAAATCCCACACAAAAACAAATCACAGATTTTTGACTGAAATGAACTCCCGCTATTATGGACTCTCGCTAATAATGACACTAACTCATACGGTGTCCCAGCAGAAAGTAGTGTCTGATAGCCCAGGGCTAGTGGATTTTGCTATCGGGCTAGTGAATTCTGTTATTAACTTGCCCGATGGGCAAGTGAATCTTTTTGAGGAATTCAAATTACAGAAGAACTGTGAATCAATCTGCTCATCAAAATGTTTTTTGGGCTAGTAAATGTTAGCTTCAGCTTGCCTGAATGGCAAGCTGTAAAAATGACTTTCTTTGCACCCTGTGTCCACTATGAAGGGAATTCACTGTAAATGTAAAGAGAGCCAGTCTGTTGTCCTCTCATCCACAGCATTTCATTCATTCATTCATTCAATAAAATGAATCTGTCTTGTAGGCATAGCAAAATGAACTCCCCATGGATAGTCCTAAATCAACTTACTGTGATTGTGTACTCTGTATTGGGCTTGAGGGATTTAGCAGTGCAGGATTTTTCTACTCCATTGTAAATCACCTGCAACATAAAAAATTAACCTGTCGACAAAAATAATGGTAGGAATGATGGTGGTAATGGCTAGTCAGCTCCCTCTGCAAAGCAGTAACCATTTGCAGATGAAAACTTGTAGCTTTGCACCAACGATTTTCACACACAAAAGCTGCTCAATAATTTAAAATAAGATATAATCATTAAACACTATCAAAGAGCTCATCTTAATTCTTATTCCAAGGCAGAAGTTTTTTTGTGAACTCTACAACAAGAAATGAAAATACCAGTACACTAGTTCGTCACCGTGTTAAGACTTTAACTAACTTGAAAGACTACAGACTACTCTCAGCTACACAAGACTAAGAAAAATGTCATACCATGCCATCAACCCTGACTTCAAAACTGTTAATTCTGCCAAGTGGTTTGGGAGGACTCTCCCAACTGATCAACAGTTCATGCCGGCCAAGCACCTGTACAACTGGTTTGGGAGGAGCATGAGATGCTAAAAAGAAGAGATAAAAAGAACAACATAGCAATTGTTGAGTTGAAACTTGGGTCAAATGCTTTAAGCAGTATGATTAAGTTACAAATAAATGCAAAGAGGATCATCACAGTTTAAGATGCAACTTATGCTCTGGTGAAAAGAAATTAGCCTGAAAAAATTTAGACTTGCTGCAGGGATTCGAACCCTGACTACTCCAATACCTGAGTTGGTAGCTCTCTACCCAATTGAGCTAACAAGCCAAGTGGGAGCTGGTCATTGAATCGCTGGGTAGTATACCCGGGAAAGGTGGGGATGAAATGATAAATATATAAATTTCATATAATTTATTGGAACAATTGAATGAAGAAATAAATAATGCAAAGTTCAATTCAATTCAATTTAATTCTATATTTCTCACTATATAAGATATTTACACAAGTGTACATAGGTAGGAATATAAAGTAGCTGATAACTAATGATTAACTAAAAGACATTAAGTTCATTTGTGTACAATGTCCAAAGTAGCAAGAGCTTTCTCGTTGGACACAGTCATGTTCAGATAATCAGCAGCAGTAAAGAGAGGAAATAAAATCTCAGATAATATCAGTGATAGAATATATAAGCAAGGTCAGATTTGGTTGGTTAGAAGATAGGACTTCCATTCTTTCTTAAACTTATGATACGGCAGACACTTGAAACCAGGCAGTACAGTCTCCCAGATTTTTGGAGCGGAGAATTTAAAGGACGTCTTACCTATAAGTTGGTGGATACTCTTGGCCTAAAATAATTCAGATTACTGACAAATCTTGTATTATGATTGTGTATACGCGATGCTGGAGTCAGGACATCAAGGAGAAGAAGATTATTAAGTTACGGTAACTTTAGTGACTTAGACTAATATGCTGGTGAAAGAAACAACTTTAATTAATGGATAAAATCCCGAGCAAACAATATAGTTGATTCCAGAGCATTGTAAGTCACACTTTCACACAAGATACTCGATTTGAGACAAATTTGAAAATGCAGGCCACTCTTTTTCAAGTTTACCTAAGTGCAATGCATTTTTTTATCTGTGCTCCTTGTTTGGCTTTTTTGGTATTTTATTGCTTCCACCATAATTATTATTGTTTAGTAAGTGCCAGACTTGTCCTCAGTAAATGCTTGGTGGTTATACTCACTAACCTAAGTCATCTGTACTTGCAGTTACCACTGCTGGTTCTCCACGGCCCTTACTTGTCATAGCAAACACCTATGAAGATAATAAAAATGTATACTGCATTTGTCCTTTCTCAGTGTCTGAGTTGATAATAGGCAACTATTATTTTGTGACTTGTAAGGTATTATTTCCGTATGTTCTTTCAATATCCGTCGACCACCAAGTTGGTTTTCTAGGGGAGGGAAAAACTGAAGTATGTTAAGAACACTCTCTTGGAGCAAAGGAGAAAGCCCAAACTCAACCCACATATGGCATCATCTCTCAGATTCATACCTGCACCACTTCATGCATGAGTTCTCTCACCACTGCAGTAGGCTTGCTCCTTCCATACTCAATAGAACTTTAGCCTACTGCTTAATTAACCATACTAGACAGTTTAAACTAACCTGAAAAGTACATTCTGTATCAGGAGGCACACTGGATAAAATAAAGTAATTCTCATGAACTTCAAGGCTGGATGTCTTACCTACAGAGAACAAAAAACGCCACTCAGACTCAAATCCCTGATATAAATAACAATGATGTATTTCTTTCAGGAAGAAGCTTGTAAATACCTGGTTAACTCTGCCTCACGCAAATAATATTCACGGGCATGATCTTAAATATTGAAGACACATGCAAGCAATGTTACTGATTACTGTAACCCTTTCAGACGGGTTCACCCAATGAATATGTGTCTGAAACTTTATTAACATCACTGCACCTCTTGCAACAATCTGATATCCTCTCAGCACTCCATTGGATGTAGCTGGTGGTTCCCAAATTATCTTTATCTGAGATGTTGATTTGCTTAAGACTCTGAGGCACTGGGGTGCACTAGGAACTAATTAAAAACAAAGAGTTAAAAGGAGGTTACAATAAACGTAACTTACAGTTAGGCTTACTCATAAGAGGATTCTAGACCCATCACTTTTGGACATGGATCAGGGCTAGAAAAAAACTTGAAATTCAGCTTGTCCTTTGGGTAAGAAGCTCTCACATTTTGCTTTCCTGGCCGGGGCCACTAATGCTTGGACCCTTGCACATTGGGTAATTATGTTTTAAAAGTTACTTCCCCAGCAAGAAATTCTACTTGTCCAAGACTATGGTATGAGACTTTTTTCCAGCCCTGATGGATGCTTTCAAATTTCCTCGGCGATGATAAAGAGCACTTATATAGCAGGCAAGTCTACTGTCCCCTTTTTTTTTCTGCGTCTGCTACTGTACAGAGTACATGTAGGTTGACATTTGTTTTATTCTTCGTGCTAGCGGACGAAAAACAGAAAACTTTGGCATTTCACTTTAAGAACACATGTAGCATCTCATCAGAGAAGACAGATAACACAAATTCTTAAAAATGTATGCAAAATTATAAGCAGCAGTTTACATTATTGTAGGACTAAGAAGAAATCCCATGAGTCCCTTGTAACAAAAGAGAACCTCTTACTCTTATCTATAACCACCAAATGCAAATGCTATTCTTCTTTGGGCCACCAGAAAAAAAGTTCCAATTTCTTCCAAAAACAAACATTTACCAATGAAATTGTAAGGCATGTGCTATGCCTATGGTCTGCTTTACATGCATATTTGTCTATTCTGTAAGTACCACCAGACATCTTCAGAAAGTGGCCAGGATACTTTGGCAATTATTCTAAAGAGCTGTGCTATAGGTGCTATTAAGATATCTAGAGCACGTTATGGTTTCCATAAGACGAAAGTGTACCCTACTGATCACAAAACGTACCTGATTCTGGAGTAACAACAGATACAACATTGCTAAAAGGACTGTCATCACCCTCTGTAGAAGCTTGAAGATAGAAGCTATATCTTGTGACTGGTGTGAGATCATTTGCTATGTAACTGGTTCTAGACCCTGAGTACACTGTTACTCCATCTGTGAAATTTTAATACAAAAAAATAATGAATACGCAAGCAGGTTTTTTTCTTGAGTTTTATACACAGACCACTCTTAGGAGTGAAAGCCTTGTCAGTATAAAACAAATCACATCAAAAATAATACTCAGCTAGCATACAGGCCTAGTTGTTCAAAAGGTGGATAGCACTATAGTATATCAGCTGAATGAATATATCTCTCTCCCGTGGATAATGCAATTTTTTGCTTAAATTCCAAATACTTGTCTGCTGGATAGTGATTTATCCAGAGGATAGTACTATCCAGCTTTTGAACAACTAGGACCAGGAGCCTAAATCATACCATTACCTAGAATAGCACCACTACTACTTCAATAACAAAGTTATTTAGTTTTAGGCAGGGCTTGAAAAAAGTTCTGTCCAGTAATCCGGAACAGGTGGATTTTCTTGCTGGGCAAGTAACTTTTAAAGCTTACTTGCCCCATCGGGAAAGGTCGAAACAACTCATCCTCTAACAAAATCATTATTAATAACTATTTAAAAGGAGCAATAAGTGGCTCTAGGCAAGAAAAATGTGAAACCTTCTATTCTTGCTTAAAGGTCAAGCTGGAATTCAAATTTTTTTCAAGACCCGATTTAGAGGATCTAAAAACATTAAAACATTCAGGTTTTATCCACTGAAAATGATATGTTACATCAAGGTCTTTGGATGAATAAAGGTTGATACAATAAGACTATACAAAATTAAAACCAAATATTATTGTTTTTAAAAGATTAAAATACAAGTACAGAAGAACCACGATAATTTAACGTAGGATAAAAGCAGATATGTTACATCAAGTCCACTCTTTGGATGAATAGCACTTCAAGTAAATTCCCCTTAATTGATTACTAAAATAATACAATAATGTCATTTCATAGCTCTCAACTAAACAAAATTAAAAAGCAAATATTATTGAAATAAAAATTATTATATTAATCATATTATTTTTTAAAAGATTAAAAAAGTTGACAAGAATAAGCTGTTACAGAAGAACCCTGATAATTCAATCTAGGCACTATTTACAAGTGAAAAAAAAATAAAAACAGTAAAATTCACAATAAACTCCTGCAAACTCATACTGAATCTCGAAGAACAGTTTTCAACTGTCTTTTAAAAATTTTCAATTCCCCGAAGACTGTTGGATTTCAACCCCACGGCCTAACTGTTTATGTTAAAACAGTTAAGTTATTTTTTTAAATTCAAGGTAACTTTGAAAAAGATCTTTAATATAACAGGAGCAAGTCCATGGAGAATCTTGTAAGTAACAGTAAGTATTTTAAATTCAATCCAAAGATCAATCGGGAGCCAGTGGAGATTCGCAAGAACAGGTACATCAAACCCCGCTTTACGGACACCTCATTATTACGGGCAGTTTGCTTTGTATCCGGGGAAAGAAAGCTCTCACATTTTCTCTAAATTCAACCAGGTTAAATACTGACACCCCGTTAATACAAACACTTTCTACAGCCACTCAATGTATCCATATTGACAAGGTTTGACCTGTAGACTGTATTAAGTATTAAACTTACCCAGTTAGCAACGGCGAGCAAATGCAAACAAGAAATTAGTTACTTAATTGTGTAAGAGGAGAGGGGAATAAAGAACAAATATATAAAACTACACTAAAATTTCAAGAACTCTAGGACATTCAAACCAAGAAACCCTTCATGGCGGAACTTGTGCGGATATTTTCTAGAGAGTTGTAATTCAAACCATGAAAATAAAAATGATTTCATTATACCATTATACCAGTACCTTTAATATTAGGTGGTTTTGGTTTTAGCAATTTTTCCAGTATAGCTGCAGTAGCCTTAGCCTCTTCTTTTGTATCCTCTTTAAGATGTGGTCTCTGTAAAAGTACCTACAGCATGTACCCAAAAAAATGATCAATGTTTGCCTGAATTAATTCATGAGTGGTAGGTGCAATCCTCACAGCCTGATTAAGCAGCTGTAACACTGATTTATCAGTGGAAGAATATAGGCAGGGGGAGGGATGGTATGGGGGTAAAAGAATGATCAAAAGGCTAAATGAAGAGAGTGGCCACCAGGAAAACGCTGTACTGAGCACATGGAGGTGAGACAAACATTCCACACTAGCGTATGTACATGTGTTTCGTGATTTTCAATACCGAGTGATTTTTCATGTCAAAATTTGGTTTTCTTTTGCAGCAAATCTCTCTCTGTAAACTGATGCGGAAGTGAAGAATAGGGTGCGATATTGATGCGTGAATTTCAAAATAAAGTTGTACAGTACTGAAACCCTGAGTAATGTTATCACACAAGTGAACTGACGACCACACCCAGTATTAACTTACCTCTAATGAATTTTTAACATTATGCTGAGTCCTAAGATACAAACAACCCCTTTTCTGTGAAGCAAGAGTATGTAACATCCTACAAATTAAGAGAGCCAATTAATTGAAAATTATAACTTGAAACCGTATGAGTGCATTATAACAATTTAGTCTTAAAACTACAGCCAACTCTTGTTCTGTCCTGTCAGCAGGTGGTGAAGGAAAAATAAAGGTATTGAAATAAGAGATATTAATTTACTCACATTGATGCAAACCATATGCTTTCTTCATCCTTGCAAGCTAACAATGAACACAGCATTTCTACAACACTGTTAATTCGAATATGTTCCAGAAGTCGCTGATGACCTTGAACTAAGGATGCTATGCAGCTGAGGGCAAAGCAAGCATTCTTGCAACAGCCAGAATCACTAGCATGTAACATATCAATAAGTGAGTTGATCTGTCAAAAAAATATATTACAAAATTCATGATCAGTCCTTCAAAGATTTAAATCTAACTGACAGAAAACACTAATGACCTAGCAGTTCCTCAACTTTGCTGATTATTCATAAAAAACTATGTTTCTGGGCAGTCAGAAGTCTTGGAGAGGGGTGGTGTGGGGAGTCTCACAATTCATAGCCTATATGGGACATATGCCATTATAATGGGTATGGTTGTTGGACCCTCTACCATGGACAGGGTATATAATTCAATTGAGTCTGTCTGAACCCATCCTACAGGGTATAGTTGAATCTGAAGACTGATACATTTATTTAGCCAGTTACAAGGGACAATGAGAGAAAGAATAATGTCCTTTATCGTAAACAAGGTTCTGCAATAGAGGCCGTTATCCTCCACATGACCAGATATTTTGCAATTGTTACTTTTAATGATACAGGATTACAGTTTCAAACTCCCAGCAGCTCTCAGGACTGTGCTCAAAAATGGGTTGAGTTCTCCCAAATTCCGCTCTCTCCCCTCTTAGAAGCATGATACTCACATGGCTTCTGGAGCTAGCTTAGTAAGAATAAGTGCACAGGGGGTCCCTTCTAGTCTTCTTGTTAAAATAGACCCTTCTAGTAAGGTTTTTCCACTTTTGACAAGAACTAGTTACAGGTTTTACCAGCTAGTGATTTTAAGGTGTTCTTTGCACTGGAAAGAACCGCATCAAACAAGTAATGCTGCTAACCAGCAAAGTAAGTTGCTTAACAAGGTCAAGATACAAAAACATTCATTGATAACAAGTATTTACCATCAATTCAGATGTTTTTAGAAATAACATTCTCTTACAGCCAGCTTCAAAATCACACAGTCTTCCAATGGCAAATGCTGCATTCATGCCCCGTCCTGTTGTAATTTAACAAGGTTAATAACAGAGCAATAGTGTATGAAATCTTCAGCAAAATGATTATGTTAAGAATTCAAAATCACTGGTCATTTTTCAAAACTAATGAAAATATCCAGTTTGATTTTACTCCCTTTTGGCATCAGATATATCACAATAATATTGTTAACTGAAAGAGAGGATAATCAAAAAATTGACAATATATTATTGTGAGCGTAAAAATTAAGAAATGAATTTTTCGAGAACACACAAAAAAGCTTTAAAAATACCCACAGTAGCTTCATTGCCTAATTATTGTGCTGTACCTGTCTCATCATTGCCTAATGCTCTTGTCAGTTGCACCAGTATATGACTGGAACTTCGATGGTTTAAAATTCTAGCACATCCTTCTTCAGCGATTGTAAGCCTGTGATGTATAAAATTATAAAAAGAAATCCCATTAATCCCATTAAAATAATGGTACATCTATTTCACTACATGACTGGGATCCTGGAAGCATGAACAGACAGCAGACTATAATTTTATTATTGTGATGTAGGAGTTAGCAGTGGTTCTTACACTCGGGTAAGTCTTACTACATTAACTTTATTTTGTATTTTGCTCTAACTGTACATCACACTAATACCAGTTGGTGGTGGAAAAAACACTGACCCGCAGTCCATGCATGGACTACCCCTATGGACTATAGCTACCCATATGGACTACCTTAAACTGAACTACAATGCTGAAGTTTAGTGATTAGGGTTAGGAAACTGAGTGAATCAGGTTCCATTTAGGGTCACTATGTTGGGAAAACTGACCTAAAACTTGATTCACTCAGTTTCCTCACCCTAATCTCTAAACTTCAGTGGTGTATTCCATTTTAGGGTAGTCCATGGGGGTATTCCTTGGACTGGGGGCTCAGAGTTTTGTCCACTAACACCAGACACAACAATAGGAGAATGATAAAAAAGGCAGAAAACAATCTTACTGTGTTAATGCAACATTACTTAATGCTACAAACACCTACATGAAAAATGTTACCTATTAACCCATTCACCACTGGAAATTTGCCCCAAATGCCTTTTGAACCTACATATAGTCAAAACTATTTTCTGATCGGTATCTCACCAAAAAATCAAAATCTAACACATTACTAAAGTACACTTTTATGAAAAGAAAAAACTATGATCTGTTGCATTGGTAGCTATATAAGAATTTTTTTGTTTCTGTTGACCACCTTTTTCTCTGTCTAATATTCAGTGTTATAACCTAATAAGTATAAAAATTGCAAAATACCTGGCTAAAACCAAAGCAGCATTGCTTGCTGTACACATATCTTTAGAAGAGAGCAGATACGTAAGCTTTACAATGGCCTCATCTAAACAGTCTTCTTTCAGCATCCATAGTCGACACTCACCATCTTCAGCCTTGTTCAAAGATATAACAATAAATGTTTCTTAAGTTTTAGGAATTTTAGTTTATACTCTCAATGATCCTATCCACACAACTATTGATTTGGTAATTTTAACTTTTGATCAGTATTTGTAAATATTTATACTAAGCAAAATTTCGACCACAATGGTTCATTTTAATACTAACACATCATAATTTGGTCCAAAGATTTTAAATAAAGAATTACAAAAAATATAATCTTGCCATAAAATATAAGAGTGAATGAATTCTAATCCTACCAAGGTACCCATGGTCCCTGCAGCATTCATGACAGTTTCTGTGTCAACCATATCCAGCATATTGGTCAGCGCTGGTAAGATTTTCTTGGCTTGATCACCTTTGTCTGTGCATATTTGTACAATCCTTCTCTTACCCAAATCTGTCTCTGCTAGTGTGCCAATGACATAGGATGCATTCCCAGCAGTGCTGAAACATCATTAAAATAACTCATTGTAAAACTCTTTCAAAAGGTAATCCTCAAGTGTCAAGTTATTTTACTTGAAAAGTGGAAAAGTTGAAGTCCTAAATTAAAATGCACCAAACCCACAAAAACATCTGGGTTACCACTTGGAGTGTTGCACTACTGGGCCCAGTAGTTCGAAGGCTGATCAATGCTGACCTGAAGGATGCCTGATCATTGTAATGAGATGTTCACCAAAGTATATGTATAGGTAATAGCATGATTTGTAGTGATATTTGGCTGAAATTTCAAAATGCAATTTGACCTGAAGGATGCCTGATCATTGTAATGAGATGTTCACCAAAGTATATCATCAGTTATGTTCTTACTCAAAACTATAACAAAATGCTCAAATCTGATTGGTTATCAACTGCCCTGATTTCAGCCTTAATAGGAAGTGATATTTTGTTATCGTAACGACAGTACACGTCATGCCTAATATAATTGAATCACGCATAAATCATGCTATTTTTTGTCACATGTAGGTATTTCAAATTAAGCTGAAATACCACTGCTCTAAGCCAATCAAATTGCAGAAATTTTTCATTGCTAGTATAAGAAAATCTTGGAAGTTTAATATGACAGTACACGTTTTGATTTTAAAAGAACGCGTGCATAAATAACTTCTGTTTGCATATCACAGTGACAGTTTGTTAAAGTTATGATTAATTTCTAACATGCATATCCGTGCATATCACAGTGACAGTTTGTTAAAGTTATGATTAATTTCTAACAGAACTTTGTGTCATCCAATTCGGTCTGTAATCATACTTGTGATTAAACAAATCGAACTCCCATGATGCGGTCGTACGATTTTGTTGATCACTCGTATGATTACAGACCAAATTGGACTCCAATCAGTCCTGTTACCATAAAGCCCATTACATATAGGAAAACTGGCCAAATTTTGATTCTGTGACAAACATAAATATATTGTTATCATAGAACCAAAACTCAAAGAAAAAAATAATGATTAACAAAACAAAAGCTAAAGTGAATATTAACACATAAAAGCTTCCTCTCAACTAAGATTTGTCATTGTGAGATGTTACTATTAGTTTGTAAAGATAGAGGTATAAAAATCAAGCAGACAAATGAATATGACTTTCAATTATTATTATTATTCACAAAAAGAAAAAACAAAAGAAAAAATTCTTGAAAACTGTGCTCTTAAAAGATATACTTGATTTCCTGAATCCCTCATTCCCTAAATGTTATTCCATTTCATTTTAAGAGTCACTTAAATGTTCAAATCCTAATGGGTTACGCTTATTACAACCAAGGTGTTTATGACAACAATAATTATCACCTCTTAACATAAATGAAAGAAAAACCTTTTAGCTAAGACGAGACAACTCAAGAAATGACAACAAACTTTGCTAAAACGCTCCAAAGCGATAATTGCTTCCTCACACACTGACGGTATCTAGACATGTAAATCTAGTTGTGCAAATGTAAGCTTAAAATGCATTCCCCCTACAGCTTGCGGAAATATTGGATTAGGAAAAGTAAATACAATGACGTCTTAGCCTCTGCAAGAAAAATTTCACAGATAATACGAAAAAATTAAGCCTGAGCTCAAGTTAACAGGTTTGGGATGACACAGGAAAAAGAGTCGTTATAAATGGCCGGACAATATTTGGAGTAATATAGCCGGTTTTGGCTGACAATCTCATTTCCTTAATTATCATATTTGTAAAAAGCTTAAAACGACCTCATTGTGATACATTTCGGTCTTGCCATTAATTTCCTTACCTCGAAAAGTTATTTGTTTAAGCTTAAAGTTAATTTAAACGAAGCAAATGGTTAGCATACTTCCTGCGAAGAAATGTCCTCTTTTTACCGCCTAGTCGGACAAATTGATTTTCCATGACGTTATAAACGAGTATCCTGGATCGGAGAGTGAACAAAAGAACAATTTGTCACCTTCCCTACAACTTAACGCAGCTGTTTTCTTCTCGTATTCAAAACAAAAACACGGCAACAACAAAGGCTAACTTATCTTTTCATTAACATCACCTTCGCAACACGCCGCTTTTTTCCTCGAGTTTTGTCCTGCGATTGTTTGGAAACGATAAGCTTATAACTTGACAATTTTACAACCGTATAAATTGCCTGGGTGGCAGCTGTCTGATCATGATGTATAGACATAAACAAAAGCTGTAATGATAAACTCACCGGGAATCTTCTGTTAGAAGATTCATGAGACCCCATAGCATGTCCTCCGAGCCGGGATGATTAAGAAATAAATAACTACATAGCTCTTTGTCGCTGTGAAGTTCGTGCACAAGCCGTTCAAGAACTCGTGGTGTATGAAGGTTGTGTTTGAAGAGGCTCGTCAAATCCTTGTTCAGAGAGCGTCCGGCTTCTGCTAGCAGCAGCATTATTTAGCCCTCAAGGTTCTTTGAGAACAGGTAAATGTGATGGCAAGATAGTGAGCTATGTAGTCGAAGCATAGTCACAGGCAATGATCCACTTTCATTGAGATTATATTTGATCAGCCCGCTTCGTGCAGTTGTTGCACATTTCTAGCTCCCCCCAGTTGATTGGTTCGTCTCAAGCCTCCTCAGGCCAATCATAAACGGCAACCGCTGGTAAAGCAAAAAGAGGAGGAGCAGTCGGTTGGCTGAGAGGTATATACATGAACCTCCCAAAAAAAAACACTCATGCCACAGTCATGGAAAAAAAAGGTACATTTGACCTCAAGTGTCTAGAGAACAAATACACCACAAACCTCGAAAACGCGAACCCCCAAGGGGAGGTACTCAACAAATGTTTATACGGGGAGGGTCCGTCCCGAGGTCCAACCCGTTACCCTTTTACGTACCATTTTTCACGAAAACCTTTCCGAAAAAGGTACCCCTTTCGTATACCTTCTATTGACAAATGGTACCCCTTTCCCATACCTTGTTTAGAACTTTGCATCCCTTTTACAGTCAAAGCAGGTCAAGCGTACCCTCCAAGATTCTATTCATGAATTGATTATTTGAAAAATGAATCCGTTAGTGGTTCCCGTATCTTTTGTCATATTCAAAGCGGCATTTCTGCTTGCGTAATGAGCAGTGAATATCTAACTAGAACTTCTCTGTATTAGGTCAGATTGAAAATCTTCGAATGGATTATATTTCTTAGAAGACATTTACATCAAATCCAGGAAACTGAGCTGGTAGAAATTTCGTAACTGCCTCGCGTGTGAATTCACGGCTCATTACGCATGCAAGAATGCAGAGATGAATCTGAAATCTACAACTACCAACGGATTCAACTTTCGAATAATAAATTCATTAATGGGAGCTTGGGGGGTACCCTTGACCTGGCTTGACTGTAACTGCTGTAAATACATTGTCTTAAATAAATATCGATTACAAAAATAGAACGTTTTCTCGACCTTATAAAGCCATAAAATTCATCTGTTAGCCCTCTTGCCTATATTAGAGTCTTTCACAGACCCAAACGACAGATTTCCCTACCCTTTTATATACTTTAACTAGTAAATCCCTACCCTTTGATATACCTGAACTCTGAAAAAGATACCCCTTTCGGGCGGGGTCTCTCTGTATTAGCCTGTACACAGACGTTGTTTTATTTTTCTTTTCGTTCTTTTCGAAAACATTGGCGAGCAAAGCGAGCACGCGTCTATTTTCTTCTTCCCCCACCACTACCCCCTTGCGCTGGCGGTCAACTGAATAATGCATCGGTCAAATCGAAGCTTCAATATGCCCCCCCCCCCGGGCATACCCCGGGCATTTGACACTTTTGCCGTTCCGAGGAGGAGGGAATTTGATTATCAGAGTCTTCCAGGGGGTGGGGAATTTGATCCCTATGCTTTAGGGTGGGGAATTTGAACTGCACCCTCGATTTCATGTAAAATCTTTGGCGTGGCGAGCTATCACGGGTACGCGGTGTTAGAGGATTTTCGTGGAAAAGATTGTGCCTTAGTGGCCAATTGGTTTCGAGGAAAGGGCTTAAACAGGCTTTGTTCCGTATTTGAAGTATTTAAATTTTAAAATTTTTAATATTGGATTCAGGCTTTGAATGTATGAATGTATTTTATTGTTGTGTTTACAATTAAATACAATACGTATACCGGCGATTCAATACAACAACATAAAATAAAATAAAATAAAATAAAACGGTCAACTACTTTGACCTACTGCAAGTATAGTAAATAATAAGGTGAGCGATGATGCATGTCAGTGAAATGGTCATGATGTAGTAATCTCAATAGGTGGGATCTTTTTTATTGAACGCTTTGTATGTTGCATGACGAAGAAAAGCAGAGCATTCAGTGACCTTGTAGCAGCGATTTCCGCCGCTTTGCACGAGACTTTTGTTCGTAGTAAATAGGCTAACAGTGTTGCTCAGTTTTTGTTATATTTATAAAGATTTTGTTCGACAACTGAAGGCGTTTCCGCCGTCCTTCTGTCATTTTTGTGCCTGTGAAATGTCCCCGGGATGGGGCCATTTGATCACCTGAATGGACCCTAGTGTGGGGCATTTGAACGGCATTTTGGTCCTGGTAGGGGGGAATTTGAACAATAATTTTCAAAAAAGTCAAATGCCCGGGGGGTTGCCCGGGGAGGCATGTTGAAGCTTCGATTTGACCGATACATAAATCCCCTGCGGTTTATTTATTATCACCCAAACTCGACGGACCAGGACTTTGAAGAGAAAATAAAGGGTCTGTGAACAGGCTGCCCTCGTATAGAAAAACATGAAACGGCAAACTGATCCTTACGGCAAGGCGATGAAACAGTAAACAAAAAATATTGGGCAATTTGTTTAAATATCTATTTTTTGCTTTATTCTTTTGTTTACTTCTTCATCGCCTTGCCGTAATGATGTCAATGATCAGTTTGCCGTCTCATATTTTTCTACCAGTTTAATTGTACTGATCCAGGTCTGCAACTGGGAGATCGAGCGGGCACCACTCATTGGTTTGTTGCCGTGGACTTGCTGATATTTTATATGCCCCGAATAGGCCCCCAATTTTTTCCAGCCATTTTTTTCCGAGTTTATTCCAGCAATTGAATGCATCTGTTAGCCTTTTTTGGTCTTTCTAAGTGACCGAAATGAGAGATTTCCCTACCCTTTTTAAAAAGTATATCCCTTTTTATTTTTATTTGCGACGCTTTGGCACATTTTTGTATGGCTCAATCAATTACATTTTTTTGTAACCCAATTTCAATTTTGCCAATTTCGTTTTTTTCTCTTAGGCCATGTTGTTCATAAGGTGCATGGATAGCGGCTATTCAGTCGATAAATCTCTATCCAGCGAATAACGCATTTTAGGGACGAGCTCCACTAAAAACGCTTGCGTGGGAGGCTACCTAGTCATGCTTACGTCTTATATTCTCACTTAATTTCGCGATTTCTGCGATTTGGGAAAGAGCACCAAATCTAAAAATCCCTAAAAATCCTTCTTGTTTATCTTTGTGTTTTAACTGCATTTCAGGCCTCAGAGCACTCTTTGGGACCTGTCATTTATTAGAGGGGGGAGGGCTGGTGCAAATGGGGGAGGGTCACCAAAAATTTAAGCTGGGCTTTAGGGAGGGCCATACCATTTTTAGCAAACATTGCTGTTCACTTAAAATAAAAATAAATAAACAAACAAAATATATTATTTAACAAACAAGTCCCTTGCACAGTAAGCATTTTAAACTTTAATAATTTTCAACCTGAACAACCCAACAACCCTAAATGTATGGCAACTGTTGCACAAAAGCGGTCTTTAAATATCAAACAAAACATTTTATATCTAAACGTTCTTGAAGATTTTCTGTGAGAACCAATCAATCAACACATTTTAAATGTTGAAACAGTATAAATTAATCCAGCCCACATTAAACCCCTTAGTGGAGCATCAGAATATTTAAGGTTTACCACACTCCTCATTCTCTGTCAAGCTGTCCGACTATCTTCCCCAGAGAGACTTTCATCTGTATCTAGTTCTTCCTTACTTTCTTCCATAAAACCACCTAGATAGTCTTTTGCTGTTGTAATGGCTCTTTCTGTCAAGTGACCATTCTTTGCCATTTTTGTCAGACACCTGACCTGTCTAACTGAAAGCTTCATTAAGCCTTGCAATAACATCTTCATCAAACGATTAGAATACTCTTCTCCTCGTATCAAATTACCAGTCTTTAAGTGAAACAGTGTGTTAAGGTGAGCTTTAATGCATCTATCCATATCTGATATGTTCTCTAGTAACTCACTGAGCTTCATAATGTTGGCCTTCAGTATCATCAGCTGGGACAAGAACATAATCTGTCTTGTAAAATTTTCCAGCAGCACCGGGATTGTTCGTGCTCAATATTGCGTCAATGCGTAAGGTGAACTTAGATACCTGTTCCTAAATGTCGTATTGGCGCGTCCCTTCATCACAAGGTAAAAGTTGATCTCTTTTAATAATCCCTGTCACATCTTTTAGCTTGGGGAGGGTCATAACTATTTTGGGCCTTCCAAAGGAGAGGGTTACATTTTTTTCTGCAGGAAATTGGGGCAGGGCATAAAAAAAAATTCACCTGGGAAAAAAGAATTGCACCAGCCCTCCCCCCTCTAATAAATGACAGGTCCCTTTAAAGCCTTTTTTTCACCCAGATGAGCGAAGAGAGAAAAGAAAGTAAAGTTGGCAAACCCTTCTTGATAGTTTTATTTTTAAGAAAACGCTAACGGTAAGCTTCAAAGCGATATTAATTGTACATTTTGCTAATTTAGTTAGCAAAGAATATTGCTCAAGTTTCTTGCTGTATCAGATGATTTAGAATTAGCGAGGAGCCCAGCTTATTAGGGAAGTTTTTCTCACGAGGTCTTGGCATCCTAAGAGCCCGGGGGGGGGGGAGGTACTCCCATACATTACCTATACGGCTATGTGCCGCCCAACGGGGTCGTGATTTTGAAGCTCCTGATTTAGAACGGGGTATCCATTTCAGAGGCGTTTTCTAGAACGGGGTATGAAAAATTGTGGGTCACGGCTTTATCTTCTGCTTAAAATTGTTGTTGATTATGAAGAAGCATTAATTTGATGTATAAGTCGAACAAATACAGAAATTTTCAATTTACAAACTTTCTACAACGGAGTATAAAAAATTGGCCCATTTCTAAAACGGGGTATCAGTTTTAGGGCGAATTCTAGAACGGGGTATAAAAAATTGGCCCATTTCTAGTACGGGGTATCAATTTTAGGGGAATTTGTTTTTAGAACGGGGTGCCAATTTGGAGTCCCGGGCGGCACATACCCACCCAAAAAATACCTAAGTGCCCCCCCCCGGGCCTAAGAGGTCTGAAACGCAGTCAGCACACAAATAGCCTCCCCACCAGACGTCCTCCCCTCCCCAGACGTCCTTTGCGGGGGGTTCGTTTGTCACCGCCCGCATTAAATTTCTGGACCCCCAAAGGACGTCTGCTGGGCGCTTATTAAATTTTCACCATTTTCAAATAAACAAAACAAAAATACTTAACAAAAGGCGAAGTTAACAAAGCAAAAAGTAAAAATAATTTAAAGTCTCACATTTTATTTCAATTATGGGGTGGGTTTGATTGGGAGGAGGATAATTCTCATAAAACGCTTATTCTTCGAGGTTGGGCGCTTATGAATAATCAAGAAAATACTTAATGTAAGTTTTAGCAGCGTTCAGGGCAATAGGATAATTCTCTAAAAATTAACCAGACGTAGTGTGTGTCACTGAATGAATATATTAATATTCACATGGACAAATTAATGCGATGAGTCGTCCAAACTCCAATGAACTAAAATAGTCCAAAAGTCAAAATATAACAAAATAAAGCTAAGATACCTTTAACTGAACGTATGCTTGTTTTTCCTGGCCGGTTAAAGTGGCATTTTGTTGAGTTTTGCAATTGTAGGTACTATCCACTAAAGAAGAATTAAATGTGAATATTAATATATTCATTCAGTGACACATACTACGTCTGGGTGGCCTGTGGTGCCGAGAAGCCTCGCTTTCGTGCATAAACGTACTACGTAGCCATATTTACTTTCACTCATTTCTTTGCCATTTTAAGCTTTTACAAGAGCTACAGTGTACGTATTTAAGAATTTTTCCTACCCAAAAAAGAGCAGTTTCTGAATTTATGAAAAATCGATCACGTGCACCGTCGTCCTAGCCTGTTATGTACAGCGGGGCGGCTGTACGCAGGCAATTTACAGTGAATTTAGCGCAGGTCTGACCTTGGCTCTGGACATAATAGGATGAAGGTGAAAATCTCTATCTACCTAAATAATATGATTACGTGTCTGCAACTTCGGCTCCGTGCAACTCTGCACGGCCAGGACGGTCCGGGGATTCCCCTCAGCATTAAAATCCACGTCATTGACGCAGTTAAAGAGACGTGCCAAGGCAACCTTACGAAATGTCATGCCTTGTGCTGCCTGTGGAAATTTCTTCAACTTAATCAGGTTCGTGTTGAAACGTTGCCATCTTGTTACGCCATGGCCAAAATAGTTTCATTACCTTGCTCTATCTTTTACTTGCAGGGATTTTCAACAACTCAAGGCAATGACTCCTTGTGTTGCAATTAATTATCGCGGGATATTCATCATGACTTCGATACTGGTAAGGTTTTTTTCTCACATCTGTGTCAACACCTCCATTAATATAGCATATGACTGATAAACAGATTGAACTACGGTCAACTGTCGCATTGCCAACACTTCGCCATCGCAGACATCCCGATAAAACATGTACATTCAGACGTTTGTCACGGTCAGAAACCGAACTCCCGTTATTACGGTCTATCTCTACTAAGGACACTTTCAAATTTGCTATCTCCTACAAATCTACAAGAGTGATTTTGGTGAAAGGGAAGCCTTCTAAAATACCACACCTCAAAACTGTCGAAACTAGGAATATTATGTAAGATGAACTTTTTTTGCTTTGTAAGCATTAACTCCCTGACTTTGCAGAATGATGCAATTTTACATTACCATATTAGATTACATAACAAAACGAGAGCCTGTTTGGTGCTGTAATTGCAGTTTGTTATAATTTTACAGACCTGCCATCTCTTGTGATTCTGCCTTTAGTCTCACAATTTTTTATTTTACCTCAAGGTCTCAAATCTCACTGTTTTTAGTGAAAAGTCAGTTCAAAATGAAAGGTTACATTGTAGAATAAGAATGGAAACTTGATGGATAATATTAGTGCCATAAACTTAAATGATAAGCAAATAAGAATAAACACTTTACTTACCGAACTGTGGGATTTGCCCTTCTGTTTCCCGTTTAAAGGCTTCTACGTAGTTCTAGTACAGAAATTGACGAGTGGAAGAAGGGTTCATTTAACCTGATCGGGAAAAAAAATAGAGTCTCACTATTTTTGTAGAATCTCCAGATTTTTTCGTAAGTCTCCTGATTTTCTTTTATGACCATCATCGGTGGGCAGGTCTGCTTTTATGAGTCCTCTGAACTACAAAAAGCTATATTTTAGTAACCATGTAGGTGTATTGATGCAAATAGAATTTATAGGCTTATATGAAAAGTGTCATTCACTGTTAAGCTTATTTCTTTTTTTCTTTTTCTTATTTTTTCCTTTTATTTATTTATTTATTTTATTTCACTTTTTCTTTTTCTTTTCCTAGCTTAGCTAAGGTGGCACCTTGAAAGTACAATTTGAATGTTCCAATGACTATTAGGCTATGTCAGTCTACACTATACCAGATAGCTTATCTTAAGTAAATTGCTCCATTACTTTATTAAAGAAATATGTCTAACTTTTATGCACAAAAACTGGAAGGAAATGCCTCAAAAGAAAGAAGACTTGGGTATATTTGTTGAACTTACAGAGCACTTTAAGCAAATAAAACAAGCTTTCACTTAGTAAAACTTGAGGCTTAACTCTTGTGCTATTTGCAAATGACTCGTCAGTAAAGGAGAATCAATAAAAAAAAAATTATACAACAACTAGAACCGACATATTTTCCACCACGTACCTGTAACTTACTTGTAATGCCAAATTTCAGTGAAGGTCTGCTCTTTTTTTTTGTTTTCTTTTCTTGTCCCACTGATATTGTACTCGACTTGTGAAGATAAAGGCAATGTTTCAAGCATATTTAAATGTCTTAAGCATGCTTACGGCGAAGGTGAACGCATGAAAGAACCAACATTTACTCTGAGTCTGTATGGCCTGCCAAAACCATATTAGTTAGAAATAATGTAAATGATTCATACATGACCGTATTAGAAAGATCCCATATTTTGTTTCAATAGTACTGCAAGTCAGCAGTAATTCAACACCCTCATGTACACAGCATTTCCCTAAACATAAAGATGGCCGATGGTTTTGCTTCCAGTTCTTGTTCTACAGTTGACTCCCGATAACTTGAACCCTCGCTAACTCGAACCGAAGTCGATTTCCCCTGGATTTCCTTTATACATTTACTGTAATTTTACCCTCAGTAACTCGAACCCTTGATAACTCGAACCTGCCGCTAACCTGTGTTTCCCCTTCAGATCGTTTCCATATAATTTTACCCTTGATAACTTGAACCATGTTATAAGCGCGTGACAAGTCAGGAAAAAAACCATGTACTGAAGTCCAAGACATTGAATTTATTTCAAAGCAACTGCGTCAATTCTTTGTCTTTACTTTTTTGTCACTCCAGTTCAAATTCAGTGTCCATTCCTGTATACTTTGTTGTATAGTTGCATTCCCTCCCCACCCATTTGCCTATTTTTCTTATTTCCGGTTATTTGCTTCAAACTCGATCTGATAACTTAAACATTTTTCGATTTCCCTAGAAGGTTCAAGTTATCAGGAGTCAACTGTATTTTTTTAGATCCTCGTAAATAGGAGGTTACACTTTGCAGGCCTCCATTACATCCACAGGGCTCGAAATTAAAAAAATCCCCAAGTCGCCTTTTGGCGACCAACTGGAGAAATATAGTCACCAGATGCAAATTTTTAGTCGCCAGTTTGTATAATGTAAATGACGCAGCTCATAGTATCAGCCTGGCTTCTGATATTTAGCGTGGAGTAGCGAAATCCCGCAAAAGCCACTAAATCATGCCAAATACCGCGAGATTTGCTAGAAATCTTAACAAATACATGTCGATACAGCATATTTGAAACTTATCTCAGTTATTGGGGCTGTTCAATTGCCGTAAACTTGCAAATTTATCTTGAAACTTTATCACCACAACGAGCGAACAACGTCCCAAAACTACCACGCGTATATTATGTTGGGAAAAACTGGGCACTAGTCATGACATTAAAAGCTTTGCCATTAGCTCATTTCTCGAGCACTTTATTGTTAAAATAGCGAATGATTATCTCTGTTAAAAAACACAACACGCTCGTCAAATCAGCGTAAAATCGATCGATTTCTAGCGAGATTTGGTCAGAAACTTTCCAAGAAATTGGCCGTTTTTTACTGATTGTTTTTCGGCAAAGTTAGCCCCAATAATTTCCGCAAATTTGACTTTTTTTCCGTGACCTATCATAAGCCTGTAGTATGTCGCGATCCATCAGATCTGATCGTTTCAAAATATCGCGGACAGAAGTTGGTATAAATTTAGAGGTAAACTGGCTTTGTTTGTGCGACTTGGCACATTTTTATGATGAAAGCAAAGCAAGATAAGATGAAATGTTTGTTTTAACTTTACTCTTTTAATTTAAATCTAACTCATAGAAGAAAACCTGGTCACGGCCAAAGTGGCGACTAAACCAGAATTTTTAGTCGCCAAGGAGAAAATATTAGTTGTATTGGCGACCGTATCAGTCGCAATTTCGAGCCCTGATCCAGTATCTTTTACAGGCAAATGCAAAAATTTCACGAGCAATCGTAAAGAAATAGCCAGAAAGAAACTGTGCAAATTTGCTTATTTCGCAGATACAATTCAGGAGATGATCTTCTCATGATCACTAAGTCGATCAAGGACTGATGTGTGCTTTATGCACCTAAAAACTTGCTATGTACTTCACCACTCTAAAGTAATGCTTGTATGTTCTCAATTAAATGTACGCAGTGGCAAAAATGCCGAAAAATAGACAGAGGGCTGGTGATTCAAATTGGACGCCAAAAGTGGCTCCTTGGATAGTGGCGATTTTGGAAAAATTGGTGATTTTGGCAAAAATGACGAACTAGGATGGCAGAAATGGCAATTGTGTGCATTTCTGGACATATCTCATATAAGTTAATGCTAATTAAATTAATGTTTTCAGTCATTATAATTACACTTATGAGCTTGTTGTTTTTTCTCAATCAACCATAGCTGTTAGTGGCCAAATGCGAAGACCAACTTTGCTCAAATTGTACAGAAGAGCACATCACCAGAAAAGTACCTGGCAAGTGTGATGTCTGCTGGCCATGCAGTGAATGTTACGTGGGGTATGGTTTATCTGTAGCATGTGGGACCACTGTGTCACGTGACGCAGATATTGTTTGTGTTCCCTGTACAAGAGGAGTTAATTTTTCGGACACTTCTGGCAGTGAGCAGTGTCAACCATGTGCAACTTGTGCAGGCAAACATGAACATGTCCTTGAAAACTGCAGTCCTGAACACAATGTCAAGTGTGAATGTGAAGATGGGTATTATCGCAACATGACCACCAAGGAATGCCTACCCTGTGTTTTATGCTGTACAGATGATTGGAAAATTGCCAAGAGATGCAGAGGTGATGAAGGTGAAATTGCAAAGAAATGCAAATTTCAAATTTCTTGGACCAAGGCGTGTTTTTCCTTATTGGTGTCATCCACTATCGGTGATGTATCCAAGCCAATAGAACACCATTCATCTGTGGTTGTTGTAACACCTTCATCCCTTATGAAACAGTCTTCCTTACACCCAACTGCCACATCTTTACTGGAGAGGATGACTGTGTCAAAAACAGTGCAGATTAAGGCTACATCCTTAAGCACTCCAGGACATTCTAGAGATATTTCCCATCATAGTGTCATAGTGACTATTTTAGTTTCCTTATTCATATTTATTGTTTTGGGGATGTTTGTCCTGATTGTGGGCTGTGTAGTTAAGTATTTTTTCAAAAAGTACAAGTCAAAGAAAGCAGTCGGAGCCAGCCAAAATGATATGGAAGAAGGCACAGAAAATGATGAGAGAGAATCTAGCCTGACTGGTAGTGTCATTATACCACTGCTGCCGGGCACTGAAGACCCATATGAAATACCATCAGTACCCTTGGAAAATGATAAAACAGGTGAAACTACAGATTTTTCCAAAAATCTGCCATCTAGTGCCGATCAAGAAGGGCAAGGAGTCAATGTACAGATAGACAAAGGAATTCCAACATCCCTTGACATTGAACCAAGAAGTAAAGGTAAGGCATAGCCAGTTTTTTATTTATCATGTTTAGGAGGCAAAGGGTTGAAAAGATCAGTCTAAATCTGGATGTAAGTTTGGGAAATTTGCAGCAAACATGAAAATAAAGCAGGATATTACCATCTTCCTGTGATCCAATTAAGGTGACTTGACTGGATTTTTTCGAGGGGATACCTCCCAAGTTTGAGCATTAACTACGTCGCCATGAGTAAAGATATGGGAAAAAGATTACCACAACTGTATTAGATAAAGACGAAAATTTCTTATGATTTGGGTTTTATTGCAATCGGAGTCGCCATGGCAACGTAACAACGCCATTACGTTTTTTATTTATCTTTGCGTTTCTCTGTACCGGGAGTTTTTTTAAGAAATCGCTTAAGGGAGTATGTACATGCCATAATTGTCTCAATTATGGCAAAGTTTGAACAAATTCTATGAGAGGGTTTTCGAGATACTTTGAAACGAAGTTTTAAGCATCATAAAAACAGTGAAATAGCATGCTATCCACGCAATTAGCTATTTTTTTAAGAAAATGATAAGCTTTGGAAACACGGCTTCATCTCGTAGTGGTTTGATTCCATTGAAAACTGCGTACAAGAAAAGAGGGGAATTGCTCTGGGCGATCGCGAGTAAGAAGACGTTTATTAACTTGCATTCAGCTGCTTTTGTTACAGTTTTTGCACATAATTTGGTCCATGCCTACAATTTTCGCATTTTTTTTAAAATCCGCTCGATAAATTTTTTGATAAATTTGACAATCCCGAGATCAATTGCCAATAAATATACCCTGCAAGTTTCAAGAACATTGAAAACAGAGAAGGCTTTTAAATAGGACCTCAAATATAACCAATTTCCCCCCCCAGGTTTTGTGTTTACAAGTGAGCGTCCTTATTATTCACTGGCATTGTTTCCAAGTTTCATATGCATGTGCACATTTAGCAAAAAGAAATAAATTTGCATCAAAAAGAACTCTCGATTAAATTCGGTAGAAATATCCGGAATATGCTAATAATTGCCTTTTGTCACAGATAGCAGTGAGAGCCGAGAGGGTGAACGTCACGACTCATCGTGCAGGATGCAATACTTTAATAATTATCTTACTTGGGTTATAACGTCACAGAAACTCTTGCAAAGAGTAGCTGTGATGTTATAATATATCAGTAATTTCTTTACCCGGTTATTAGCATATTCGGGAGAGTTAACCGAGGGTTCTTTTTTGATGCAAATTCTATCTTTTTGCTAAATGGGCACTTGCATATAGAACCTTGGAAACAAAGCCAGTGAATAATGAGGACGCTCACTTGTAAACACAAAATATGGGGGGAAAATTGGTTATATTTGAGGCCCTATTTAAAGGCCTTCTCTGTTTTCAATGTTATTAAAACTTGCAGGGTATATAATTTTATAGACGATTGATCTCGGGATTGCAAAATTTATAAAAAAAATTATCAAGCGGTTTTTTGAAAAATGCGAAATTTGTAGGCATGGACCAAATTATGTGCAAAAACTGTAACAAAAGCAGCTGAATGCAAATTACTAAAATTCTTCTTACTCGAGATCGCGCGGAGCAATTCTCCTCTTTTTTTGTACGCAGTTTTCAATGGAATCAAACCACTATGAGATGAAGCCGCGTTTCCAAAGCTTATCATTTTCTTAAAAGTTTAGCTAATTGTGTGGATAGCATGCTATTTCACTGTTTTTATGATGCTTAAAACTTCGTTTCAAAATATCTCGAAATCGCTCTCATAGAATTTGTTCAAACTTTGCCATAAATGAGGCAATTATGGCATGTACAAACTCCCTTAAGCGATTTCTTAAAAAAACTCTTGGTACAGAGAAACACAAAGATATATAAAAAACGGAACGGCGTCGTTACGTTGCTACGGCGACTCCGATTGCAATAAAACCCAAATCATAAAAAATTTTCATCTTCATTTAATACAGTTGTGGTAATCTTTTTCCCATATCTTTACTCATGGCGACGTAGTTAATGCTCAAACTTGGGAGGTATCCCCCCAAAAAAATCCAGTCGAGCCACCTTAATACTCCAACGATTTGTTAATGAATAAAATTTTGTTTTATAGGTCAAAGACCAAGAAAACAAATACCTCCTGAAGAAGAAGATAAAAAGGAACCTTGTTTAGATGGTAAGTCACTAGTCCGCACAAAAATTTGGCAGTAGGTATAAACATTAATAATTAAAGTGCATTGAAGCCAACAAAAACATTTGGTAGAATGCCACAGTTTCATATTTTAAGAAGGTACTGCTGGAAATTCAATTTGCCAATTGCTGTTTACAAAATTCTTTTTTAAATACCTCAGCTTTACTTTAAACTCACAGCCTGATACCAACAGTTATTACCTGAATTAGAGGTCAAGATCAAGTTTTTTTTCCATCAATTTATTATAAGAAAAAAAACAAGGATTAGCAATTTAACAGCTAGTACAGACAAAGAAAACAGGGCTAATAAGATGGTTTTTTATGGCTTCCTGTTTGGGGGAACCAGAAACAAGTGCTGGACACACAAAAACAAAAGCACATGCATTACAAAGGTTAATTTCCATTGAAAGTGAAATCAAAATGCAAATGTGCCCATGTTGAGAAAGAGAGTACTTTAAGTTTTAGTTAACCAGTGTAACACTAGCCTGGACTGTTTTAAAAACTGGATACTGTGTCAGGCTCGATTTCACATCCATCTTTCTTTGGTTGGGCTTTGAGAAAAACATTGCAAACAGCAAAGAAGCTTGTCAAGATGATTGAGTGCAGAAAGGTTTGTTAGTTTCATTGTCAAAGAAATTGCTCATATTTCTTGTGAAAAACATCTTGAATCTCTGCCAGTCCAATTCTAATGTCTTCTTATCTGTGACCTACAAAAAATTTTCAATCACTGACCAGAGTCCTCTTCTTTGGTAAGATTACGATTCAGTTTCTTCATCAGCTTTGTTCTCAGAACAAATATACATGCATAGGTTAAAATTTGGAAGGACGAAGTCAACATCCAGGTCCTCAGGTTTTACAGACATACCTGTGTATGCTAATTTTTTAAATCATTTTTTCGAGATAAAAACATTTAGAGCGACAAAATGAGCATTTGCTTTTGAAATTTTGGTCTGCATTGTAAGTTGTGGACTGCAAATTGACCAATCGCAGGGTGGAAACAGACTTAGCCATATAATAAATATGATGTTACAGAATCAAAGCATATTAATTAGTTCTTGATTTCAATGTTTACCTCCAGCATTATAAGTTTTTAATTTTTTTTAAATTACAGACCTTATGTGGATATTAGGCCTAAGCTCTCAAAAAGAACGAATTAAACATTTTTTAAATTTGCTTTATTCTCCCTTCCATGTGCAGCACCTGATGACATTTTCTTTGTAAATTTTAAGTGAATCAGCTTAAAGACAAAAAATATTGTCAGTATTCCACAAAATTTTAAACAATGATTTGATTTTTTCATTTATTACAGTCCCCTATTTTTTGTTTGATGTACTGTCTTTTTATTATTAATTTGTAAAGGTCAGCAACACCATTCTTACACTGATCATTATGATGAAGAACCCCATACAACTGTGACTGTTGACAAAATGCTGGCTTCCTTTCATCATGATTCCCCTCAACCTACTGGACTTCCAGCTATCAGAAGTCAAGGTTCCTCTTCAGGGAATGATGCTGTTCCTAATTCTGTAGTTGCTTTTAGTCCAAGTGATGCGGAACAAATGTCTGGGTCACATTTATCAGCCCAATTGGACTTGGGTAAGTAAAACTAAGGGGGGCAAGAACACTCATCACTCCAAGCTTGAGGATGGGGTTAGTAGTAAATTAATACATTTTTCTAGGATTCCATGCAGATCATTATGATAGATTTATGGTTTCCGACGTGCTTTCTTTTTTTAAGAATTAAGTGTGTCAATTTCCAGTGTTAGAGCCTATGCCACAGATGTTTTTTTACCCCCTCTGGCTTCCCCATCACTCATATCTTTGAAATCAAGTCCCACTAGAACCAGGCTAATCATTGAAACAGATATCAGCCACATCCATAATCAGCCAAGTATTTCTGCCACCAGTTCAGCTGGTTCTCATTCCTCAATAACTGTTGCTGTGGTAGAGACCAAGGAGGGTGATGACTCAGGAACTGGACAAGATTCAAATGTGACAGTAGCTACCCTACGCCTATCAGGCTGTGGTGTAGCTCTGATAGTCACTATAATTGTGGCTATTGTTTATATTTTTAAGAAAAGAGGATCAAATAGTATTTGCTTCCTATATGATAACAATGAAGACGCTAGGCCAAACTTAACTTCAGGTTCTGGGGACAGTGAATCATGTTCTGTACTCTTATCTCCTGAAGATGACACTGCCTTGTATGTAAAGCTCAAGGATGCTCAACAAGATGCTACCTGTCAAGAAAATGACAGTCAAACTTTGCAGCATATTGGCCAGACCCTTTCTGATGATGGTACCATTCCACCATCTCTAGATGATTGCAGCCTTGGAGATGGTATAATAATTACTAGTATGTTATTGATATAAATATTTTTTCACTTATTGAAATAAAATACACCATGAATGGCTGCCTGTAACAGTCTTTGTCTGTGTCAGAGGTGGTAGCTTCAACTTAAAGTCAGCAGGTCTTTGTGGCATTGAAGGCTAGCTGTTGAATCATTTTAATCCTTATAGTTCTAACAGCAGAAAAAAACTTATATGCAAGAAATTTTAATCAGGAAGGATGAACTTTATTTAGGACATTAGTAAAGGTAATAGCATGATCTGTAGTGATATTTGGTATAAATACCACGAGTGATATTTCGAAATTGTTATACGTAATTTCACGAGCCATTAGGCGAGTGAAATTTGAGACAGTTTTGAAGTATCTCAAGTGGTATTTATGCCAAATATCACGTACAAATTATGCTATTATTTGTTTATATGACTACCCGCAAAAGGTTTGTAATTTTCACATGTAGGTATTTCAAATTAAGCTGAAATACCACTGCTCTAAGCCAATGAAATTGCAGAAATTTCTCATGTAGTAGTATAAATAATGTAATTCTGACATGATCAAAAATAATATTTTCATTCTAACAGATTGTCAACAAAATGCAACCAGTGAGGGTGAAACAGGTTCAGATGTTGCTGGATCATTACAAGATCCTACATTAGTGGCTTCACCAGAAATGCCTTCATCATTGAACATAGATTTAAAAGCCATTGCTGTTCCACCATATACATGTATTACCAGTACACCCAAATGCAGTGTAAATATAAACTTCATACAAGCTACTGGAGGTAAGAACAATATTGTTACATGATACCACCAATCACCAAATGATTGACCATAATAAACTGGTTTCAGGAGGTTTACTTTATGTCACCAAAAGTGAGAAAATGTACATAAAAACATTATTTCCTTTACACACAATTTGAAAGTTTTGTTTCTTTTTTTTTAAAATGGGAAGGACGGGGTGTATATTAAATAGTTATTGGAATGGCCCTAATCAGGGTCGGCCAGGGTTTTGGGGTGTACAGTATATCAGGGTATTTAATTTCAGGTATACAGTATTTTTATGCTTAAAATTTGGTATGAAGTATTCCCTCACGACCAATTTTGGGTGTAAAGTATACTTTTTTTATCTTAATTTTGGTATTTTACATGAGTTTTAGTATAATTTTTGGTATATTGTAAGGTTTAATCCAGGTATTTTGGTATTCCACTACCCCCCCCGGCTGACCCTGCCTAATCAAGTTTCTGTCTTTATTTGCCTGTTTCTTGGCAAGTTAAAGATATGTTAAAGGATGTTTACCAGTAGTCTAGCTGATGTTCTTCAAATAGCAGATGTCATCCATCAAGTTCTATTCTTGCTGTTCTTGCTTAATGCCATGTTTTTAGGTAGTAGGTCAGCTATTTCTTTGTTACAAAATATGTGAAATGTTCAGCCATTTTGTCTCACTCTTATGCTACCTTATGTCCCCAGGGCTTTGTTTGCCATCCCTTATTTTAGTACTTATTCTGTGCTATTGACATCATTTTCCAAAGCCTGCAAATGTCTTCCAAATTTTGTTAACGATAGCTCGTTATGAAGGATAAGCTGTGGGATTTGAGCCAGTCAGAAAGGGAGAAATAGTTTGAATGAATAATAAGTTTTGTTCCTTCATTTTAATGTTGATTTCTTCTGTGCAGTGTTTTTTGAACATGATATACAACTCAGACTATATGAGCGAGGCACGTTTGGTAACAACAAGGCACAGAGTTAATTAATATGGGCAGAATTCTCTTCAATATAACTACCGGTAATAGTAGAGGTGTACTTAAAGTGTTCCTGATAGAGACCCCTTGTGATCCCAACTTTGTTGTGGGAAAAATATCCAAAAAGATGCTATTATACAGAAAATACACAGGAGGTTTGTCTGAGTTGATTTCAGTCTTTCCTTCTTTTACAGCTTCCCATGACATTTTCTCGGCTTTTGATTCACGGCATGTGAATGCTAATGATGTGCATAAACAAAGGCTGGACAAAAAGTGGGCAACCCTGTCCCAAGCAGAGAAGTACAGTACTAAAATGCAGGAGGTACCATTTCATCTCCACCACAAAGTTTGTCTCGAGCTTGATATCCCAAGATTTGATGGTAAAGATGTGAGAGAGTTTGCCAGTAAACAGGGCATTACAGTTCCAGATTGTGCACGCCTTCAACAGGCTGCTAAAATACACAACACCACAACAACTTTTATCATTTTACAACAGACTCCTGGAATAACTGTTGGGGATTTTGTCAATATAATGAAAGAAATGGGGAGACAGGACATAGCAGATTTAATAAATTAATGGTAGCTGGGGCTAATTTTGTTTGCTTATTTACATGCACAGTGAGGAAGTTACAAATAGCTTGTTGTCTGGCATTTTCCTAGCTGGGCCAGGTGGGAAGGTATAGCTGAGCTGGAAACTAAAAGATAAATAGATGTAGGACTTAATCAACACACTTATTTGTCTTGTAAAACCATTGGCATTAGAACCTGGTCTGACCTTTAAGCTAACATATTTATAAAACAGTTACTAATAACAGTTACTATAGTACTGTGGCCCAGAAGGGTCACACATGCAAATTAAAAATGTTGCTGCAAACTAAAAATTTTACCTGCAAATTAAAAATGTTGCTGCACATTAAAAATAGGACATGCAAATTAAAAATTGTACATGCAAACTAAATATATTACAAACATGAAACATGAATGGGCCAACGGCTGTAAGGCCAGGTCGCACGGCTCGGACCAGGTCCTCATCACTCATACTTCGCACGCAGGACTTTTCATTTTTAATTTGCATCGATATGTTTTCTATTTTCAATTTGCAGCACAATTTTTAGTTTACATATTTAATTTGCAGGTAATATTTTTAGTTTGCATGTACAATTTTTAATTTGCATGTACTATTTTTAATTTGCAGCAACATTTTTAATTTGCATGTGTGACCCTTCTGGGCCACCGTACTTTAGGTTACCCTTTTTGACAAATTGTACGTGTGTATATAAGGCTGATTGTGAGTGAGTGACCTGTAGCAGGCTGGTTTTGTTGTCCATTGCACATTTGTCAGGGCAAACATTAGAATTGTATTATAAATATTGTAAATAACCCACTTTTATGTCTCTCTTTTTAATTTATGAACTGTGCAATTATTAAGTTGGTTCTGCAAAACCTGTAGCCCAAGGGTTTTTGAGAAAGATAGAAATGTTGTTTCAGTCAGTGACACAGACAGCTTGGACAAAAAAATCTGACTACACCCAATGAGAGTCAAAACTATGCCCCTCTGGATACCAGTCCAGATGCTCTACCACCCCCCGTGGTTGGGGGGGTGGGTACTGCCATATGTGGGCTATATAGGTATTTGCCTCCATGAAGGGTATGGTTTTCAAGCAGTTTACTCCGGGATAGGGTTAAGAATCAAAAGGTTTGGGCCCAGAATAGGGTACCATTTTCCAGGAAACTGACCATTTGATTGAAGATTTTAGTCCAGACTAGGGAAACTCTAGGATAGGGGAGTTTAGTCTAGTGAAGCTATTCAGCTGAACTAGCTTTGGTATATGCTAAGGGTTCCAGGGTCCCAGCAGCACATTCTCACCAAAACATTCCTAAAGTACCCCCCCCCCCCCACCCCCCATTCTACCACTATGTTGCAAGAGACTCATAGTTGCAGGAGACTTGTGGGAGATAAATAAACTTCGTTTGTAGGGTTTTTGTGAATTGAACATTTTCCCTGGCATCATGCAGCTGGGAACTTTTGAGAAGAGAAGTACATGGAACTGGAGTTAGCTTGCTCCTTGGGGCTTCATGCATACTATGGACCAGACTGAGATAACATCTTTCTCTTGGTTAGTTTGATAAATTGTTCTTAAATTTTTGTCCTCTCTAAATATTTGAGTCTCCCTTGCTACCGTTTTTGTCCCATCACGCAAAGCTCCTAGGAGACATCAATGACTGCGAGAGAGACTAACTTTTTGTAAACCCTGCTGTTTTTTTCCCAAAGGGTTTTTCAGCAGGGTATTTTTGTGTCAAGGGCTTCTTTTCACCTGTGCCAATGTGATGTTGGCCGTTTTAGTGTCCACTAAGCTAAGTATTCTCCTATTACTGCTATACAATATATTTAATTCTTAAGATAGGAGTCCTAGGAGGCGGTTAATGTCATAACTATTTCAAGCTACACAAAATTAATATGCTGTCCACAGTTTTAAAGTAGCAGACTATCTAGTCTGTCCATTGATACGTCTAGGCCGTTTAGAGATCCATATAGTTTTTTTAAAACTCAACTTCAATGTCACTATTCTGACTTTCAACTTTACAGTGACTAAGTTGCAATGTGTATACTCGTATAATCTGAATAAATTGAATTAGTTTGCTTTTTCGCCATTTCCTAGATTTTGGAGCAATCATCATGCGGGGGCGTCTCGTTAGACAGCTAGGGGGTGTTTATTAGAGAGGGGCATGTAATACAAACTTAACAACATAGGGGGGCTTTTTTAACACAGCAAGAGGCATTTATTTCACTGAGGGCATTTATCAGATCATTTACGCTACCGTTGCTTAAGAATTAGTTCAATAATCAATGTACATAAATTTCACTGAGAGATTGTTTTCAAAGACCTGTAGCAAGTTGATGTTTTCTATAGCTTTACAAGGTTTTGCTTGCTTTTTATCATGTCGATTTCTTTTATTTATTTTTTAACAAATCACAATTTTACTATAGTGTATCCACGTATTGTTTCTATTACTCGTTTCTTACATTTTCAAAGCTTTATAATAGTTTCTTATTAGTGGTAGTATTTTTAAGTGATCATCATTATTTGTAAATAATCACCTAATTCAACCTCTGGGTTGCAATGTGGTTATGAATAAACTATCTATCTATGCACAAAACAGGTTTTGCCATTTTATGAGCATAGCCACCATATTTATGTATCCATTTTGCGTAATAGGTACTTTAGCGCTAGCTTATTTATTAGTGCCATTTTTAAACTTTTCGCATAATATGTCCACAAACAATGTATATTACTATACAAATCAACAAAATAAATGTCATGTGCATTTAAAAAATACTGCGGTCTTATTTACTGTGTCAAGTAAAGTTAAGGTGCGTCAATACCTCCCAAGTTTGAGCATAAACTACGTCGCCATAAACAAAGATTTGGAATAATCGCCACCACAGTTGTATTAGACATAGATGAAAATTTGATCACAGTTGGAATGACATCGGGGTTGTCATATCAACAAAATGACGCCATTCGGCTATTTTGCTTGCTGTGCAGTATTTTTTGGCACTGGGAACTGTTCTTCCAAAATCGTTTACGGGAGCTCTTTCCTCCAATAGCCGCCTCGATGTTCGTAAAAGGCGAAATCTGTAAGAGCATTATCGAGATATTTTGGGATGAAGTTTTTATGCTTAGAAATACAAAAAAATAGACGATCTTGATATTTGGCCGTTTCAGTCTTTTTGAAAACGTGTGTGAAAGATCATGGCGATAGCTCCAGCCGATTGCAAGAAAGAAGGATTTGAATAGTATGTATCGAGGCGCTCTTGTTTGCGCTTTTGTAAACATTTTGGTCTACTTTAACAAATTAGCGAATAATTTTTAAACCGCTACAGAGATTTTTAAAACAATTTACATGTAATACTCGTGAGATTAACCGTTCTTTGATATGACTTTTTAGTTTCAAGAGTTTTGATATATTGTAAGGCAGTAAAATAAGGGCTACAATTCTCTAATATTTTGTCAGAAAATTTGTGTTTGCAAGTGAGAGCCGCTCATTATTTAGGGTATTGTCTCCAAGTTACATATTTTCGTGGACAACAATAGCTAGCATTTTTGCATATTTCAAATGCGTTGTTAGTTAAAATGCTGTTCACGTGAAAATGAAACTTGGAGACAATACCCCACCCCAGACCTTGTCACGGTTTTTGACGCCATCTTGACGAGTGGGCAAACGTGTGAGAAATTATGCACCTATCAATGTAAACCCCGTGGGGGGGAGTGCGGGCAGGGGGTGGGGATTTGACAAATTTTAAAATTTTTTGATCAAATTCCCCAGGGTGGGAAACGAAAGGTCAATCAAAAGTGTCAAAAGAGACCCCACCCCAGGGGAAAAAATCTAAACAAACAATACTATACTAGGTATACCTATCGATAGAGTGCCAACGAGCAAATCATGCGTGTTTTGCTTAGGAATAAAATTCCTTTTTTTTTCCTATTTGACCGTTTCTTGGTCCCTTCCCGTTGCAAGGATTATTTTCTTGAAAAGTTCTCAGATTCAGTCTGGTGGCTTTACAAACCTGCTATGTAAAAGTGTGAAGTGTCTTGAAAGAATAAAGTCAGCTTTGCAGAGGAAGCGATCGGGGTTATTATTAAGTCCAGCTACAAATCTACTGTCGGTTCGGTTTCACATTGTAGATAAACATTTGCACAGTTTAATCATTTAAACCTCCTTTCAAATTTCCCGAGGCTTTTTGTTACCGGATTGAACCTTAGAATGATTCGCTGGGCGATCTGAAATGTTTCCAAGGACATGCGACTGTACGGCACGTCGGTATTTAATTTTAGTTCATTATTTTTATACTGAACTCGGCCAGGTTTCGAAAAAATGGCGTTGTTTTCTTTTCCTTTGTCGTTCGCTTTAGGCTTGTAATTCGTTTTTGTTCTCATATTTTTTGTTTGCTGGTTAGATTTTTTCCCCAACACCAGATTTTCCAACAGAAGCGACTGTATTCCGGCTGTATTCTTCGTGTCAAGCTTTCCTTATCTCCTCGTGTAATCTGATCCTTTTTAGTGGTGAGAATATTGCTTGTTGCACATAGAACACTTTTGGTGTTTTACAAACTTCTCTTCGTTAAAACTTAACATTATGGCCCCTAAAATTAATAGAATATATCAAGTGCTCATGTTTCTTGACTGCAGTGGCCGGATTTGACGAAAAAATTTAGGTTAATAAACACAGGAAGTCGCGACGGCGGGAATTGTGTGAAATTTTGTATTTTATTCAACTTGGGCCCTGCGCCAGGTACTACCTTTTGATTGGTTCACAACTGACCACTTGGTCTCAGGGGAATCTACATTACATTAGGTTACACTTTTTTCAGCTCAATCGAGAATTTTTGTGCCTATTGCCCAGTCTTGCGCGGCTCTATTCTGCTGCCGCCTCGCCATCCGAGCCTCTTCGCTCGGACGGCTCGTTGGCAATAAAACGAATAAAAGAACATTTGAAAAGTACATTCTTACTACTTTTATTTAAGGTTAACGTAAGCTCCGTTAAGTTACTCGCTGTAATTAAGTATTTTCTCTCTCCACTAGCATTTCTTATTTTGAACAACAAAATCACTCCAGGAAGACTGACCGTGCTATTATAATATAAATGAAACGTAAAATGCTTTATAACATCTGGTCAACATGTCGGATCAGTGACTCGTCAAAAATCCTCTGACTTTCATGGTGGAATTCGACTTCAATCGAGTTTTACAATCAGATGGGAACTTGAAGATAAAAACTTTCTTAAAATAGACATTGTAGACAGTTTAAAGTATCGGATTATGGCGATTAAAACAAATAAAAACTTCATACCTTTCTCCAACAGCGTGACTTTCAGAAAGCCTCGAGGAACGGACCTGGTAACCGCTTCTGAACTGATACGAGGAATACCAGGCTTCTTAACTGTCGGTCAAAGTCAAATGTCCCGACCCCAGGGTCGCTTCGCACGATCAAAAGCCCGACATGGGGATAGTCTCTGGTCTCAGGCATCAAATCCCCGCCCCTTGCCCGCACTCCAGCCCCCCCCCCCCCCCCCCCCCCCCGCCACGGGATTTACATTGATAGGTGCATTACACTTAATTACCGAAGAACTCCAAAAGGTGCTCATCTCAGCATAATGTTAGTGAATTTTGGTTAATGCAAATTTTTGGTAGTCAGCGCACACCTTGTTTACCCATGAAGATCACTCAAGGTCAACAAATGAACTAGATAATTCTGTGGTTGACACGTACGCAGGGAAGATGGAATTCCAGAAATTAAAAACAAATAGAACTCTTTCTAGAAGTAACTAAATAAACTAAACCTACAAAACAAAGGATTGTACTTAAGAAATTTTTCGGGCGTACCTGTGCTAAAATTTCTCCGGACGCGTACTTTACATTTTCCTTATATTTGTCTCTAATTTTTCCCGGGACTTTCTTATAGACAAATGTATAGAAAATTTAAAAAGTGGTTCTAGGTCTTCTAGTGCATCTAACGCCCTCAATTTTTTTCAGTAGATTCCTTAGGAGTGAAGCTTTAGTTTATAATTCATAGTTTTTTCAGAACCGCCATTCTACGGAAATGTGATGTGGCGATGTGGTTTATCCTTAAACTTGGGAGGTATTGACCCTAAAAAACTGTATCGAGCCACCTTTACAGAGGTGGCAAGTTTTTCACATTGTTTTTCACATTGTGCGTTGCGTTTTCCAGAATTACAACTATCAGCTACCTCAGTAAAAACCTTTTTAAGGTCACTTAATTACCGAAGAACTCCAAAAGGTGCTTATCTCAGCATAATGTTAGTGAATTTTGGTTAATGCAAATTTTTGGTAGTCAGCGCACCCATGTACCCATGAAGATCACTCAAGGTCAACAAATGAACTAGATGATTCTGTGGTTGACACGTACGCAGGGAAGAATGGAATTCCAGAAATTAAAAACAAATAGAACTCTTTCTAGAAGTAACTAAACGCTTGCAGGGTTAGCATTAGTCAGCAAAAAGCAAAAGACACGTGCATGGGAAGTATTGGAATACTGGATCGGAATTAAACGTGGGGACTGCCGATATATTTTTCTTTGACCTGTGACCAGGGCGGACCACGGGCTCTACTGACTCTGCGGTGTAAACATCCATTTCCAGTATCAGGCCAATCTAGCTATTTACAAAAAACCCATCGCCAGTCCGTAGTTTTGATTCACCTTTTTATATCTCAGCGATCGTTGTCGCTGCGAACTTTATAGCCTGCTCTCGAGGCTCGCGTCGCTTGCCTGTATCAGTGGAGAGCTTGCTCGCAGGCTACTGCGAATGCAGGAGAGTGGTTTCCGTATGATCGCTACGTCGTTGAACGTTTTTTTCCCGGCGATCGTAGACCACGAGCAGCCTCTCTGCTTTCTTAGTCCGTCGAGCAAAACGCGCAAGACACGCAAATGAACCACGCGCGCTCACTCCCCAATATTTGAAGAAAAAGAGAAACTGCTCGCAATCTACGTGGATCGTAGCAATCGGATGAAAACCGGGCTTAACGCAGCTACAGTACCGCAGGTACCCTTTAGAAAGGGCACGGGAAAGGGCTTTATCATGCGTCGTGCTCACGAGCTCCTGGCGTTATAGGCGAGCCAAGACAAGTGAGCACGAAGAGGGAGTATAACGTGTGTATGCGCAACGGAGGACGAGATGCAGAGGCTACAGTATTTGCTTGTGGTGCTCTAGGTGGTATCTCATTGCCTAGGTTACTTAGCTAAGGCGAGGTGTTCGCCATCAGTGTTCTGCTGTTCCGCGTTTTTCATCAGTGCCTATTACATTTTAATTAGGGGATTCCCCTCCACTAGGCACGTTTAAATATTCCAGAGGCGTGTAGCCTGTCACGCAAACGTGATAGATCGAGTCTGCTCGCCGAGGTTTCTCTCTGGTTTGGTTTTTAGCCTTCCTGAAGGTACTTGGACTCAGATAGTAGGTGAGTTTATAAAAACGCCTTAAAATTTATTTTTGATCTACTATTTTGCTTTGCAAACTTGAAAGATTCTTGTTATTTGGCCGGTTATTTTAAATAGTACTCTGAACCTGGAGGTCTGCCTTTCGCGTGCAACAGTTAATACAAAATAGGCTAGGTATTCACAATCAAAGCTTCACGACTTGCAAAGATAAGACGCATTTTTATGTACTTCTTTTATTTGATAAACTTTGTATGATTTCATTTTGCTCTATGTTGATTAGGGATCCATGAAATTAGAACGCTCACTCGCATCAATCACAACAGAAAGGACAAGTGTTGCTTTGCTTTTACAGTTGATTGTGGTAAGTTCTTTTCAGTTGCCACAGATTTATTGTTCATTGTACACAATCTGCTCTATGGACGCTTTTTATAATCAGTGTATAATAATGTAGCCTACGCGGAGCCTTTCGTCTCAAGGATTTTGTTGGCGTCGAAGCATACCACAGTAGTTTTGAGTCCATGAAATTTAAAGTAATTTTCTTCACGTGGCTTCCAAAGTTGATCCCCTAAAGTTAAGGCATTTTCAAATTGCAATTTTAATCTGAATAAAAAATGGAGTTTGAACTGTAGCAGTTTCCCGACGGCTGTTTTAGCCTCGTTTTCTACTACTCGCAAGGGACATTTTGTCCTCTGCTGTTATAACCCATGTCACATGATGTTAGCCTCGATTTCGTTCCAACATGGCGAACAGCCCACAACATCAGATCATCATGTGAATCCTTTCCGTGATCCAGGCATAAGTAACTTTGTTTAGCAATACCGAAGCTCATTTCAGTTGAATATCCTACCGAAGTTAACTTCAGCCGAATATCCTACCGGAATTTCATCCGTCTTTTCGAGTCGCATTTACGGTGAAAAACCACTTGTAACTTTACTCATCAGTTTGGGACTGCCGTTTGTTGCTAGCTTATCATTGTTTATGGTAATTTTCGGTTTTATGATTAGAATGGTGATTGCTGGCAGACATTTAACCAGAAAAGAATAATTATTCTGTATTTTTTGGCAGGTGTCCATCAGGGTACAATCATCATGTGTTGAGGAAGATTGTGCAGACCCTGCCATAAAAGTAATCAGCCGCTCTTCAGGGGAGTGTGTGACATGTTTCCCATGCTCACCATGTTCAGAGGGACAAAGACTGTCGGTGCCATGTCCATCAACTGTTTTAGAAGGCACAGACATCAACTGTGTTCCTATGGTGCAGGCAGACCCTTTAAGTGTGTCAATTTCCAGTGCTAGTGCCTATGCCACCGGTGTTTTTTTCACCCTTCTGGCTTCCCCATCACTCACATCTTTGAAATCAAGTCCCAGTAGAACCAGGCCAATCATTGAGACAGATATCAGCCACATCCATAATCAGCGTAGTGTTTCTGCCACCAGTTCAACTGGTTCCCATCCCTCAATAACTGTTGCTGTGGTAGAGACCAAGGAAAGTGATGACTCAGGAATTGGACAACATTCATACGTGAAAGTAGCTACCCTATCAGGGTGTAGTGTTGCTTTGATGTTCATCATTGTGGTGGCTATTGTTTATATTTTTAAGAAAAGAGGACCAACTACTAATTGTTTTCCATGTAATAACAATGTAGAAACTAGGCCAAACTTAACTTCAGGTTCTGGGGACAGTGAATCATGTTCTGTGCTCTTATCTCCGGAAGACGACACTGCCTTGTATGTAAACCAAAAGCTCCAGGATGCTCAACAGGATTCCACATGTCAAGAAAATGACAGTCAACCTTTGCAGCATATTGGCCAGACCCTTTCTGATGATGGTACCATTCCACTATCTCTAGATGATTGCAGCCTTGGAGAAGGTATAATAACTACTAGTATGTTGATCATATAAACAATTTTTTTCAGTTGTTAAAATAAAATACACCGTGAATGGCTGCCTGTAAAAGTTTTTGTCTGTCTCAGAGGTGGTAGCGTCAACTGTTCAAGTCAGCAGGTCTTAGCTTTTGTGACATTGAAGGCTATTGAATCATTATAATCCTCATAGTTCTAAGCAGGAAAAAAAGATATATGCAAGAAATTTTAATCAAGAAGGATGAACTTTATTTAGGGAATTAATAATGTATAATATTCTAACATGATCAAAAATAATAATATTTTAATTCTCACAGATTGTCGACAAATTGCAACCAGTGAGGGTGCAACAGGTGTAAATGTTGCTGGATCATTACAAGATCCTACATCAGAGGTTTCACCAGAAAAGCCTTCATTATTGAGCACAGATTTAAAACCCATTGCAGTTCCACCAATTACATGTTTTACACCTAAATGCATTATAAATGTCATACAAACACCTAGAGGTAAGTACAATTGTTATAAACAGTGATACCTTTACAATTCTTTGCACACATCAGGTTTTTTGCTGTACACCTGCATTTGACCACATTTATATATCAACAGTTGTAAAAAATTTTAAAAGTTCTAACTATTCTCTTTTTCCTACATTCTACTGATCGTACATGACTATAAAAAACTGGTTTCTGGGGGTTTAATTTATATCATCAATAGTGCGACAATAAATGTATTTAAAAGCCATTCGTAAGCAATAAGTAATACTAGTATTGTCTTTCATTTCCAGCAGCTTGCCAGCAGTGGAATGGTAGTGTAAGTGAAGTGGAAAAGCAGAGACTTATCAAATGGGCAGATCTTTCCCAAACAGAGAAATATAGCAGTAAAATGAACCAGGTACCCTTCTGTCTTCTACACAATATTTGCCTCACTCTGGATATCATCAGAGAAGCTGATGGCAAAGATGTTCGAGAATTTGCTAGTAAACTTAACATCTCAGTCCCAGAATTTGAGCGTCTTCAACAGGCAGCTAAGGTAGAAAGCAGGACAACAACCTCTGTCATTTTGGCCCGGATACCTTCTTGGACTGTTGCAGACTTTGTTTCAATAATGAAAGACATGGAACGAGAGGACATAATTGATTTAATCAGTGGGTGGAAATAAGTGGCTTGTATTCTGTTCTTGTTCACGAATATAAGTTAGCTGGGACATTTCACCTACTTGCCAACTTAAGGCTGCAATTATTCGACTTGTGTGTGATGCTTAAGGCAGTGAAAAAGTAAGAGCACATGTGACTTATTGGGTCCAAAATTGAAAAGACTCCTTTTTTTCACATACACAGTTACGAAAGAAGTTTTCAATATTAATCGCACCTTTAAGGTAATTAAACACACATGTAATACTTGTCATTGTAGTTGCTGCATATACCTAGTCATTTTTTACTAAACATGCAGTCTCAAGTGTCATTTACATTGGAAACCCTGGTATAATAAAGAACATGAAGCATCATAATGCCAGAGTTCCCAAAGTCATACTTTAATTAATTAGTGATCATTAGTAGGGTAGAGAACGTCATTTATTATAACTTAAGCTTGAGTATGGATCCCGCAATAGTCAACTGGATCAAGGTGTTTCTTATCAACCGAGTGGAAATCACCTAACGGAGGAATTCCTCAAGGAACTAAACTCGGTGTCATCTTGTTTTTCTGTTATGATGAATTATCTTTTATGCATTTGGCATTTAAGTATAAAATTTGTGGATGACACAACTGCATTGGAAATCTTGCCAAGGAATGGTGCCAGCTAATGTTGAACCACGTTGTTAGCAACATCCATCAGTATTCATCCAAATATAACATAATGAGGTTGAACCCCAAAAAGTGCAATCGTAGGTACTATCCACTAAAGATAGTACTTACGATCACAAAACTCAACAAAATGCCACTTTAACCGGCCAGGAAGAAAATGGAGACATTCAGTTAAAGGTATCTTAGCTTTGTTTTGTTATATTTTGACTTTTGGACTATTTTAGTTCATGAGAGTTGTGATGACTCATCCCATTTTGTCTATGTGAATATTAATATATTGACACACACTATGTGTGGGCCACCTGTGGAAATATGAGCATTTAAACATTTCAAAACATAAACATTTCGAGCTTGGGCTACCTGTGAGAAAACTGTAATCAATGCAGAAAAGAGAACTGTGCATCATATATCCATCACTTAGTTAAGATAATGCACTTAGCTGTACTGAGCTTAGTAGCCTGGCAGACAGGAGGATGCAACTTTGCAGGCATTATATTTCCAAGATCTCACAAAACAGGTACCCAAAATATTCATTTTTAAGCTCCTAAGGATAGGAGAACTGTGAGTAAATATAATCTGAAAACCGCTTCCACGTGTAAGGTAGTATACGGAGACAGAAGCTTCTGCCGCACACAATGCTCAAGTTTTTTTATGTTAACATTTGCATTTAATGATTACAAATATATTGACTTGTAAATATTATAGTAGGACTATAGTTTTTATTTAGTAGTTTAGAATAATATTGTACTATATAACCCTGTAATTCAGTTTTTTGTTACTGCAATGAGGTCAATAAACGGTCTTTATTATTAACCATAACTAACGGTTTTCGCTTTATTGATGTAGGATTTCTAAGATTTTATAAAGGCTGTGTATAAAAGTGGGAAGGGGACAAGGGGACGGTGACATCGGGACGCGTGTGTGGGGACTTGGGACTAGGGGACGCGAGACGAGGGACATGAGGACATCAAGTATGGGACGCGGGGACGTGTGGGACGGGGGACCGGGGACGTCAAAAACTGGGATGCAGGGGACGCGGAATGTGAATGATTATCGCAAAAGTCGGAGATAAATGCGATGTCTCTTTCTTCGCGAAAATGTGCTATTTATGGTCAACATTAGATTCCATCTTCCAAAACCACATTGGACACCTTCTGATGTTTACACAAAATACTTCTTTTTATTAATAGGAGTAAGCGCACTGACTATCGTGATTAGGGTTAGGGTTGATTTCCACTGTCGCGTAATTTTTCCATGCCTACGTGCGTAAAATTTGCGTTCGCAAATAAAATAGAGGCAAGGTATGGAAGATCGCACGTAAGCGTAAAAATCTCGCTCAACTTCACGTTTATATTTTACCTTTATCTTATTTACGTGATAAAAATTTACTCGCGTTAACGTGCATAGCCAAAAACGCGTCAGTGGAAATCAACCTTTAAGTACTGTTAGCAAGCATTTACTGTTAGGTTTCCCACTAAAAATATATGTAGAACAAAATAAATATAGCTACAATAGTTGAATCCCCCGTGGTTTAGTGGTACAGGCGATGGATTTCGGAGTTAGCACTTCGGGATTCGAAGCTCGCTTACGCCACTTAATTTTAAATTTATTTGGAATCGAATGCTGTCATTCTACATAATTTTTGGCGACCGCAACCCACCTTACCCTGCTTTGGGCTCCAATATTCCATCAGTAAGAAGACCAGGACAACGGTTTCACTTTCTTCTATGCAGGGGGTCTTCGCCGAGTCCGTCGTTTCTTAAACAGGCATGGAGGAACCCTAAGGAAGGCAGGGTGGGTTACCTTCACTAAAACATATTCACGAGAAAAGTGACTGATATCGCATTTACCTCCGACTTTTGTGATAATCATTCACATCAAGCGTCCCCTTCGTCCCTGTTTTTGACGTCCCCGCGTCCCCGTCCCACACGTCCCTGCGTCCCATACTTGATGTCCTCAAGTCCCCCGTCTCGCGTCCCCAAGTCCCAAGTCCCCACACACGCGTCCCGATGTCCCCGTCCCCTTGTCCCCGTCCCACTTTTATACACAGCCTTTTATAAAGGTAAGCTTATTTGGCTTCCTAAGACTTCTCATAACTAATCTTTGTTTGATGCAATACTGACATTTCAGTGGCGGATCCAGACCTGCAGATAAGGGGGAAGGGGGGCCCGGTCTCCAAAAAAAAGTGTTTTTGGCCCCTCAGGCCTCAGTTTGGTCTAAAAATAAGGGGAGCGGATGCATTTGCTGTTGCACAATGTCCTGTGATCTTGTAGGCAAGTTAACAGGGTCGCAGTGTCTACTGGCAAAATTAAGGATGTAAAATGGCAAAGTCAAAAACACGGGTGGATCCAGGATTTTTTTCAGGAGGGGTGCACTCATCTCTTACTCTGCTTCAACACCAATAAACCACATAGTTTTTTTTTTTTGCAGAATACCAGTTGTATTAGAAAACCGCAGGTAATCTCAGGGGGGGGGGGGTGCACACCTCCTGCACCCCCCCCCTAGATCCGCCCCTGAAAAATTACGTGGAAGTTTAATTATTTATCTATATGAAAGTTAGCAGTCCCATTTCTTAAACCTTATTGAATATTTTTTAAATAAGTTTTAAATTGCATAGAAAAAGTAATGTTTGAAGAAACAGTTGTAGATGAGAGAAGATAGCAAAAAAGTTGCAAATTCGCAAATTTTCAAATCTTTGTTTCTGGATTGTATTTTTTGTAATTGTATTTTTCGGGATTGGCTGATGCATAATATCTATCGTTAACTTCAAAGGTAACCTTCCGAGTTCATTTCTGGGAGCAAAGTTTTGGCATTGTTTGTTTACTCCTAATGACTTTTTACAAATAATTCGATAATACTCTAATAATAATATGTTCAATAATATCTTTTTCCCAGTTTGTGAAATCATCTTTGTCATAGATACTTCATACCTATGAACCATAGAGGAGAATGGGTAGAAAAAATGAATTAAAAAGTTTATTAATTTTGTGGTATCGGAAGGTATTTTTTAGAAGTCTAGATAACGACGAGTAGCAAAGAAGGATCGCCTTACCTTATCTTTTAAATTTGATTTATAAACTTTGAAATTTCCATTGGATGAAAAATTGATTCCAAGATAAGTGTAATTGTTGACAATTTCTATGTTGTGTCTATTGATATGGAGACAATGTTTATTAGGAGTCGACATCCTATATTTCTTCTCGAAAATCAGAATTGTAGTATTTTTTGGATTCACCGATAAAAGCCGGCAATGTTCACAATACTCTGAAAGGATGGAGAAAGAATATTCCTAGTCCTTCAGCCGACTGAGAGGTCAAAACTAAATCGACAGCGTAGATGGGGTCCATTTAGTACAACTGTGGGATCTGTGTCTCCTTGGTCAAGTAGAAAGGGGATTTCATTAAGTAGTAATTAAATTAAATAGCATGGGAGAACGTATACAGCCTTGCCTGACACCTTTGCAATAATCAAAGCATTCAGTGTTCTTTGATCAGAGACTTTTATTTAGCTTTTCGTTTTAGAATAAAGATATTTAATCAAGTCATAGAATTTGCCCACGATATTGAGCTAAAAGCAAATGGTAATTAAACTTTATTTTAGCTTAAATAATAAATTAAATAATAAAGAAAAAACTTTATTCATGTTCCTTACCATTTTATGAAGATTTAGGATCAAAAGATGCAAAATTCTGCATTTTACGAATCATTTTTCCCGATCACTACCAACTTGGATCAAGTCGAACAAGCGGCTTTTGCGAAATACAAGTCATTGTATCAGGCGTGACAACATGCACGCTGCTTCGAAAAATTCGGATGGCCGGCGTGTGATGTAACGTCCCGATTTATTCACCAACGTGCAACAGTCGTGTAATTATTCCAGGAATGTGAAAAATATAAAACATCACTTGTTTAAAATTTTTTAAATGTCACCTGACAGTTTCCCGCGTCTGGAGCGCCATCTGTATGGCTCTTATCATAGACACGTCCTCATTGAAATGCAATCTCATTGGAGGAATTTATTATAAGGGGAATCCCCGAGGAGAAAACAGCAACGAACGGTTTTAAGTAATTTTCGGTACCGTAATTTTCCTTTTGCTTGCCTTTTCCTTGGCGCTTTATCGACTCTCCAAATTATAAGTACTTATCAAGAGCCGATTGGGTTATCTTTGTGAGGTATATTTTGTGTTTTTAAGACTTTCCCATACTTGCGTATTATATTGCATCACATATTCACATAGTATTGCATCACATATTCCGAACGTGAGCCAAGGTCGTTTTTGACAAGACGATATCGAAGAAATTTAGGTTTATATCGATCGACGCGCGCACTGCAAATTCTAATTGAGTATTTTTTACTGAAATGTCTTGGTAACCTAACTCCCTTTTAAACTGTTTGTTTTTAGTGTGGAAAGTATGGCTTCAATAGACTGGGCACGCATTTGGACAACTTTGGTAAGTTACATAAAATTGACAACCTAACACATTGTTAGATCTGCTACAGTGTAGCAGAGGTAGCTTTTTGTTGCATTTTATCTAGAAAATCGATGGTAAAAAACGACAACGATTATATAACAGGACAGGAAAGCAGTAAAAAAATCGAATGTTTAATAGCGATATCGAATGGAATTGCAGTATACTTTTGTGTACATCGATAAACTTTATTAATTTTTTCTTCATCATGTCACTCAGCTTTGTTCTCGTGGTACATTACAACTCACACTGTTAGCGTCGAACGGAAACGACGTTCGAAAAATTAGGTTATCTGAATGGTAAATTTTGTCGATGAAAACCATATGAATCACGTTTTGATAGATAACTGTTTATCACGTACACAAGTCCGCAGTAATCCGGGTGCCTTTCAAAACAATAATTGTTTGCAAGGAACGCAATCGCTAATCGGGACGTAAGCTTATTACCTTGCATATTACGTTATTACCTGTACACAACAGAAATTCAAAATTGGTTCTGACGGTATACAGGAGTTTTCAAACCTAGTTGTAGCTAAATCACTAAGTGGTTTCGTAAGAAGTATCTTTCACTCAACTAAGGATTTCGAGTTTATAATACAGTGTTTACAACGCTCGAGAGTTTGGGTGGTATTTGTACTTCCATTTTTTAAATGACAGGGATGCTTGTTTCCTGGATGTGATTTTTTGAATTCAATTTTGCTCCCGAGTCCCTGGAGATACCAATTCTAGAACAATAAATTAACTGGCAGAGACAATTTTCAATAGCGACGAAGAAGCTCAATACGTATTCATTCGACTAGCAAATAGTTCCCATAATTTCTGGGGGTCAATTGCTGTAAAATACCTCTAAAAGATACCAAAGTTCTAACTGAGGACTTGAGAGATTTTAGCACCCTCAGTAACACCAGTCCACCTATTTTAACCCCTAAAATGTATGACAAGCCCACCTGTCATTTTTAACAGTAGTATTCCCTTCCCCAGGGTTAAGTATTGAGAGACTTGAAATTGGGGTATAAGGACATACTGCTACTCCCTCAACCCACCCCTCCCTCCCCAGCCTTTGCTAACATTGACTCTTCAACTGTTCTGCAATTTATCTGAATGATTTTCAAGAAAGGGCTGTCAGTTTGCTTCCATCAAAGGTCCATACTACTCAGTGCACTACGTACATAATATAACTGTTAAATTTCTGTTTTTTCTAAGGTCATCCTAGTTTATGGGTCTAGTCTTGTAATCAGCAAAAGACAAAAGCCAAGACATGATGAAATCGAGAGAGTGATCAATGCGACTCATTCTTTAATCTGGAAATGCTCAATTGCAGAGTGTCACCCAGGAAGTGGATTGAGTTTTCCCTGTGGTGGGAGTATTCCCTTCAGTGAATCAATTGAGTGTGTCTACTGCATAAAGGGGGTGAATTACTCTGAGACAAATGATTATTCTCAGTGTAAAAGCTGCAGAAAGTGCAGTCCACATGAAAAGTCATCAGGACACTGCACCACCACAGAGGATACGACCAAGTGTTTGAAAATATGTGATAAGGGTTTTTATTGGAATAAAATAACGGACTCATGTGATCCATGCAGTGACTGTTGCAAACAACCATTGGCACAGCATGAGAGGCAGTGTGAGGACTCAGGTCTTCCAGTGTCACATCAGTGTCAACAAACTGATGTCAAATGTCAGCATCCTACAGGCACGGTCAAAACTGATGGAAAGCTGTTTCAGCCTGATGATCACAAATCAAATCATCTTTCTTCTTCTACTATTACTGGCATCGTGGTTAGCTGTGTTTCATTAGTTGTGATAATAATAATTATTGCTCTTGGCTTTGTGATTCGCAAACAGTGCTACCAGCAGCAAGTCAGAACTATTCTTAAAAGAGACTGTTGCTTCAGTCAGGGAAAAACAGAGACTGTTTATTCCTACAACCCAAAAGATAATGACCCTGACTTAGAATCAGCCCCTTGCTCACAGGAAAATGGAAGTGGACCAGGCCATTTAGGAGAGGATAATAAGAAAGGACTTTTGACATCAGGTTAGTTTAAAAAAAAGACTTCTTAAGGCCTGTTTTATAAAAAAAATGTGTGGTTCCATTTGATACAGTTAAGTCTTCAAGACAGACTCCTTTAGGACCGGCAGTAAAGCTAGTGTCCATCTAAGAGTGACGTCTGTCTTATAGAGTCAGTATTAGATAAAGGGAGTAAAGAAAGGCGGGGACCAACTCTAGGTGTCTGCAGTTTTATCCAGGTCTCCTTCTTATAATAGTGTCCGTTAAGAAGTCAGTCAACTGTATCCCTGCAATGCCCCTTCAAACAGTTGAGGTTGTTAAAAACTTATGCCAAAGGGAAATTAAACAATGAGGTCTGATGGAAGAATTTGATGGCCAAGGGGGTCAGGAATGCAAAAAACACCAGACAGTTTCATAGGAAGGGTTATCATCAATGCCCTGAGACTACAGAAATTCCAGGAGGGTGGTTTTTAGGACAAAAGACACAAATATTATGTGGGTTTGGCATCCTTTAATTGGATAAAAAAATTTACAATAATAACCGGGTGTAGAGGTTATGTGAACAGCTATTGGGCCCAGTGACAAATAGCTATAACAACTTTTGATTCTACCTCAGAAGCATTGTACATGTGATGGATGGATCTTACTTTCCATCTCCAATATTCAAACTGTTTTTGCTGTATGGCCTCAATGTTGTCATCTCAGCAATTAACCTTTGATTTTACCATGCAGTCATGCACCACCAATAAATATGTTTTGTGGTACATGTTTCTAAAATGTGGGTTTGATCGTACCCTAATTCCAGTTAGACACCACATGTAGTGTCTGGTCATTTGACATAATGAAAGGTCCAGTAGTCTTTAGTCAACAAATATCTGTCATGTTTTTTTTTTGGCCATTCCGTTCATTTCTGTATAATTCGATCAGCTTGCTTCAATGCACTCAGCTGTCGGATTTTTTTTCTTCACAAATTCTGTGAAACTTGAAAGTTGAAGATTGATAGCATTACAACTACGCAGTTAATGACATGACCGCAGTGGTACAAGAAAAACACAAATTTTAGTATTTTAACGGGACCTTTAGGGCAATTAATTCACCTAGCAGTCAAATTATAACCTGCTTATGACATTATATGAGATGTGGTTTACCTTTGTTTACCTTTGTCCTTGCATGGTTTCACTTTTTTTAACCTTTGGTTCAAACTCATTATCATTTCTTTAATTATCAGTCATACTGAGAAAGAGAAGAAAATGAAATTTTACCCCAAGATAAAATTTATTGAAAACACAACATGATAAAATAGACCAATGTGCAGTGCATCACCTGGGTGTTGGTACTAAAACAACACAAGAAATCCCTAAATGTTAACCCAGGTTAATTCAAAATAAAAATGTACACATATAATACATGATTGTAATAAAATCATAAACTCTGTTATTTTCTCTAAGTGCTAGTGCCAGCTCATCCAGAACTGCCTGAATCCCCCGCTGGTAGAGGCCATGAAGCAAAAGGTATGTACATAAACAGTATAACTTTAACAAATTAAAATTTTAAAAATGAAAATTTTTAAATTTTAAAAATGATGTTTGTTGCAGTTGTTTATTATTTTATCATATTTCATAACTTATAAGGAAGGGGAAGGAAACATGAGTATACTTTTAAAAAGAATTCTACATTTGTCTGGTGAAAATGTGAGTTGTCGTTCTGATACAGCAGTGGTTTCTCCAGCTGGCTGGACCCTATGCTACAAAGAGAAAGAAGCTCTCCCTAGCTTTGTACCATAGCGTCGTCTGGCCTGGAGAAACCACTGCTTGTAGGGTAGAAGGGAAACACCAACAAAGGTATGTAATTATATATAGCTGAATTTTAAGAAATAATAGAAGCATCCACTGCAAGTTGATTTCTTACAGTTAAAATGGCGATGTTCTGTTTGCTGTGTCTGGTACAGCTTATTGTTCACAAAATAAACTAAATAACACCAAGTTTTGGGACCTACAGCATAAGACACTCAGAGGTGGGCTTCAGTGGCATATCTAGGGAGGGAGCCTGACCTGCTACTTATTTTTAGACCAATTTAAGGCCTGCAGTGTACTCCTTCCCTAAACTCAAGGCCTTGATCCACCATTCAGGGCACTACTACCTGCACTAAAATGTGTGACATTAATGAGAGAACTTCATGTATCATGTATATACAGGCAATAAAAAGCCAAGAGAGCTGTGCTTACCTTCTGTTGACAACAAAGACCATTCACCACCCAATGACCTAATTACTGTTAACCCTGCATCAGACTTCCATGGATTTCAGAGAAACCTCTTAAACAGAAAAATGGAAACCATCCCATCGCGGCCATTTTATTGTAACATCTGTACCACACTTGATGTAGAGCGACCATTTTGGGATGATTACCGAACATTTGGAGAGAGAATTGGCCTCAGTAGAGATGAGATTTCATTACTTGGACAGAGGGGACAGCCAACTCATTGCATGTTACAGAGGTTTAAATCTCAAAAGAATAGTTCCGTTGGAAAATTTAAGAACATTATGGAGAACATGGACAGGCATGATATTGTTACTATTATTGATGAATGGATGCGCTTTGAGTGGGGGAAAGAAAATAATCAAGCACCCCATTGAAATTAATTATAAAAGTTCAATTCCTTAATATCATTTGAACATTTTTGAAGCAAATGTATGCATCAAACATTATGAATTACTACTATCAGCCTAAGCTAGGAAATACTTTACAGCAAAGAGCCCAAAAGTGTGACCGCTTTTGATTTGTTCACATTCTTTCATATAGATTTAATCCAATCAGAAGCCAGCTGGAAACTGTCCTCGACTTCTGATTGGTTAATGTCTGCATGAAAGAATGTGAATTAATTAAATGTGATCACACTTTTGGGCTCCCTGTGGTAAAATGTGACAGTGGATTTAGACAGGAGTATGTTTTTGCATAGGATTGAATCTTGAAAATTAATAATAATGTCTCATTGCAGTAAGCTTCTTTTAAAAAAACTTAAAAAATTGAAACGAAAACATTTTTCATAGACATCAAAACTTTGTAGTCTACTATTCATTAATACAAAGCAATAATGTTTCTCACTGTACTTGCTTTCCTATTTTGGTATTATGCTGTTGCTGTGCAGTAGTTGATGTTTTTCTTTTTCAATTATTATACAGTACGAGTATATCTTTCAAGCAATTGAGTCACTTCAGGACCTTTTGGTAACTTTACTTTAAGCTGTTTTTAATGTTTGTATATATTATACAGGTAAAGGAGCTGGTTTTACTGTCAACAATTTTATTTTCTGTTATTTTTCTCATCAATTTCTAAAATATTTTTCATTGAGAGATGTTTTTGATACAGCATTAATAATATAATAATATTGTACACTTTCAAAGACGTTTTGGTGCAGTTGTAAACAGTCTGTTTTAATGCTTATTGTGGACACTGAACAAATAGTAACTTTTCAAACACAATAATTAAATTATTAAGAATTAACAAATTGTTTGTATGATAACTATTTAAACATAATTTTCTTTATATTGCCTGTAAAGGCTGGTTTTCACTAGCGACGGAGTCGGAGTTGTAATCAGAAGCGTAGAACTTTACTATCTAGTGAATTAAAACAACATTCTTATTTTGCTTACGACTGTCGTTTACGATCAAGTAAAAACTAGGTTGTCGGAGTCGCAAGCAGAAGTGGAAGAACTAAACCAACCACAACGGCATGGGAATGTGCTTTGTGATTGCAGGTTTATCCTTCCACTTGTTCTGCTTTCAACTCCGACATTCTGGTTTTCACTAGATCGTAAGCAACAGAGTCATAAGCTAGTGGAGACAGTAGAAAATGGAAACACTCTAATTCTGCCGACTCTGATTCCATCATGCTTATGACTCTGCTTGCAACTCTGATTTAATTTTTATTCTCATTGATTTTTTATTTTCCACTTAACGTCTCCAACTCTGACTTCGTCGTTAGTAAAAAACCAGCCTTAACAAAAGGTGCTAGTATCATAACTAAATTCAGTAATGTAACAGATTGATGGTGACCAACAATTTCATTTTCTTACAATGGAATATTTTAGTAATCTTACCTAAGATCAGGCTCTATTTTCAGCTCACTTGGTAAGTAAATTCCAGTCATTAAGGCAATCCATGTAATAGAGGAAAAAAGAAAGCTGCTCAGTAATAAAATCATATTTAAAGTGGATGTAACTGAACAGTGCCACCAGACTAAATTTCAGTGTCTTTTTTCTTTAATGCATATTTAAAAGAAAAAAATAAAGAAATCAATATAACTATAGAATATATATATAGAAATAACTGTAAAGTGTCATGAGTGGGACTTCAAAATCCAATGTTTCGGACACCAGTACACTGTTTTTTCGCGACCTTTTAAGCGCTCAAAACAGGGTATTGCTAAAAGCAGGCCCGCGATGGCCCCGCGACCCGGAGGCCCGGTGGCCCAGTCCTGATTTCCACAGTTTTTTTGTCCAGTGGTAAATCCA